TTATTAACGGATTTTATCGCGTTTAATTACTACTTTAATTTATTTTTATTATGCCGACGTTTCGGGTGCTTTACAGCACACATAGTCACGGGGGAGACTGAGATGTTTGACGTCTCAACGTCATAGTTAGTCCGGCTACCTTCAGTTTTTGAATATTAATTTTTGGTCCGATTTTGCAATATTAATTTTAGGTCGCGCAAAATTAATATTATAGAACATATATAGAACACACGATAATCGGGATGACGTGCGTTCGGGTATCTTTTCCTATAAAATTCATGATAAAACAGAGTCCAGTAGAATCACGACTTGTAACAATTATCACCAAACAAACGAAATCCAATCAAAATGCACAAATCAAGAGTCCAGTAGAATGCCGAGTTATCACAATTATCACCAAACAAACAAAATCCAGTCAAAGTACACAAATCAAGAGTCCAGCAGAATGCGAAATAGTATTTTGTAGCCAAGAGCCCGAAAAAAATAGAGCACATGCGATGTCGAGAAAGCTGAGATACGCACTAACCATATTTAACAATAGCCAAACACGAATTCCAGATACAAATTCATACAATGGAGAATCTGTCGATCCTTTTAATCACATTAATCCTAAGCACCGTTTGTCTCACTCACACTTTAGAATACGTCCAAACAAGAGGAGCAGGTAGTAAAGCAAAATTTTTAAGGGCCACAGATGTACTTTCCTAACAAATACATGCAATGTTAAAAAAAAACTATCAGCAAATAATTTTGTAACTTTGTAATGAAATGCCAATTTTTACATATTAACGGCTATAGCTCACTAATAAATGACATTAAGTACATAGTACGCTGTTTTAAAATCCTCATAATGTAGGCAACTTTTAAAATAGTTGGCCACACAGATCCCATACTTTTTTCACTACAGTTGCACAAACTTAGCAGTTAAATAAAGTAAAAAATTAAAACCTATGTTTGGTGCCGTCTTGTAAAATACCACCCATAGTTGAAAACTTCCTAACACAAAATCCTAACACAAATAATAAACAAACAGCAGTAAAGCTGTAATAGTAAAAAAAAATAAAAAATAAATTGGTAGGTGCTGAGCACGCACCACCAATCAGAATGGCCGTATCGGCGCAACAAAGTATAAGCGACGTATCGGCGCAGTACTTAAACAATTATTATTGAGTTAAAAATTAATAGACGTTATTTCAACTACTGAATGAACGTTATAACCTGATTTTCATAACATGTGTCTTTATTTTTATAATTAGTTGATTAATGTTACTAAACAAATAATTTAAAATGCTTTAATTCAAAATGTAATTAAATGCGGGTTGTCGCTATAACAATTTGAAGGTAATCATTCTCAAAGCGCAGGAAGTGGGGATGGCTTGCGCACATTCGGTACGCATTCGGTTTAAAAGGCGCACGGCGGCTGGGGCAGGATTGCGCCCTCCTTTCTGCCAAGGAGGTCGCGTTCGTATACGGCTTAGAGATCTCTAGTCAGATCGTTAAGCCAGTTCCTAAAAGGTTGGGTTTAGTGGGTAAAAGTCACCACATAACCACGCAGCCGGCTGCGTGGTATGCTATGAGCATTCCCAACCTCCCTCCCCCGCTTTCCGGAGGGTTGCCTATATTTGCTTCGGGCGCAAAAAAAATGGGGCAGGATTCATTCTTGCTCGAGCTGTCGCACTGTTCGGGCTGTAAGTTGAATTTGTGAACTATAAATTGGGAACAATAGTGAATAATTGTTAATTGTGAATTATTAATAGTGATTAGTAGAATCAGTTAAGAGTAAATAAGTGACTTTTATTATTAAAGAAAGCAATAATGAGTGAAACTAGAAATCTCAATAATGACGTCATAGTTTTTAAAAATACTTCTGGTGCTAATATTCCGTCATATATAATTATATAAAATATAATTTTATATAATATAATTTTATAAAACATGGAGTAGAGCGCGAACCAATTTTTTTATGGAATCGAGGCCACCTCCTCCCCGCCCGAACATGGACGCACCAGATTATCCACCATTACGGGGAAAGCCTGTATAATATTCATTCATCAAAATTACGAGATATTGCTAGTACATACATAATACATAATACATAAACACTCACGCCTGTCACCCAGAGGGGTAGGCAGAGACTACAGACTTCCATTTAGCACGATCCTGACATACCTTTCTCGCCTCTTCCACATCCATATACCTACGCATACATGCTCGTCGGTTAAGGGTACTGTTACGAGCTTGAGGTTCGTGACAATAAAAATTGCCGATAAATTACCTAAATTAACACTTTAATTTACTTTACACAAATTAAAGTTAAAAACACTAATAATTAAACACACTTATTCACTTTATTTCGCTCCGAAGCTTCGCTTGTTTCGCCAAATCAACACTACCTCGATCGCATCTTGCAGCGCCTATATATTTAAATTAGCAAAGAAATATCCAGAATGTTCAAGTAAACACGCGCAAGGTACCGAGCGTTCGAGTTTCGACTAGGCGCTGTCAGTTGAGTGATTTGTGATGTCATTTTCTCAATGCTCCCCTCGCTCTCGTTCCTGACACTAGATGGCGCTAGTGTATCGTTGACTGGAGCGCGTAACAGTACTCTTAATTTGGCCCATTTTTAGTATATCGCCAATTTGGTCGACAAACTTCCGCCTAGGACGTCCCTTTCCGACTCTTCCATTCACTTCTGCAACATATATTTGCTTTGTCAGTCTTTCCGCATTCATTCTTTCTACATGACCAAACCACCGAAGCATTCCTTTCTTAATCCTGGTCACCGCATCATCTTGCAAACCACACTCTTCTTTTATCACACAGTTTCTCACCCTGTCACTCAGGTTCAGCCCTAACATACTCCTTAGCCACCGCATTTCTACTGCATTTATTCTACTCTCGTGCTTCTTCTGCCACACCCAACTTTCACTACCATACGTTAAAGTAGGGACTAATACAGCACTGTGAATTGCCATACGTGCCTTTTTTGACACATTCTGACTTTTCACAATAGAGTGTAGAGCCCCATTTACTTTATTTCCTGCATTCACTCATCGTTCAATATCCTTATCATATCTCCCATCCCTGCTGAATACACATCCCAAATATACGAACTCATACACTTGCTCAATTAACTCTCCTTCTATTCTTATTTCACATACCGTTTTGCTTTCATCTCTTTCAAAAACCATCACTTTCGTCTTACTTGCGTTCACTTTCATTCCCCTTTCTTTTAATGACCTGTTCATTAATGTAACCGTCATTTGCAACTCGGCCGCCGACGACGCAAGTATGACTTGATCATCGGCGTACAAAAGGGATTTGATGGTTAACTCACCCATTCTTAACCCGCATTCTTCAACTTTCAAATTTTCCAAACAGCTGTCCATAAATAGGTTGAACAGCCACGGGGAGCTACACAGCCCTGTCTGACACCTTTATGGATGCCAAACCAGTCCGAGTAGACCCCGTTGATTCTAACACAAGGCACTCGAGTCCCTATACAGAGACTTTAATGCCTGTATCAAACCAGCGCTCAACCTAAATGCGTTCAGCGTTTGCCATAACACATCCCTGTCCACTCTATTGCTAGTAAATGTATAAAATATATTTACCTGGTTACGCATGCATTATTCCAACTATAATAGGGTTTTCCCCCGAAATCCTTAGCCCATCGAGAGAGACGACGCTATAAATCCGAAAAGGAAGTACTATCTAGTGAATTATATCTGACAGCTTAGTAAAGAGACAAAAGTATCGAGTAACTAAGAAACTATCGATACTTCACTGCCCCGTTATGCTCTCTGTATCGTTTAAAGCATTTTCTCCCCACAAAATCTAAGATCATGCTTGTCCATTCACTTATATTACCCATAATTGATTATGCAGATGTGTGTTACCCAGGCCTGTCCCAAGATCTTCTGAATAAGCTGGAACGCCTCCTCAATAACTGTATAAGATTTATCTTTGGGCTTCGTAAGTATGATCATATTTCGCAATACAGATCTAAGCTAAATTGGCTTACAATCCGGCAGAGGCGCACCTCCAAAGTATTACTTGTACTTTTTTCCATATTAAATGATCCATCTTCGCCTTCTTATCTTAAGAGTAAATTTCATTATCTTTCCTCATCTCATGATAGGGTCTTACGCTCTTCTTCTAACAACAAAATCTGTACTCCAGTTCACTTCACCGAGTTCTATGGTAACTCCTTCACAGTTCAGGCTACACGCCTTTGGAACTCCTTGCCCGATGACATCAGAAAAGCTCCCAATAAGTACGCTTTTAAAAAATTGGTCCGTGATCATTTATTAAAGACAACGCATTCTACATGACTTATCTATTTAATATGTATTTCCAAACAGACGTATATATTCATAGTCATTTGTATATACTAATTATGTATGTATTTAAATATGTTTACTTGTATGTATATCCATTTATTTATATATTTGTATATATGTAAGGATAGATCATATATGTATAGTTTATTTATCAGTAGTTTGTATATATTATGTAGTTAATTATCATTTGTATTGTGTTATCTTATTCTATACACCTACGTCAAACTCTCACCACTCCATGGGTTGACTGGTAGAGAATGCCTCAAGGCATTAAGTCCGCCCTTTGTATTCTTTTGTTAAGGATGCAATAAAGAATAAAATAAATAAATAAATAAATAATACTTATTTAAAATACTCTAATAAAAGTGTCGAGTAAAAAATACTAGGTATCAAACTAAAAGTATCTATGCTACTCAGGTATCGATACTTTTTGCGGATCTCGCTTCACTAGGCCAAACAATAACAATAACATTTAAGATTTATGAACCAAAAACAAAATATCTTCGATTTATGATTGAAATTTTCATTAATACAAATATTTTCATCTTAGAGATCTAAAAATACAATATGTTCTTTACAACCGGTGTTAACTCATATTTTACGGAATACATTTTTATTGTTATATTCCCTGTTAATCACATAGAATTCGTAACTTAGGTCCTCCAGTATAAGCAGCGCTGTGCTGAACTGGAAAATCAAATGCTGGAGTCCACACCGCGTAGCGAACCTTTCTCATATCGTCAGCCCAGTAAAACCTGCATCGCGCTGCCGGCGCCGGCCGCTCTTTCAAATCCGTCCACTTCGGATAATCGAAGGGATGAGACAATTAACGACTTGGAGACTGCATTGCGACGGCTTGATGAGGAAAAACGAAAGTAGGTTTATTTTCAATTTCATTGCATTATCATTTTTAGTTTATTATTAGTAGTCGTTGTTTGTTATAGATTATAGTTCATATTGGCTCTCGAGTGGCAGCCTAATACTGCTGAACCCAGTATTGTACGACGAATGGTTGATCGGGCGCGGTATTGTGCTTTGTGGCTATCTAGGGGGAGGCCTATTTAAAGCGTGATAGGTTGTTAGGATGATAATGATGAAGATTTATTGTTAATCTAATAAAATGGCGTAGTGGTTTAAAAATGCTAACCATCTCTCGCTCGTTGATTATTAATTGCAATTTTAAGTGCTGATTTACCTACCACATGCTCGGCGATGAAGGAAAACATTGTTAGGAATCCTACATGCCTGATAAATAAGAAAAAAAATTGAAGATATTGAAGTTTGCCAACATGCATTGGGGTGAACACTTCCTTGCCCTAATACCCTCTTAGAAATGAGAGGCCTGTACCCAGCAGTGGGATGTATATAGGCTGTAACTTTAACTAACTTTTTAATTTTTTTTTTTAAAATGCTACAGGTATTACAGTAAATTGCCTACCAAAAGACATCTGGTACTGTTATCAATCCATCTGCCAAGCATGAAGATTATCATCAATTTTTTTTTATAGAAAAAAAGGTGACAAGCGAGCACACAGTCCACCTGATGGTATGTGGTTGTTGTGGCCCATAGACATCTACATCTATCCTTGTTTGCGAATCAAAATGCAGATGCGTGTCAGCCTTGAGGACTAAGATGGAATGCCTCGTTTCCAGTAAAAAGCGTCTCCGGTACTCTACACTCACCATACAAAACACAGCAGCATTAATTGCTATTTGACGCTGGTATTCTGTGAGAGCGTGGTCCTTCCCCGGTCAAGCTGACTCATTCGTGCTACAACTATACAATTAATATAGCTGCAGCACGGCTTTACCAATTAAAAAAACATTTTATAGGACAGGGAAAAGGTGGGGAAAATGGAATGGAATGGAGGTTGTCTGATGCATATGCATAGTACATAAATAATAAACCATTATTATCATATTTATATATTATGATGTTATTTGTGTTTTCAAAATAATATCACTCTCACACAATTTTTTTTTACATAAATTTTGTTTATTAGCACCAACTTTTTTCAGGTGTGAAAAACTATTGTCACAAAACAGCTTACTCCGTGAACAGCTAGAAGAGTCCCACCAGCTTAATGAAGCACTTACCAATGATTTGCAAAAACTTACTAATGATTGGGAGTCTCTCCGTGATGAAATGGCTATTAAGGAAGATGAATGGAAAGATGAGGAACAAGTAAACATTTTTATAATTATATTATTGAAATTTTCTTATATCTATTTCCATTTAATAAAATTTAGTTATTTAAGGCACCTGCCACAATTTTTTACAAGCCATGGGTTGACTGGCAAAAAATAACTAACTGGCGTTATAATCTTTAACGATCTAATCTTTAAACGAGTAATTCTAGTATATATATATATAATCAGAATCTCGAAAACGGCTCCAACGATTTTCATAAAATTTTGTGTGCAGGGAGTTTCGGGGGGCAATAAATCGATCTAGCTAGGATTTATTTTTAGAAAATTTCTTTTTGTCCGTGTTTTAAGGAAATGCAAAACTGCTACAATATCATTAGAATAAGAAGGTAAATTTTGACAGTTTATTAATGATTACAAATAGCTTAATTGGGTATATTGGGCGGTCACAAAATTGTAATACCATGGCTCGAGCCCAGACCGACCAACCGACTTTTTTTAATTTTTTTTTTTCAAGTTCCTTTCTTCTTTGAGAAAATCAATTTTTTCGAGCCCTTTTTTTTAGTAATTTTTTTTAAACACGAAAATTTAAATTAAACTAATTGCACTCATGATTTTTTATTCAAATAACCAGTTCAGTTTTTTCTATTATGTCGCTAAGTTCAAAAAATATTATTCATATTTCATCAGTATGTAATTTGTATCTAAATATGATTTCCAAAACACACGAATTAAAAAAAAACTGAGCGAAAAATACCGAGCAAAGCTGTCAACCGGGTACTTTATTTTAATTAGATATATTTAAGGAGTAGAGTCCGCTGTTATATTCAAGATTTTCTTTTTTGGAAGGAATATGTAATCATTTATTAACAAGGTCTATGAACAAGTTACATTAAATAATAAATAATACAAAAAACAATTTTCAAATACAGAAAGTCTGGATGTTTGTCTGTAAACAATGTAATGTATGTAAAACGCCTTGGATTTATGAAAAATTTGTAGTGGACCCTTACTAGAAATCCAATCCATAGAAATCAAAAGAAAATGACAACCAGCAGTGGAATTTCCATGCCAACATTTACAAACATTAATATTAACTGTTTCAGGCTTTCAATGATTATTATTCAAGTGAGCACAACCGCCTTCTCAATCTATGGCGAGAGGTGGTAGCAGTGAAGCGCTTTTTCTCTGATATGCAGACCAGTACTGAAAGAGACCTGTACAAAGTGAAAAATGATTTTGACTCTGTTGCAAGGGACCTTGTTGGCACATTGAGTGGATATGCTATCAATGCCTTCGCTGCTCAGAGTACTAAGGTTGGCATTGTTTAAGTTGAAATAATGGTGATGACAAGGATGTAAGAAATCTTCCTTCTTGGCCTCTATCTTGATGGTTCAGTACTATAGTGACTATGGATTTGATTGTGGTGCTGCTGGCATTCTTCCACCAAATAAGTATTTATATAACCTACAAGTAATTGTTCTGGGCCTAATTGCTTGTCCTCGCGTAGAAGTTATTCTAAGTGAAACATTTTTTTAAATGTATATCCTTTATAAGTTGGAATACTTCTTCTAGAAGAAGATATTATCTGTCCATCCATTACTGCCTATAAAGGTCCGCTGCTGAACATGGGTTTCCCTCATAGATTGCTTCATTTTGCCATAGTTGCCACGCTTGAGCAGTACAAGTAGAAATTTTTTAACTTATATCTTCTAGAAGATAAAAATTATAAGTGCGAATACTTCTTCTAGAAGAAGATATTATCTGTCCATCCATTACTGCCTATAAAAGTCCGCTTCTGAACATGGGTTTCCCTCATAGATTGCTTCATTTTGCCATAGTTGCCACGCTTGAGCAGTACAAGTAGGCATTTTTTAACTTATATCTTCTATAAGATATAATTATAAGTGCGAATGCTTCTTCTAGAAGAAGATATTATTTGTCCATCCATTACAGCCTATAAAAGTCTTCTGCTGAACATGGGTTTCCCTCATAGATTGCTTCATTTTGCCATAGTTGCCACGCTTGAGCAGTACAAGTAGAAATTTTTTAACTTATATCTTCTATAAGATATAATTATAAGTGCGAATGCTTCTTCTAGAAGAAGATATTATTTGTCCATCCATTACAACCTATAAAAGTCTGCTACTGAACATGGGTTTCCTTCATAGATTGCTTCATTTTGCTATAGTGCCAGCTTTAGTTGCTATAGTTGCCAACCCACTTGCGTGGTGCAAGCGGGTTCGCAACTGCAGTTTTATAACTGACTTTGTTTTTAACAACTGAATAAGATATGCATTACATTTTTAAATTTGATAAATCTTTTGTTGTATTGCACTTACTGCACTGCAAAGACTTTTCTGGTCACTTGCTTGTTAGTCACTTAATTATAAGTGTAATATACTTTTTGCTGTGTAAACAAGAAAAATTTGTAAATTGGGATCTCAAACTTATAATTTATAACGTTAATGTGGGATTAACTATTTTTGGATTTTTATTTATATGTCATGTTAATTTTTAATTTATTTTTGTAATTAAGCAGTTATTAATTTAGCCCAAATGCATTGTTAGCATGTTCTTTCACCCTTGAAACTGGAACACCCCAATTGTTGCACTCTAAAGTGCTAATGTGTCATTTCAAAATCAGTATAAGTATGTGTGCCCTTCGCTAAACTACTATCCTACCTGATATGTTCATGCAGCAAAAGAGTGTAGAGTGAACAAACCCCCATTGTAATACCTCCTAAAGTTTTGAATGTGTGGTAGTGTGGATGTCGACAAAAAGTGGTCGCGACTTTGTGTGTCTGGTTGTCCGATGGTAGGGAGAGGGACAAATCAAATTCCTGGGCCTTCTGCAAAATGGTGTAAACCGTAGAACACTGAATTACTTGCTACTTTTTGCCTGTGCTCGCGACTGGAAGGGGTGGTTTTGACCAGTTTGAGGTCACCGATAAGTTTTCTACCACGCCTTTCAGGTGACATTTTGAAACCAGTCCTGGCAGCTACACTCCATACAAGACCACACTTACACTTTATATGGAGTAAGCAGCTGTCTTGAAGGACCCTCAATTTAAGACTTAATTTCATAACCATCACACTACCTAGATTGAACCTGTAGCTTTATTCTTAGGCATCTTGTTGCTCAGAAAAAATCGCTATAAAGGCGATAAGGTCGCCAAATTATTTACTTTCTACATATGTATTAGAGGTATGCTGCAGCTATATTATAGTTGTAGCACGAATAGGTCAGTACGACCAGAGAAGGACCACACTGTCATAGAATATCAGTGTGAAAAAGCAGCTTAATGCTAACTCAGAGACCCTTTTTGATGTCAAGGAGGCATTTCAGGGGTGTCAACGCATCTGCATTTTGATTCTTAATAGAGGATAGATGTAGATGTCTATATGCTACAGAAACCACTTACCATCAGGTCGAATGTGTTCTCGTTTGTCAATCTAATTTTATAAAAAAGCCTTTTTTTCTCAATATTTTCTGTATTTCTATTTTGTGGTGTCAAAGTGTATGTAATTTAAGTAATAATATAAGTATGCATGCTACCAGACCACCAATTCAGAACAAATTCTATGCCACAGCTGTGGGTTGTGCTAGCGCGGTCGCCGCGCACCGCCACCGGCTAGTATTTGTCACAGCTACTAATTAGGCAAATACGAAATAAAGTTATGTACGCATGTGAAATATCATCAAATCATCATTCAAATTATGTGAACAAGTGTACACAAATATCAGTGTTAGATACAGCCGTGGTGGTAGCTCAGATGGTTAGCATTCGCTGTAAATTCCACAGTACGCGAGCAACCCGGGTTCGATTCCCGCCGGCACCAATGAAATTGTTAATTATTAATTTTAAGTGCTGATTTACCACGTGCTCGTCGGGCGTGTCGAAAACAACGTTCACGGTTTACAAAACGAAAAACTAGTTCTCGCCGGTCCACTAAACTTTATTAAGACCGCACATCCCGTCTTCTTAGTATACAAAGAGGTCTTTGTGTAGTGTACAATAAAAGTATATTCATTCATTAAATACGATATACGCGACAAAAGGGTTTCCTTCAGATTGTGGGACTCGAAGGCAGTTGTTTACTTTGCCTTTAGTTTCCAGCTTGGAGCTTTTAGAGTAAATATGTAATTTTCGTTAAGCCGGAGAAGCAGGAGCCGCCTGCTACACACGCGGGTGGTGCGGAGGAGTTGCGGGACGAGCTACGCGCGGTGACGTCACAGCGTGACGCGGCCGCCGCCGAGCTGCGCGAGCGAGACGCACGTATACAGCGCTTGCTCGCGGAACTCAACGCATTGGTGAGGAACTTATTATATTTAACATGCCTTTATTAGTTCTACCTCTATCCATGTAAAGTAAGATAATGCCTTCTCTCACTTCTAAGAGGACAAAGTAAATGTTCGCGCTGCCCCAATGCGTGTTAGCGGACTACACATGACTTCGAAAAATTGCCTGTACCAACTAGCACGTGGTGAATCAGCCCTTGAAATTGTAATTACCAATTTCATTTGTGCCAGCAGAGATCGAACACAGGTTGCTCGCGAACCTATAATTACCTATAATGGTATTTGTTACGTAAGGTTATATATAAATATGTAGTGAATTATTCTCAGTTCTGCATATAATTCTCTGCTCTATGCTAAATGATGAAGTAAACGGTTCGGTTCGAATGCGTGGAGAGTTGACAATGAAAGGGTGGAGAGTGGTCGAGCGTTTTATTGTCTCATAGTGGAAGGGAGAGGGAGGAATTAAGTTATTTGCGTTCATTTTTAGTTCAGTTATGTATTTTTGATATAATGTGTAATACGACAACTACAGTAGTGTGTAGTTGTCGTATTACACATTATATAGTAGTGCACCAAGAAAAACGTGAACTACCAATGAAGAAGCACGTACACAACTACAATTTAAGAAATCGCGAAAGATTAGTTTCAAGAACCAGATTAGTCAAAGTGTTTAAGCAAGGTTTTGCAATAAAAATTAAAATGTGCAATAAATTGTCACTAGAAATAACAAGAGTTCCACTAAATGCATTTCGACAATTGATAAAAACATTCCTTTTGAATCAACGCATTTTACAATATAGAAGAATATATGCAATGTTCATTTTCTGACTTGGTGGACACATAAAATATTGGAATGTAAAAGAAATGTATTTTAATTTATAATTTTAGTTATATTATTGTCATTGTATAATTTGAAATTTTAATTATATTATTGTATTTATACAATGTGTCCGGTTTCCGATGTCCGATACTTTAAGGGGTTAAAATACAATTAATTTTATCGACAAATCAGGGATCAATGATTTTTTTTTCGCCATCAATAAAAAAATGGCAGCACTTTAAAAAAAATTGTTGGCGAAGCATAGATGCTTGTATTAATTTAACAATATCTACCCAAGTAGAAGACTTTCAAAAACAAAATTGGTCTCAAATGTTAGTTAACAGTGTAGACAATAAATCTAGATTCAAAATATTATTTTTTAATATTTCAGTATTAGTAAAAAACATTTTTGAAAAAATAAATTAGACAACAAATTGATGTTGTTTTTCAGATTCTTAGCTTTAAAAAAAAACCATCGTGTTAACCAATTTTTTTTACTTGTTTTTATTATAATACAGGATATTTGCTATAAATGCACATTTAAATCTTAACTCTGAGTTAGATAGTTTAGGAGCTATGACAGTGTAAACATACTTACTTGAAAAGCGCGGATACACTAGCAAATGAAATAAAACAAATAATTATATCAATTGCATTTAATTTGGCAAAATAATTACAAAAACTGCTCAAAGTGACCTCCTTGTCTCTGCAGACATGCTGTTGCTCTTAGTGCAACGTGTTGCGTAGAGCGCTGGATCATTGCCTTGTCTTCTCGCAATTCGTTTGCTGCTTGAATTATTTTTTCTGCTAACTCCTCTCGTGTATTTGGCACATTTACATACACTCTTCGTTTGAGTGTGCCCCACAAAAAAAATCGAGAGGTGTTAAATCCGGCGACCGCGGTGGCCAAGCAATTGTTCCTCCGCGTCCGATCCACGACGAATAGTGTGCATTTAAATGATTCCGCACAAGAAGCGCGAAGTGTGCCGGAGCACCATCCAATTGCAGAATCATTCTGGCCCTGTAGGCCATTGGTAACTCCAATAAAGCATCCAAAAAATTCGTTTCCAGGAAATTTAGGAATCTTGGGCTATTCATTGTCTCCGGTAAAATGATTGGTCCAATTAGAATGTCGTCAATCATTCCGGCCCAAACGTTGACAGAAAATTTATGTTGAAAAGAACTTGGGCGGATCGCATGTGGATTTTCTTGAAGCCACAGGTGTTCGTTACGGTAGTTCGTATACCCTGATCGCGTGAAAGTAGCTTCGTCTGTCCACATAATTCTTTTTAAAAAGTTTGGATCATATCGCGTTTCTCTCAATATCCACGAACAAAATATTGCTCTTCTTACATAATCCGGTTCCAGTATTTCTTGCACCCTTCGAAAATGGTAAGGATGTAATCCTTCTCTTTTTAAAATTTTCCACACCGACCATTTTGATAGACTGAGACGATTAGCTATGCGTCTAATGCTCAGGCTAGGGTCTTGAGTAATCATTTGCAATATTTGATGTTCATCTTGGAGCGACAAAACACGAGTACGTTCGTTACCGAGCCTTCTTATTCCATTTTCCGCAAGTCTCAAATGAATTCTCACGAAAGTGCGAGCATTCGGCGTACGTCTGTTAGGAAATCTGCGTGCATACTCTACAACAGCTCTATTTGCACTCCCGTTACACAATCCATACACGAAATGGATGTCAGCGATATGCTGGCTTGAGTACTCGTTCATTGTAATAAACAAAAAGTAACAGTTCAACAACAAAACAAAAACGTAACAAAGTCTAACAACAAACAATAATTATGTACAGTAAGTAGATTTACTTAAAACCAGGAATGTTATCACAACGCAGAGCGAGGGACGACTGCTCGACGGCACAAGCGCACACTGCACCCTTTTTACCTGGAGACAGCCGTTATTCTGTCTCGCTCGCACTGTTGTGCACAGCGTTTTTTACCTGCTCACACAAAGGATGCTATTGTGCTTGCTTACGATTCCTTGAATTATTGAAGAATTTTATCTTACTCACTGGAATGGGTGTTTAGTTATCTAATATCGGGGTAGAGGCACTTTGAACAGTTACATTCAAATTATCATAGCTCCTAAACTATCTAACTCAGAGTTAAGATTTAAATGTGCATTTATAGCAAATATCCTGTATTATAATAAAACAAGTAAAAAAAATTGGTTAACACGATGGTTTTTTTTAAAGCTAAGAATCTGAAAAACAACATCAATTTGTTGTCTAATTTATTTTTTCAAAAATGTTTTTTACTAATACTGAAAAATTAAAAAATAATATTTTGAATCTAGATTTATTGTCTACACTATTAACTAACATTTGAGACCAATTTTGTTTTTGAAAGTCTTCTACTTGGGTAGATATTGTTAAATTAATACAAGCATCTATGCTTCGCCAACAATTTTTTTTTAAAGTGCTGCCATTTTTTTATTGACGGCGAAAAAAAATCATTGATCCCTGATTTGTCGATAAAATTAATTGTATTTTAACCCCTTAAAGTATCGGACATCGGAAACCGGACACCCTGTATAATTGTAATTTTGACGTACCAATGTTACGCAATGTAACGTAATGGGAAATAAAATAAATAAAATACAGGAAGAGCGCTGCGAGTGTGCGGAGTCGCTGTGCTCCGAAGCGAACGTGATGCGCTCGGCTCTGGAGGAAGTTGCCCGCGCGCTCATACACGATTCGGAGTCTGATTCAACGCCCACACATATGCATTTGACATCTGACAGGTTAGTTATATCCAGTAGTATATTCGACAGTGTCGATGGTCTAAGTTGGTTATGTCGAGAAATTCTCATCTCAATAGCAGCTAGGAATATGGTATTTCGAGGTGTTTCACCTATACGCCTCATAAAGCACGTAAAGGCGTTGGGCCTGTGCCTGATCTCTCTCTGATCTTGTTTTATTGTTGTCCCATCGGACTATAATCTTGTCCTGCGCAAAAGGTATTGCGTCCATATTGAACATTTGTATAAGAACGCCGAGAAGAAACACGTGTCGTATTATCGTCGATGGTGTGTCTTTCCTGGAATAGTGGTGTTGGAAGTAGTGGTGTTGGGAGTAGTGGTGCTGGGACTAGTGGTGACGGAATTAGTGCACGCAATTGAGGGAGGTTGGGAGGTGCTCTTCAATCCAGGTAAGACACATCATTGTATTTAGTTAGCGGAAGGTTGCAAACTAATTAATATCTTTATTAACGCCGAGTTTTTCAATAATTTACCTACAGTTACACTGGTGTTGTAAATATTTATTGGCTGCGCTGATTACTTACCATCAAGTGACCCGTATACTCATTTGTCTTCACTTGCATTAAAAAAATAATGATAATGATAAGAAAGTATTTTGTCATAAAATAGTGAACAAATAAAACAGAGATAAAAGAAACATATACATATAACAATAAAACATGTAAAATAAATTCCATTATATTAAAAAATCATTGTTATTTACCCTCTTTCCAGAATAAATTTTTCCACATAAATCCGTAAAAATGTATATTCAGAAATAGGGCAAATTCAGTTAACTTAACCTTAACTGATTGTATTTTTACAATAGGTCACCTAAGCGAACAGTTTCACAATCTGCCAACGCGACAGCTTTCGCAGAGAGCACTATATCAGCGGTTCAAGCGACGCTGCACAAGTACCAGATACAAATACACGATTTGCAGGTACCATACTATAGGATTTTTTCATAGAATTAGGGTGACAAACGAGCACACAGTGGATGCTGTGGTCCATAGACATCTACATTTAACCTCTACTACTATGATGGAATACCTCGATTCCAGTAAAACTGGTCGCCGGTTCTCTACACTCACCATACGAAACACAGTAGCATCAAGCTGCTATTTTACGCTGGTATTCTGTGAGAGCGTGGTCCTTCCCCGGTCGAGCCGATCCTTTCGTGTTACAACCTAATATAGCTGCAGCGTGACTTTACCATTATTATAAGTACTATAAAATACTAGGCGGTAAGACTATTTTATGCCTAGGAGACTATCTGGTACCAGTAGTACCATAGTGGGTACCTATTTCTGTCGACAAATAGCCAGTACCTGCACTACTGTGCTCCGGTCTCAAGGGTTAAGGAATCCTGTATAATTACAGGCTGTGAGGCATTCCATCTTAGTCCTCAGTAGTAACAAAGCATCTGTAGCCTTTTTCGTTTGTAGCAAGATGCTGGTGTGCACTACAAGTTCGTTTGTCACTTACTTTTTATAAAAAAATTGTAGAAATATAATATAACAATAACAGTAACAGCGACAGATGAAAACAAACCAGGTGATGGAGAGCAATACTGCCAACTGTCAACCCGCCTGCAATTCATAGCAATTATGACAAATATCCCCATATTTTTGTATTTATTTTTTTAAGGAGAGGGGCAAACGAGCATGCGGTTCACCTGTTGGTAAGTGACTATTGCCGCCCGTGAACAACTGCAACACCAGGGGAATTGCAGATGCGTTATCGGTCTTTTAAAAAGGAGTAGGCTCTTTTTCTGAATGTAACTCGTATTAGTGCTGAGTAAGAAAACTGCTTTTAAATCGCACAGTGGTATGGATGGTGTAGCGAGTTTTGTCGTGATGTGCGATGGTAAAATTCGGCTGGAATGAGTCTGAACAATTCCTCAGTGCACTCCCCTGTGGTAAATGCGATAAAAAGCAACATCTCTTCGCAAGCCGACCGGAAAAAGCTCGATCGCCGACGATTCGAACGGCTCTGCGCTGGCTATGTGGTCAAATGGAAGGAGCTGGCACTGAGTAGCCCCAACTCATAGATGGGAACAGTATTCCACGTGCGGCCAAACCTGCGCCTTGTAAAGTTGCAGGCGGTGTGCCGGCATAAAATACTGTCCCGCTCTGCTGAGTATGCCAAGCTTTTAACAGGTCAATTTGGCCTTCACTTTCAAGTGATCATAAAACTGCACGTCACATTAGTGACATGTTGACGCCGAGAATTCCGATACTGGCTACGGCAACAAGGGTGGTGCCTTGAAACTGAAGTGATACGACGAAGGGGTTCTTTTTAGCGGTAAATTTGTGTCTTTTAGGGATTGAACTGGACTAGATTTAGTCGCCTCCAGTCAGAGACTTTATTCAACAAAGTCTCGAATTTCGACGCAACTTGTCGCGACGTTTTCCCGAGAAATATTGGCACGGCCGGTGGATAGAGCATCACCAGTGCTGTCATCCGCATAGCAATGAATGTTACCGGTTTGCGACACATCATTGATATGCATAAGAAACAGCGTTAGTGATAGCACGCAGCCTTGTGGAACACCAGTGTTAATAGGCTTTTAATCGGAGCTTGCACCGTCTACTACGTCCTTGATGCTCCTATCAGCCAGAAAACTGGTGATCCAATTATACGATTTCGGGAAGTCCATAGGAAAGAAGCTCGGAGAGAAGCGCTTTGTGCCAAACCCGATTCTTCGTAGTGTTCAAATTAACGGCCAACGCCTCCCCATTGGACGCTACTGCCTCCGGCCATCTATGAGTTGGATAACCACCAGCTGAGTGACCCCGACGGAAACCGTACTGGCGGTCACTAATCAGCTGGCGATTCTCAATATGAATATGATATGATACAGAGATGTGCAAAATAGTTCATAAAATGTATTTAAATGCAAAATGCAAATACTTTTTGTATTTTGGTATTTCAAATACAAAATAGTTTTTCATTTTATATTTAAAATACTAAATGCAAAATACGTATTTACAAAATGATTTATTAAAATAAAATATCTTTATTTTTTTAAGTTTATTTAATTCAGCCGGCTAACGGGCTGGTAAATTGAATTTGATAACTTAAATTAAATTTACTTAACAGGTTTTAATAAAATAAATAATTTGCTCACATACAATGTCTCTCATCTTCCTAATGTGTGATCTCATAATCATGCCACTATAAGTAAAAAGCCTTACTGCCGGCGCAGAGCTAGGCAAGCAGGTATTATATTTCAAGAATAACATCTTTACTGTAGAATACTTATTTAATGATTGCAGGCTGACATCATTATCCTTCAAATATTACAATGAGTCCAGGTCAATAGTAGTGTTTGCATTTGCACTATCACTAGCTAGTGAGTAATCCGAATCATTATATAACATGTAGTAGGATTCATTTTTTAATATATAGATAGTAAATATGACACCGATGCCAAAATTGCATCTTTAGCTTTCTCCTACCTTCCGCTTGGATCCTTCAAATCATAAAATTTTCCAAACCTCTTTTCTAAGCTTTTTTTATTGTCTCTATCAGTACTCCACAGTATATGGGATTGTCCATTTGTAATGAATGGATGATTTTTTTGTATTCTCATTAACGCAGGTAAGTGAGAAAAGAAAGTACAATTTTTCATCATATTACTTATTAATTCTTTGATGTTTACATAACTTAGCAAAAAGTATTTTACATTTTGAAAATACAAAATATGTCTTAAAAGGTATTTCAAATAAAATATAAAATGCTTTTCTAAAAAAGTGTTTAAATACAAAATGGAAATAGGTATTTTGTATTTTGCATTTCAAATACTATTATTTTCAAAATGTCACATTTCTGGATATGAAGTGGTCTGTGGTAAGAGGCGTATATTTAGGAGTGAATTTTTATGGACTGAAGATGATGAAGCAGGACAAGAATTATTTGTCATATTTTAAATAAGATTTATTATATGAATAAACATACTTTTACCGATTTTCATTTATTTATTTATGTACACAGAACAGAACAGAAATAGATTTATAGTAAGTTCGTACAAAGGTTCTACTTATTCCATAATTTGCTGAAATATCTGCCAGTAGATACATAAAGGAAAATATATGAGTCTACTGGAAGATATTTCAGCTACTAATTAATAAATAATATAACCAAATTTAGATTTTAGATTTTGACTGGTAAATCTTGATAACAAACTTTAAGTATTTCTTTTGTAATCTTTTATTTGAAAAGGTTTCAATAAAGATTAAATTAATAAAATATTGTTTCTTTCTTGTAAGCAGTGGTAAAAGGAAAATAGTAAAAAAACAATTTGTAATCTCTGAACATATCTGTAGGTGAAACTACAGAACACTAGGGAACAGTTGACAACAACCAGGAAGCGCTGTGAAGCGGCCGATTCGAATATCGCCTCACTTGAAAGTAAAGTTCATGATCTTCAAGGTAAGACATATTATATTATATGAAAGTTATAATATATTATTCGTGTTATAATTACAGGTTTTATGTTATTTACCATTTGTCAATGTGTTGATTGTTGCTTGACATTGGTCAGTTTACCAGTAGATAACAAAGCATGAATAGTACCAGTCACTGAGCACTGTTCAAACTGTTTATTATGGCTGGAGAACTTTTTTTATTAACTTTCCATTTGAAAATATGGAAACCTTTTTTTTGAAAAGTTGAAATTTCCTCTTAACTTCCTCTAACTAAAGTCCTTATGAGAGTCCATAATCTGATTCTATTGTTTTAAATGGGTAACGGTGTGTTTGTACGTAAGTCTACGTTCTTAGTTAGTGAATACTTTTGTCTCGCAGAACTCTTCATTCTACAAGAAATAATAATATTGACTTCAAAATAATTTCCTTAGACAATTAACTGCATATTATATATACTCAGACCATCCAAGATAGATAGACATGACAAAACTATACATGACTGCGTGTTCTTACAATAAGTTGAACATGGTTTTACCGTGGTTTTGCTGCGTACATTTATGGTGAAATGTACGCAGCGGTTCGCTCGTCTTACTTGTTGATCTGAGATTGCGTAACGATTACCCGGGACAGTTTTCATTAAATTAATTCGGTTGTTTTTTTTTAAATAAAAGATCAAACTTACAAGTAGTCACTAAATGGGAAAATGATAGTCAAGGAAGATCAAATGCATCGGCACCCATGTTTTACTTACCGCTGTTTATATTTGTTATACTAGAATCCTCAAAAGAGTAGGAAGTGTATCAAGAGTACACCACTCACATTCATCCAATGGTAATATATAATAATAATGATGGCCTTCTTGCATTCGAAGACAGACCTTTGGAAATCATTTGTTTTCTTAAATAAAAGTTCAACTTACCATTAGATGAACAACACAAACAACAATAAGGTGGACTTCTTTCTGCATAGGAGTCGGTCTGTCTAGGTACCATCCACTTACGTATCTCTGCTGCTAAATAACAGTGCTACAGATGACAATGCATCAATAGTCTTTTAGTTTGAAGTTTGCTGCAGGTGTCCATGTCCATTTGACTGCATTAGTCACGTACCATCAGGTTGACTGTATGTTTGTTTGTCATTTGAGTATTATAAAACACAATTAGTTTACTTGGGAAACTTACATTTAGAAGAATTAATTAATAAACTTAAAAAATTGCCATGGTAATAATGTTTACCTTATTACGTTTATTTTAAATCTATTTAGTTTAGTTATTATTATAAATCTATTTAGTTTACCTTAAATTATTTTCAGAAAAACTAGATCAAACAAATGCTGATCTCAACCAAGCCGTTCAAGAGAAGGAGTCACTGCAGAAGATTGTTGAAACACTAAGAATAGACAAGAACAATCTAGAACGTAATAGATTGGAGATTAACGCTATGGTAACAAACACGTTTTTATGTTAAATAATATTATTTGATATTATTATCATAAATTTAAATGAAGTGAATTTGAAACTTTTACGGTTGTTTGTCATGAATCCATGTTTTTTCTCATAATAAATTTTTGTGACAGTTTCGCTAACCACGTAGTGTCGTAGTAAGAATATCCACTATACCATATCATCCCGTGGATATCGTAAGAGGCGAGAGGGGAATTAAAGGGAAGATGGGCAGCAACATCTTCCTTATAACAACTCGAAGTAAGAAAAAATTACTTGTCAAGCTTTTGATAGCCTGTAATGATGACGAAATTCGTAATAAAATAGGAAATGAAGTTAACTTATTGATGATGGTAAATATTTACTTATTTTGGCGACTATTAATTTCGAATTTAACTCGCCATTGTTTTGGATCTTTTCCATGTGGAAATTGTAAATAATGACGTCATAAAAGATGACATTATTTCTTAAGTGAGAATACATTCTCTAGGTTGAATCTCTGACATCGGACTACGAGAAGCTGCAGAAGATAAACTCTCGATTGGAGAAGAATATAGAATCGCTAGAGAATGAGAAGCGAGCTTTAACTGCTGAAGTGGACCACTTGCACCGCGAAGCGTCTAACAGGGAATCTGTTTTGAGGTAAAATATAATACTCATAATGTAATATTGATTGATGCAATGTAATTAATTAGCTAGGCCCCATTTCGTTGCAATAACTCAGCGAACTTTCGTGGTAATAGGATGAATGGTAAAATAAGTCATATGTGATATGCATAGAATCAGGTGTTACTTTGCTAATTTTATTAATGAAGTAAATGTCTTTGATTCATTGAAATGAATAATTAAGTAGAAGGAAAGCGATAGAGAGAGAGAGAGAGAGAGAGAGAGAGAGAGACAGAGATAAAGAAAAGATGAGAGATAGCAATAGACAGAGAGATACATAGAGGGAAAGATACTGTGTAAAATGTACGTATCTATCTTTTCTAGCATCTAATGTAAAATATGCATTAGTTACATCGGCATCTAAAGGGGCCATTAGGTCTTGTCTGTTATTTAATATCCCAGTGGGAAGTTATTGTAATGAGTTCGATTTTGCAAATTGGAAATTTTAACATATCTCCACATTTCAATGTCTTGAGAGTCGAATAGTATGGTTTTTAAGAGGATGTCCGTGTATGCACATGTACGTATGTATGTTCGGATTCAATTTTCGCCTCGTGTATCTCGAGGAACAAAGAGTGATATCGACATGGGACCAGTTTCATTTAACTCATAATTATGTAACTTAGACCTCATTAAATTATGAGCAGAATCGGTCAAGTCGTTTTTTGTGCCGAATGAAAAATTGTGTAAAATAAACATAATTATTAAAACATATGATATTTTTTTATTCTTTTCACTGGGAAGTTAATCGTGTGAACCTTTCGGGTCGCACCTAGACCGCTCTTCTATTATTTTGAGATTCAATTTCCCTCTGTCGACTCTTATGACACCCATGGCACAATATGGGGTAGTGGATATTCTCACACCGCTACTACAGGGTATAAGCCTCATGTATAAATTAAAAAATCTTTATAAAACATCCTCTAGGGCTGAGGAGGAGCGCTCGGCGCGACTTCGTTCGGAGCTGGTGTCAGTACGCGAGGAGCTAAACAAGACCGCGCTGGCCCGAGACCTGCTGGACCAGCAGAAACTGGAGACCGACTCTATACTGTCGCAGATGGAAAAACACAGAAGTATGTTCAATTAATACTTTTTCATATATTATGCTGTATTAGAGTAATAGGTTTTCAAATGACAGCCTTGAGCCGGAATATAGTGTAGTACGATTCAGAAACAGTAATAGAAACAGAAACTTTTTTATTCAATGTTGATTATAAACAATACTTATTGAAAGTCAATTTTTTCATTTACCACTGGTTCGCAAAAATCCTGTCCTGGGAAGAACCAGCAAGGAACCCAGCGGGACTATTTTTTTTTTCAAATAATAGCTTACAATCATGTTTACAATTAACAACACAAGACAAATTAGAAATAGCTTGGTAGCGATCACCCTTCCCAGGGGTTATTATTATCCATAAATTCCTTAATATTATAATAACCCTTTTTATATAAACTTAGTTTAATAAAATTTTTGAACTTTGTGTATGACAAATTTTGTATATTTTCTGGGATTTTGTTGTAAAAGCGTATACAGCCCCAAGAATGAAGTACTGGCTCGGTGGAGTCGAGTAACTGGTACTACTAGCTTGTGTCTGTTCCTAGTATTTACAGAATGAATATCACTTATTTTTGCAAAACTACGTTTATTCTTGTGTACGTACATTACATTTTCATAAATATATTGAGAGGCTAGAGTTAATATATTAATTTCCTTAAATTTTTGTCTCAGTGACTCTTTTGGTTTTAAATTATATATTGCTCTAATGGCTCTCTTCTGTAAAATAAATATAATTATTTCAGTGTCAGTCGCGTGTCCCCATAGCAAAATACCATACGACATAATGCTATGGATATAACTAAAGTAAACTATTCTTACTGTTTCAACACTGGTAAGAGTTCTAATCTTTTTCACAGCATATGCTGCAGAACTAAGTCTGCTAGCTAGTTTTGATATATGGGGGAGCCATTGAAGCTTTGCGTGTAGTGTGATTCCAAGAAAAATGGTGGTATCAACAAGACTCAGAGGCGAAGGATATTCCGTTGTGGAATCGTGAAGAGCTTTCATGGTTTTAAATTCGATTGTATGTCTTTTATATGTGTATGCTATGCGATGTCTTAGTGAATTGTGAACCGATTTTCAAAGTTTAATTTTTTAATAGAAAGGTCATACTGACCGGTGCTCTGAGCACTCTGTGCCGTGCGCGCCCCTTATGCTCGTTAGAAACGTTAAAACTGACGAATCACGGACCGCTCCGCGCGCGACTTTAAATGCTCGAAGCGTGCGCTTGAAATGCATAATTCGCGCTAGGCTAAGATGAAATTCCTCACTATGTATACAAAGTATGGAGTGTAAGGACTATAGACTGTATAAAAAGTGTCCGTAGGGAAGCGCTAAATAAGAGAGGCGCCACTGTAGCTGCTGTCTAAATATTAAAGAACTTTTTATAATTTTTTTATTGCACAGACTTTCGTCATAATTCTTTTTATAATAATTATTTTATTGCTTTCAAATTTTTTATTTTTAAAACCACTCTCAATGTATTTTACAGCGATTTATAATACGCTGTAGCTACTCCAGCGCTGTAGTGGAGAGTTTTTGAACTGTTATTTACTGCTTACAGATGGATACGTTTTCAACTATTCTCCTATGGGAGATTGTCGCCTTACCTCTACTCCATGATACCAACTCTTTTTGCGTCTTCTAGCCAAAACACAGCCGCAAAAAACATTTAAGTACCAAACCAAAAATATTCTTAGGGATAGAAGAAACTCTATCACTATGTTATACAATTATTTACTGTGCCTGAGCGAACTCTACTAATGACTATACACTACGCACTGATCTACTGGGTAGTAATATTAAGCCTTAACTATCTTAATATTCAACATGAAACATTTTGTGACATTTTTTTTGACGCCGTGTAAATTCAGCGTAAGAGGAACCACTGTCCCATGTAACTCTGCATATGTCGTTAGAGGTGATAGAGGGAAATTAAACAGAAGATAGCCAGCAACATATTTCAGATAATAACTCCAAACACTGACCTCTATATATACAAGTACGCTGGACTGGCTACACACCGTGACCTGATAAGATGATTTGATTTGCGCCATTTTGGCGCTGACAGCAGAAGTGAACGTCCACGGAACTAATAATAGGGATAAGACAATGTGACAAAATATATCGATAAAATTCGATACCCTACTTATACCTAAATCAATAGAATGGACTCTATGGATAGATGGCCTCTACCCGTAACATCCATTCTATTTATCTACCATATTAATATAATGCCATTATAATTCATCATTATTAAAGCCCTTTATAATTCCACTGCTGAAAATAGGCCTCTCCCAAGGAATGCCACAAAGCACGGTCCTGAGTCACCTGCATCCATCGACTTCCTGCATGTCTTTCCAGTTTGACCACTCCGTCTAGTGGGGGACGACGTCCTACACATCACCTGCCGGTATGAGGCTGCCATTCGAGAACCTTCCTTTATCCCCATCGGTTATCGGTTCTTCGGGTTATATGGCGGCCCATTGCCACTTCAGCTTACTAATCCAGTGATTAACGTGATGAAAAAATCTCAAGTGGTGCAGCCTCACCAAAGTCGCGGATGATAGTCGAGTGGCGCATCGCCAAACGTCATACCAACAATTCTCTTCCCTTACGACTCCACCTCGACTACATCGGTACAAGGAGAGGAATCTCCTCTAGCTGCAGCCCACTAACACACATCCAACGTGGCTTATCATCAAGCGACCTTTCTACACTTGGCTATGGCCCTTGAGTTTTTGAGAAAATGAGAAGAGAAAAATAACAAAAAAACATTCGAAATAATAATTTTATACTAACTGGTACTACCAGGAAATATTGTCGGTATACTGCACATTTTCAAAGTGGTGCGGTTCTAAGTCTAATAAAAAAGTCGTCTGTGAAATGTTTAGAACAAAGATGATCATTTTGTTTAGGACGCCAATTCACAATATTTATGCTTTTAAACTATAATTTTGGTCTAGATTCAGTTGGAAACCTGTTAATTAATAAACATTTGATAATTATCTGTTGTTTTTTAACAGATATGGGTAAGAAAGAACATCGATAAGTATTATGGACAAGGAACTCTACAACCCTATTTAATTTTATTGTTTATCAAAACTCAGTGATATACAGCCAAACATGTTAATTATGATATTAAGATTAGTAACAAAATTTTAAGTACACATATTATCAAATAGTTTTAATTTGTTTAATATTACCTGCAAATTCGCTTGTGGAATGTTATACCACTTTCCTTTTGGTAACGAGTTTTACACTCATTATTATTAAAAATAATTCTTATTATTTAACTAAAGTAATAAACAATTAAACAACATAACTTTTGTTTTTAGTTTAAAAGTTCAAAATACAGATTTTTTAAATAAGACGACAGACTTTGGCATATTATGTCAATTTTAGTTCCCAAGAAAACAAATAGCGGCGCTTCAAATTGGCACAGACATTTTGTATGGTATAGCCAGTCCAGCGTACTTGTATATATAGAGGTCAGTGACTCTAAATAATACTGTTACGAGCTTAGGGTTCGTGACAATAAAACTGCGGATTGATTTACTAAAATTGGCACTTTAATTACTGAAAACCAATTAAAATTTAAATCACACTTAACAATTTAGTTCACTTTATTTCGCTCTGAAAACTTTGTTCGTATCGCCATTCAATACCGCCGCGGTCGCGGCCTAACGGTTTTATATAGGCGTTTTCCACCGAAACATCTAGAATGTTCTAGCAAATACCGGTCCCGACCGACTAGATGTAGAAAATTCAAGTGTGGATTTTTCTAGAAAGCTTAGTTCCTCTGTTAGATAATAGATGGCGCTGGTGCCATCAACTGTGGCGCGCAACAGTATAAACTTCGGGTGTCAATCTGTCTGTCAACCGTGACAACTGTGGTAACTGTGATAAATATCTCCATATATATGAGACAATCTATGGGGAGGTGAATGTTCACCAATGGAATGTTGATAGGTTGTAATTAATGAACGGATGATTGAACATTATGTGAGTGAAAGTTATTTCATATACTTCATCATCATCGTCATTACAGCCGTTCACAAGTCGTAGAACATAAGTCTCCTGCAAAGAATGCAACAAAGCATGGCATGCCACGTACTTAGATTTATATAATTTCAGGTGAACTTGAAATAGAACTCGAAAGAACTATTCTCGAGCGCAGCGATCTCCAGGACTTGGTGGAGAAATTGGAATCGGCGCTGAAGAACCTCGAGGCTGATAAGAAGAAGCTGCAGGAAGAAGTTAAACAAGTATGAAGTTGATTTACTTTATTGACATTAGAAACTGACGCGACTTTGGGGTTATTAAACAAAAATAACAAATATTAATGTGATACCAATATATCCAGTATTATATACAATACAATACCATAATATAGGTTAGGGCTTATGTGACAGCTGACAGGTTTGTTTGATCGCGTAATATAAAGTCCTTCAAACGGAATTTCAGTGTGTAGCCATTTGCGCAGAACAGAATTATAGTGCATGACTATCTTTTCTTTAAAGGAAATCTAAGCAACAACCTAGAATCCAAGAATTTGTCGGTGTCTCACCAGTCGGTACTGTGACCGATCACTCTCCGGTCGTGTCAGATTGTTGTCCCATTGAACTATGAGTAAGGGAGAGTGACTGGTTTTCATTGAGACTGGCTGCCGTGACCGAAATTAGACTTGGACAACGTTATTATTTATTGTAACGCTATACAACTATATAGCTATACAGATATACAACTATACCACAATACTATGTAGAGCTATCTGGCTATACAGTTATACGGCTATACAGTTATACATCAATATAATTATACAATAATACAGCGGTACGGCTGTACAGTTATAGGGCTATACAGTTATACATCAATACAATTATACATGCAGGAAATAGAGTAAATGGTGCCCTACACTCTATTGTGAAGAGTCAAAATGTGTCAAAAAAGCATTATCATTCTAAATTGTGTGATAAGAGAAGAGTGTGGTTTGCAAGATGATGTTGTGACCAGGATTAAGAAAGGAATGCTTCTGTGGTTTGGTCATGTGGATAGAAGGAGTGAGGAAAGAGTGACAAAGAAAATTTATGTTGCAGAAGTGAATGGCAGAGTCGGGAAGGGACACCCTAGGCGAAAATTTATCGACCAAATTAGCGTTTTATTAAACGCCAAGCCAAATTAGGAGTACCCTTAACCGACGAGCATGTATGCGTAGGCATATGGATGTAAAGGAGGCGAGAGAGGTGTGTCAGGATCGTGCCAAATGGAAGTCTTGTAGTCTCTACTACCCCTCTGGGTGACAGGCGTGAGTGTTTATGTATTTATTTATGTACAATTATACTATAATACAGTGATACAGCTATACAACTATACGGGTATATAACTGTACAGTTACGAGGGTGACACTGAAAGTTCTTAGAAAATCAAAAACTGAACAACCTATAAAGTTATTAGTTTTGTTATATCTTTTCAATATAGTGTCCATTTAAATCAATACACCGCTGCATCCAATGGAACTACTAAGAAAAGCACTTTGCCGACTCGTTCTTAGGGGTCTCTTCGACGGCATTTTGAAACACTGCCACTGCTTCCTCGGCGTCCATGAAACGCTTTCCTCGAAGTATTTGTTTTATTTTCGGAAATAAATAAAAAGACGCAAGTTGCGAGGTCGGGGCTATAGGGCGGATGATCCAGTAATTCCACGTCTGACGTCACCAAGTAGATGATTGTTTGCTTGGCGGTGTGTGACGAGGCGTCCACGATGAAGGAGGATCCTACTGCGAGGTCGTTTCTTCCGAACTTTTTCCAAGACAAGTGTCAAGAAAAAAGATGATGGCTGTTTTTCGATCCTCAAAAACAATTGTTGCGGAATGACCTGTCCTTCCGAAGAACGAGGCCACCATCTTTTTTCCACTTTTTTCACCTCTTATTCGCTATAATTGGCAACTCCTCGGAAGGAAACACCCAGACAAATTATGATTGTCAGATTATGAGGTATCCACCGGGCACAAAGCTTTCTGACCGCTAAATGTTCATTGATTATTTTGTGCAACTGACTCATACTGATGATTTTCAAAATTTGAACTTTTTTTTAAGTATATCGTTTACAAGTGACCAGTTCTAAAAGCTTTCAGTGTCGCCCTCGCATAATATACAACCCCATACAGCTAAATATTATACAACAATACAGCAATAGATATATGGATATACAGTTATACGGCTATACTGTCATACATCAATACAGGTATATGAATATACGTTTATACAATAATACAGCGATACGGCTATACAGCTATACAACTTTACAGGTAAAATGCAGCCAATGATATTATCCGCTCGATTTGCGTACAAAAAAAGGGTAGCTTAGTTTGCCAGTACGCGGGACCACGGAGCGAGCGTCGGGACCTGTGTTTCTCACGTTCGACCCGCCGTCAATAAAACCTAATTTATGACTTACTCGAGAGGAGCACTTCAAATAATTTAAATTTTATGAATAGCCATTGAAATAAGAAAAGAAAATACGTATGTTATTCTTTCAAAATATGATTACAATAATATATTAGAGGTGTTGAAATCACAAGTACAAGCCATTTTAGCGACTTTTTGTAAAAAATCGTGTTTATCAAAAAAATAAGATAGGTAAGTGTATGATTATTTATTATATCCTTAAACTTAATGAGTTACTTGATATATTTACCTATATTAAAAAACGATTTGTATTTAAATACATAGTAAAAATATTAAGTGCAACCTGATGAAGAATTCACGGATTGCGCAATTGCTCGCTATTTGTTAGTTACAATCTAGGCTGTTATTATATAAAAACTTATATTATAATATGATGAACAATTTATGAAACTTTATTACTTAAATCGAATAATTATATTCCAATATCATCAATACAACATAACTACGATAATAATATGATAGAAAATTATGTTTAGATGCTCGACTTTATCACATTTTTCATACAGTATTTGCAAAAATATTACTTTAATACAAGAAAACACTAAGAAGACATTAATTTGGTATATAAATACTAGCAAAAATCAATAAAATTCAATACTCACGGCATATTTTATCACCTCGTTAAATCCACTCAAGCGTCACTTCACTCACAAAACTTTAACTAACAAAGTTTCGATATTTTTCGTCCAAGAGGTTGGTAATTTTGATCCAAATCTATGGTTTATATATTTGTTTTTGGTTTTAATACGTAATAGTTAGACTGTGCGTTTAAAATACGATCTAAATGCAATTAAAAGAACTTCGTCGCTTTGCAACCACAGTTGCAAAGAGCAAAGTTAAGGATTCTGTTTTTGCAACTGTGGTTGCAAGAAGCAAACCAGCGGTTATAAGTAAAAAGGGTGTAGATAGGTTACCTACACAATATTCGATCTTCAAAACAATACACAATACTTAGTTATTTATGTGTGTTATCTAATAATTTACAGTTTTATCTAAATTAATACCAGAATAAATTAGAAACAGATAACACAAAACACAAAATTTATCAGTTTCTTCATATTTATTGCTTACTGCTATTTTTGGAGATAATGTTATAAAAATTTAAGACTGTACTAGATCAAAAACAAATTTATTTAATTACTTTCTCTATAAAAGGTTGAGCTGTCGTCGTCGTCATTGTTGTTTACATTAATTATTATTTGATGTTTATAATGCATTCAAAATGAATGTGTTTTTCATAGACGTCAATAACAATTTCCTTTGATTTCTCGATCACTTGGCGCAGGGTTGGGGTTGACCTTGTGTATTTTCTGGAAATCTCTGCGAAGAGATCCCACATGGAAAATTATGAGGCGTTCACCTTTTTCCACGGGCACGTGTCATCTGTCAGTTGTTTAATCATGTTTCGACAATTAAATTAACGCTGTTTCAATTGGTTATATTTTTATTTCTCGTAAACATTTTATTCTTTGCTTTGTCTTTGTCTTATGTCTCTAAATAATTTTTTGCGTTCAAATTGTTCCCAATGACTATACTACAATTGTACAAGCCAGCGTCTTCTAAACTTACTCGCAACGTCGTCCCCAGTGTGAGACACAGAAATTACAAAAAAATTAAAATCGCTTGTTTCATGAGTCATATAATTTATGAAAATCTAAAAATAAAACTTAAAGTAAACAAATAATATAGTACAGCAATATAATGCCCCATTTACACTCGGCCTTGTTAGGCAGGGAAGTGGGCAGCGCGTGTATGTAAATTTAGACTACTCCCGCTGTCACTACCGAGTGCCCATGCCACTGCCACTGCCCAGCGCTCCCTCTATTGTCGCTTTTTCGCGCGGAAGTCAAAGGACGGACTGCGCGAGCGGGAGCGAGTGTTTACATTCTCACTCACTTGCCGCCGAAGTTCGACCAAGGAAGAACGTTCGTTTAAAAACGGCAATTCGTTTAGCAATCTGTCCCGTGTTTTAATGATATTTAGTAATGATGAAACAATAAAAATTTTAGAACTTAATGAAATTGAGCGGGTAATATTGGAACCTCATGATAAAAACCATAAATTGCACGTAGTAGCTACTTATACTGAGCAGACATAATGCTGTCACACCAACAAACTCGACGTCAGTCATTGTTGCGTGTTGATCAATAAAGAAGTATATGAAGGCTGAGTGTAAACACTCACTCGCGTCACCAGTAGCAGTGGTTGAGTGTAAATGGGGCATAAGATTATACTTGTAAAGTTAAAAGATAAAAATTATTGCGGAACGATTAGAGTGAAACATCTAAAGGCATTTCTTAGATTTGGTTGGGTATAGTGGATAGCCATGAGAGTACACAAGCTCACGTACAATCACACTTTGTATACACAGTGCATAACTTCGTTTACAGCTGGAAGAAGAGAAGTCATCGCTGAGTAAGCAGACGTCGGAGCTGTCGGGCGACACGGGATCGCTGCGTAAGGAGCTGCTGTGCGCGGAGCAGGAGCGTATCGCACTGCGCGATGACGCAGCTGCGCTGCGCGACCAGCTACAGCAGCTGCAGCACCAGCGCGACGCACTGCAGCTGGATCTGCGCCACCTCACCAGGTCACACAGCTCTGCACCTAGAATTGATGTTAGGCGACGCTTGACCAGCTACAGCAGCTGCAGCACCAACGCGACGCACTGCAGCTGGACCTGTGCCACCTCACCAGGCTACACAGCTCTGCACCTAGGATTGATGTTAGGTCAGGCGCGGCCAGCTACGGCAGCTGCAGCACCAGCCCGACGCTCAGCAGCTGGACCTGCGCCACTTCACCAGGCCACACAGCTCTGCACCTAGGATTGATGTTAGGCCAGGCGCGACCAGCTACGGCGGCTGCAGCACCAGCCCGACGCTCTGAAGCTGGACTTGCGCCACTTCACCAGGCCACACAGCTCTGCACCTAGGATTGATGTTAGGCCACGCGCGACCAGCTACGGCAGCTGTAGCACCTGCGCGACGCACTGCAGCTGGACCTGCGCCACCTCACCAGGCCGCACAGCTCTGCACCTAGGATTGATGTTAGGCCACGCGCGACCAGCTACAGCAGCTGCAGCACCAGCGCGACGCACTGCAGCTGGACCTGCGCCACCTCACCAGGCCGCAAGCTCTGCACCTAGGATTGATGTTAGGCCACGCGCGACCAGCTACAGCAGCTGCAGCACCAGCGCGACGCACTGCAGCTGCACCTGTGCCACCTCACCAGGCCGCACAGCTCTGCACCTAGGACATGCGCCTTATCTGCAGCTTATCTTAACGATTTTAAGATAGCGTTGCAATAAAACAATTTTTTTCAGGTTCCAAGTTCAAATGGAAAGCCTTCGAGAGGTTGTAGTTGGCTTTATTTTTTATAAAGTATGGATGACAAACACCGTCTACCTTATAGTTTGCTATGATCTATGGACAACTATGCTCGATTTAAAATCAAAATGTAGATATTAATGCGTAGTCGCCCCTAAGAACTAAGATGAAATGTCTCTTCACCATTAAAAGGGTCTCCGGTTCTCTCATTATACGAAACAGAGCAGCATTAGACTGCTACTTTTACGTCGGTATTGTGTAAGAGCGGGGTCCTATAGCTAACGCCACGAGTCTTGAAAGTGCGCAGAAGCGATAAATAGATGTCGGCACGGTGAGGTGTGAGGTACGGGAAAGCGAAACAATAGCAACGGGCGACGCGCTACTCCCGCATACAGTCTCCCTGCGTCCCGTCGCCCGCGCACCTTCTTGTGTCGTCTTGTGTACTATCGATATCGAAAGTGTTAGCGACCACCTGTTATAAAATTTTAAAAATATTCGATTATTTTTGTATATTTAAAAATAGTGTTCTGTAATACTTTCAAATAGTGTGCAAATAATTTTTACTTAGTAAATTATTTTTGGACTATTTAAAATAGTGTAATTCGTAGTATATTGTATAAAGTTGTAAATATTTTGTTATTTTCTACAAGATGATATTTTGCATGTAAAATATCCCCATAATCGAAGGCTATCGCATAGTATAAATAGTTTAAACAGCAATTAAAGTACAAAAATACAAATACAAAATATTTTATTTCTTTAACTAAGTGTACATAAAATACAAAATATTATTTAGAAGCAATTAAAACCTAACGATGATATATAAAAATATCGTTCCGTTTTCGTGGAGACTGATGTGTAGTATAGTAGTAGTATAATGTCGACATTTTACTTTTTACATATTAAAATGTCATAATAAAATTTTCAGTTTTCTTCTTGATTGTACATGCGCAGTGGATGGTATTTAATTTCATGTTTTGTGGCCGACCTATACTTCCGTCAAGTCGTGCCCTACTAACTAAATTTTATTTTTATGTTATTACTTTGACTAAGAAATGTATAATTCCGTGATTTGTTTTTTTTTACAATAATTAGATCTTAATATATACAAAAAAAAAAAGATTTAAACTGTAAAAATAAATATTTAAAAACTAATATTTTTAATGCTATTAAATTACTTTTTTTATATATAACGTGTGAAACTGTACCTATGTACCAAATATTGGTTCGGTCTCATAAATGTACAACTTTCTCTTTAGGGAGCGTGATGAATTAAATTCTCAACTAACATCCATGGCTCGTAAGAAGGACTCCTTGAACGAGGAGATTATCAGACTGCAGCAGAGACTCGAGCAAGCCAATGAGACCATTGGCCGCCTCAACCGAACCATTGAGGACTACGTTAAAGATGGCGAAGAGAAACAGGTAAAAAAATTAACTTTAAATCGCTTGGAATTTAAAAAAAATTATATTATTAAGCAAGCTGTGTAGAAAATATAAAATAAACCCTTTTTGCCTTATAATAGCCTCCACAGACACTGTAATGTAGGAAAGTTATCTGTGAAGGAGACGTGTTGTTGGTACAAAAGTTTACTTAAATTACTTACTTAATCTGCTTTAGAAGTAATATATTATATTGTCATGGGAGCTGCACGATACTACAAAGCATTAGAAATCAAACAAAATTCACAGCTCATTCAGTCAATCTGTCAGTAATTATTTTGTTGGCAAAGTTTTTGATATCTGGCGACAATCTCTACACCGTAGACAGAGAAACCTGTAGACTAACGATTAGCGTGGCCTCGAGTGAGATAGGACGATAACGTAGTTTTAGGTTATACAATAATCTTTATGACTTAAACATATTTATATAATTTTTTTATTGTTCTAAGAACTGAACTGAACAAGATTCATCAATCTTAAGCTCACAAAACACTTTTTTCTCACTTAAGCCAACTTGTAAACTCCTTAGATCGTTACGAACTGTCAAAGTTGTTTAGCAAAGTGTAGTTTGCTAAACAAAAAAACCGGCACGGAGAAATGGACAAACAATTACACTGCTCTGTCTCATTTCTATGCAAGACGTATGCATAAATCTATCTTTTTCGTGTGCGAATGCAAAAGAAGGCGTCGATTTGTCTATAGGTTTCTCTGTTGTCTACGCTCTACACTCTACGACCGTTTGACCATAGATTATTTATCACAGACTAGTTTGATAATTAGCAGTATGTGCGTGAACAATAAATGTTTCATTTTATTTGATTTGATGTATATAATGTACAAAAAATAATGTTTGTTTGTTCGTATTTTATTCGCTGCCATACCGTTTATCTGATTGCGGTATAACTTTCTGCTTCTCCTGTCTTCTTGCTATCATTTTCGCGAAGGTTATAGGCGTAGTACAATTAAATTAAAGTAGGTGGCGCACATATAGTAACGATCATTCAACTTCAAAGAATGTATTAATCCTTAATCCTAATAAAATAATATAACTTTTCCAAAAGAAAAAAAACGCTATTTCCACAGTTATTCCCTCTGCGGCTGCAACGCGCTGGGTACCAGCTAGTTAGTAATTGTTATTAATATTATACAGGGTTATTTATATAATATTATCCAGGATTGTTTATATAATATTATTCAGGTTTATTTTTCAATGAGTAGCCAAAGGAGACGGGCGAAAGTTCATAGAAAACTGGGCCTGATGTTACAGCAACGATTACTGTATTATTTTATTTATATATCAATACCATTTTAAAAAAACTAAAATGTTTACGAGTGCTTCATGGTAGAAAAAAAATGTAGGTTGTTATTTTGCTTATGCTATGCATACAATGTTATTCTCACACCAAGCTCTCACATTACACTTTAAGAAAATAATTATTAGACTTTATTGTAAACTAGACTTCACCATACTTTTATGTATTGTAGGAAATTCACAAATAGAAGATTCAGACGCCGCCGTCCAACTAAATTCTAGAAGTTTAAAATAATTATAAAAAAGCAGAAGGAGAATGAATTAAAAACATTTTCTCTTTTGATGATTTATTAATCGTCCACTTCATCACAAATAAAATATCGTCTAAAAACGGTGCAGGCGGTATTAAATTCTCTTGACACCTTGCCCAGCTTAGGTACCATATCATGGACATTACATGACAGCAACCTACAGTTCTTTTTCCTACCAAAGAATTGAAATAATACTGTTTGATGATCTCTCTACCATTAAGAGGACTGTCAACTAAAATATATGTAAAATATGTTTTTGAGCTTAAGTATATGTCTCGATTTTATTCGACCTCTCAATACCCAGCTAGAATGGTTGGATAGTACCATTCTAGGTGGCTATTAAGAGATCGAATAAAGACAATTCTCTTAGTAGGTTGCTGTCCGTTTCTAGATACACTTCTATTTTATATTTCCCATCTTGTATGTGTTCACCATAATGGGACCTAGCCCACTTAATTTGATAAATACCTAAAGATATTTTTATTAAATTACTGTGTGTGAGCTGGGGAAAATCATTTATCATTTTGCACATGTATTGTTGTAAAATCAGAAAAGAAACCGTCAGAATCCTTTATACGTAGCCAGAGTCGTTAAAGATGGGAATATTCTTACAGCACAGAAAAACAACAGAAAAAATTCACTACCACCGCAAGCTCAGAACCAAACAAAAGTTCCCTATATAAAAAAGTACTCTGTGAACAAAAGTAACAAATGATTTGAGTGACGTTTTAGTTTTTAAACTAACGTTGACATTTCCGCTTTGTGGCCTGTATAAAACATTGATAATCGATTGTGAAATCGATTTATTAATTTATTAAGTCAATTTATTTTTACGACTATTTTAAGGTGTCACGAGGGAACCATTGTTTAAATAAGAAGTTTCTTAAACTTATCTAAAGAAGAAAAGACTGAATCACTTTTTTATTGTCTTTTTTCTGTTTTTGTATTAAAATCGATTAACTAACCTATTTCATCTGGCAGCATTGTTTAAAAATAAAAATAACGGAAGTCAGTATTATTCTTATTAAATATTTAATTTCTTTTGCCATTATAAAACTGCTTGATACTTCATTATTAACTACAAAAAAATTTAAAAAAATATTGATAAATATTTCACTTGTGTAATGTTAGGCCCAAATTCGCCCGTCTCCTTTTACATTGAAGTTCAAAAAAATGAATTATTATATGCCGATATTACATTTTTTGAAAATACGATTAAATAAGGCTTCTACCTTTATTTGTAATGATCCCAAATGGAATATATGGTCAATAATTACTCTTACGCGCGCCCCTGTATGTGTGATTCAATTCACTTTTTCGTGTCTCAAGTTTCTGCCTACTGTTTACTTTCTTAATGACACGCTTACTACTTATTCTTAAGATAATAACTACATGTTGGGAGTTAAGATTCCAGTTTTCCTTTTACGGTTTTAACGCGCTTAGGATCGTCATAATAAACAAAATTAAAAAATATATTTTTGCTTATCAACGACGTAGCCGATACTGTCCTTGTCATAGTGTATTTGAAAAATTGGAATATACTATTTACAATTAAATTATGCAAGTAGTACCTCTAATATTGGTACCCCAAAATGGAATCTGACAGCGTCGGACGATAGTATTGACGGGCAAAACGAGAAAAACCGAACTCCGGTCAACGGTCCACATTATTTATGAATAACGTTTTACATATTTAAATAATGCTAGTTTTTACTGATTTTAACGCGTATATTACCTTTTTTTATATACCCGACATTTCGAGCACTTTACAGCTCCCATGGTCACGGGGGGGGACTGAGATGTTCAATGTTTAGATGTCATAGTTAACCGCGGTTACCATAGATTAAATTTATTAATTTTTGTTCCGATCAATGCAGTATGAACTTATAGTATCTTGAAGTCTTGCAAGTTGTATGTTTGGGTTGGGATTATGGAAGGTAAAAATGAGAGAAAGTTTGAAATTTTTCTTATATTATTCTGAACCTTTTCTGCAAATTTGGTTGGTAATCGCGAACGAACCCTGTATATAAAATTAATTTTCTGCACTCCTTATCCATATAAATTTTATACTCCTTCGTGCGTGCGATATGCTATTAAAGTGGTACAAAGTTTTTCCTTCACATATTAATATAGCGATGTCGTTTCGCACAGATTGCAATGGACAAGTTGGAGAAGGAAAAGCAAAACCTGCACGAACAACTGGCCAGCTTACGGTCGGAGAAAGACGCCCTGGAAGCTGTGCTCTTCGACACTTCCAGCCTGCTTGAAGACGCGGACTCGCGCGCTAGCAAACTGCAACAAGAACAGCAAGAGCTACAGTTGCAAAATGAGAAACTCAAAGGTTAAAACTCAGTATCATGCACGATAGATCGAAGGAAACATCAGCCTCTTAAATCTGGTGGGCCAATCTGCTCAACTGGAGATCCTTAAGTATGGTAGTGAATTGCTAACTTGCTTCGATGATAAAGAGACGACATCAATAGATCGGCCCATAGACATCTATATCTATTATCGATTTAGAATCAAAGTGTATATTTTTGTCACCCATAAAGGCTAAGATGGAATGGCTCGTTACCTGTAATAAGAGGTCCAGTTATTATCTAAATTCACCACATGAAACTAACCGCGTTATTTCCTTGTTCATACTGGCATTCTGTTAAAGCATGGTCTTACACCCCCCCCCCCCCCCCCGTCGAGTCGACCCATTCGTGCTGCAGCTATGTATAGCTGGCATAGCTGTAGTGTGGCTCTACCACGTGAGATATCCTTTCAATAGTATACGTATCATATGGAAAACAACGTTTAGTGGCTTTGTGTTTATGTTAATACATAACAAGCAGAATTTCAAATTGGCTTCTTAATTTTTTAAATTTTTGTGGTCAGGTCAAATTTCCCGTCTGACCAAAGACCTAGAAAACAGCGAGAAGAAACTACGAGAAACTAAGAACAATTTGCAGCAGCAAACTGGCAAGAAAGAAGCTGAATACCAACAAATTATCACCAACATCAGTCGGACTACTACCGAAAACATCACTAAACTGAAAGAAGAGAAAGTAAGGCAATTCACTGTTTTTATTCTTTAATAAAAGGTGTACAATAATGACTCATTTAAAACCAATATCTCATTTAAAAGTTTTAAATGTAATTTTACAGTACATTTTATTTGGATAGCCAACACCATCATTAATAAAGTCATTAATAGTAGTATCTTAAAACTAAATGGTTTTAAAATTTTAAGTCAAGTTCTTATTATTATCAAAATATTTATATGTACTTTACTACAAAAAACAGTTATTTTATGCTATAAAATATAATGCGTTAATAATCGTTGGTGTGTCTGTCAGTGATCGTGTAACTTTGAACCACTTGACAATTGAGGTAATATTCACACAATATTATATTTCTTTATTCAAATGGCGCTGTAGTCAGATTGTTAACAAATTCTCTGTTAATTTACAACAGTGTGATACCATCATCAACACCATCATATTTTTAACATTATGTTAGGAAGGTTTTACGTTAGAAATTACATTAAATAAGGAAGAAATCTGGACCCCTATAAGTGGCGCTGAGGTCGAATTACTAATAAATTTTATATACCCAAAGATTCTTGAATTTTATTGAATTCGGAGTGAAATTCATCGCGCCAGGTACTGGAATAGATTTTAGAACAACTTCCGCCGGACTCTTTATAAAATTCTAAGCTTAGTCATTATTAATAAAATCAAACGTTACTTCGCAAAAATCTATTATATTAACGATGTTAAAAATCTAACCAGCCACGATCCGCGTAATACAATAACAATGATGTATCTTTTACCTAGTTTGAAGAGCACCTGCCGGCATCTGTCAATAGAGTGTACTATCCCCGTCACCACTAATCCCAGCACCACTACTCCCAACAATACTACACTAGAAAAGACATACCACCGTCGATAATATGACACCTGTTTTGACACGAGGCATCCTCAGGTGAAGTAGACTCTGCTGTAGTGACTGACCGCTGAGTTAGATCGCCTTAGCGGTCATGCTGTGATGCGAAGGAGTTCATGCGGATCTTGGCTTGATTTGATTTTTAACATCGTTATTATGTAATAATTATTTTCTCTACTCAATAGCGCTGATGAATTTAGTAATGTGTAGTTTTTTTGCAAATAGTGTAAATAGTTTTAAATTCTTATTTATTTTTATTATTTTAACGTACATTTCAATATTTTTAAACGTTTTTTTTTCAATATACGTTTTAAGGAACAACTCCGTCAAGCCCTGGAACAAAAATTGAACCAGACCATAGCGACATTGACGAGTGAGAAGGAGGCATCGGAAGCTGGCGCGAGGGAAAGAGAAAAGAAGCTGCTGGCGATCAGAGATCAACTGCTGCTGCAGCATGATGAAGCCATGCTACGCGCGGAGAACGATAAGCAACAGGCTCTGTTAATGGGTATGTTTTATTTGTTATTCGAGTACAAATCATCCATAATGTTTGCTTTACTGAGTTTAATTTATTGCGTTATAGTTAGTACGAGATGAGACAGATATGTGAACTGGTTAAATTTACCGAGTTGCATTACGACTGTGTGCGATAAGTCATCATTACTGCAACATCATCGCCATCATCATATGATCGTCATAAGTCTCCCTCAAGGTGTACCACAAAGTACGGTCCTGACCTACCATCATTACTTAGTCAAGTATATCACACCACTTGATTATATCCATAGCCTTTATTCTAACTGTAGTCTACCAAATCTAGGAAATACATTTCGACAGCTGTCAGATTTAATGCACCAAGCATGCAAACCAAAAAATAGGAACGTATAACTGCCGACATAAGTCGTGAGCACATTTTTTATTGGTCGATACGACGTTGACCACGCTGACGTTCAACGTGATTGGTTCATTAGTCGATTCTCGTCGTCTATTGGTTTCGAACGTATCATTCGACTTCCGTACACTTCAGAGCAATAATTTTAGTGATAACTTTTTTTAATAAGTTTATTTTCGTTAATTGTTTTTGTCAGCTCGTTGTTAATTGTTGTTTGTGTATTCCTTGTTATTAATTGTTTTTGTTATTTCTTGTTTTTAATTATTTTTGTTGTTATAATTTGAGTGTTCAGATTTTGATCTAAATATGCAGAGAAGGAAGAATTCGGTGTGAAATAGACAATCCCGACAAATTTTCTATTCAGTGTTTAGTTACATGAAAAAAATTAGGTACTTCGAAAAACATCATAGACGTATATAAACAGACTGCTGAGGCGACTAATGTCTCAGTAGCTACTGTACGGCGCACCGCAGCACCAGATTTTATGGAAGGCATATCACCTCTTCCTTCTTCTTAATAAAATAATCAATTCTAACCACCAACAAGGTATACATTAAATACTTTATAGTAGTTAATAAAATAACGGACACGAATATCTGCAACATTACTGTATCAAAGTAAGAGTTGATGTGTTCGAGTAAACATTTTCATAAAAGTCGGCGAAAATATTAAATTACGAATTGAAATAATAAAGGTATCCAATAATTTTGCCCGACAGTGTACCTACCTCCCACCACAGTTTATCTGTGCTCACCATTCGTGTCGGCAACTATACAATATTCGATTCTTAAAATAATCGATATTGATTTATTTAGAGTCATTTACAGTTTGGTTTGAATAATACTAGAATAAATTAAAAACGGATAATTTAAAACACAAGATTTATCAGTTTCGTCGTATTTGTTGTTACTGCTTATTTCTAGAGACACAGTTACAAAAATTTAAGATTGAAACTAGATTAAAAATAATTAATATTTGGTTTTCAATAATGCAGTCGAAGTTAATGTCTATTTCAAAGTCATCCATAATCAATTTTTTTTGTTTTTTCTACTATTTTGCCCAATCATCCTTTGTGACATGGGTACATGCTTCAACGAATATAGAAGAAACAGTCTAAAAAGTTAAAGCCGAGGCACAAAATAAGAAGACAAACACAAAATTACAAAATTTCAATTCAAAACAGTCTATAAGTGCGCTCTTGCATAGTCGGACGCTTGTTAAGTTTTGCTATTTTTCATATAAATAACTGCAAAGAAATTTGCGCTTTATGTTAAGTACAATTCCGCTGTAATTGCCTTAAAGTAATTGTAATTAATGTGTTTAAGTGTGGCATACGTCAAGCGCCAATCGTAGCGAACATTGTTCTCGCCCTTGTCTCAAGTGCAATAACTTAACCTGTGTAAAAGGGACAGTGAATAACAATATAACTATCGCCTGTGCATCATTTTTCGGTCGCGTCATTATATTTTTACCGTCTTTCACAATTTACCGGGGAAAAAAATGAGTGTTTCAAGAACGCCACCAAGTGGATGTTACTCATCACAGCCAGATTTATCCAAAATACACGATGATGTTCCTACTAATATTGTTCAAAGGAAACGAAAATCACCAGATTGTCACTGTAACTATCAAGAAATACTGTCTGACTTTCAAAATAAAATAATGAGTTCTTTTCAGTCTGTTCTTGAAACCCAAAACGAAAAAATAAATAGCACTTTGAACGCATTACGCGATGACCTGTCTATATTTAGACAAGAAATACGTGAAATAAATGTCACTATTCAAAAACTATCGGAGGAGCAATCGTCAATCAAAAAAGAAGTCGACCAGTTGATATCAAATAATAATATTAATAGTCACAAGATAAAATCAATCATGAATGATGCTGAAGAATCGCGATCAATTATTAATAATCTTTCTCAACAACTTCGCTTGAAGGAGCAGCAGGGAAGAATAAATAACTTGGAAGTATCTGGGATACCTACCATGAAAGGAGAGAATCTGATGAGTATAGTCCATAACATAGCAAATAAGATTGGGTTTTCTTTAGCTTCGACAGATATTGATAGCATACACCGCGTGCAGCGTTTTATTCCGAAAAATAAAAAGGACGCAGCTTCGTACAATGGTCAACCCTCACGCGATTTATCTTCAATACCCAATATCATCGTGAGGTTCACGCAAAGACAACGTAAGAGAGAAATGCTTGCTGCTGTGCGTGCCCGGAGAGGTTTAACCACCGCTGATGCTGGATTGGACGGCCCATCTAAACCAATCTTCATAAGTGATCATTTAACACCGGATAACAAACTTTTATATAAGCAAGCTCGGCTTCTCGTCAAAGAAAATAATTACAAGTATATTTGGTTGTCCGAATGTAAGATTATGGTACGTAAAAACGACACTTCTAAAGCCTTACTAGTATCTTGCGAAGCCGATCTTACGAAAATAAAATGACTACATTTCTTTCCATCTATCGCCCCACTTTTATTATGTTATTATCCCTTTAAAAATAGTTTAAGGTTTATGAGTACGAAAAGAACTTTTGTCATTAATCCTAAGTGTTTGTATTTATTGCTACATAATTTTTGTGTTGGTGGAACTCTAATAAATATCATAATAAAAATACTATACTATAAAATACGATAACATTAACCTTTCTATTTACTATCAAAACGTGAGGGGACTACGCACTAAATCGCACTCTTTTTTAGAAGCTGTTATTTGTAATAACTACGATGTAATATGTGTAACAGAATCTTGGCTTAATGATAATTTTCATAACTGTGAGTTCTTTGATAGCCGGTACGAGATATATCGATGCGATCGTAACTCAACTGCTAGCGTACACGGGCGCGGAGGTGGAGTAATAATAGCGGTGAGCCGCGATCTTTGCGCAACGCACCGAACTGACATGCGCGCGCCACCGCCCGCTGAAGAAGTATGGGTGACGGTGACGGTGCCGCTTCACACTCACTCTTGTCCCACCACCTTAACTCCTCGCTCCGATAACGCATCTCGCTCCTTGCACATAATATCAACGTATATTGCGCACGGTAATAATCACGTATCGTTGTTGAGTTGTTTTTACGATAGAGTTAGTGACTTTATAATTCGTAATTCTGATGATGTATTTCTCGTACTCGGCGACTTCAACATAAGTCATGCTCATTGGTCTTACAACACATGTACTAATTCCTTAGATATACATACAAATAACGATAGCTTAGCTTGTCTTACAGCTGACTTTATGAGTTTATCCCTATTATCGCAACAAAAAAAAACAGCCCACCCAAAACAATAATCAACTTAACGTAAACGGCAGGCTCTTAGATTTAGTTTTTAGTAATAAAACTTGTCAAGTATCATCTTGCAAACTTCCACTTGTTACAGAGGACCCTCATCATAAGGCATTAGAAATTGATTTTAAACTAAGCTTTGCTCCTACACTCAACCCATGCAGAGGTACAAAAAAACAGTATCACAAAGCTGACTTCGTATCTATAAAAAAGGCCTTAAAATCTATTAACTGGGAAGAAAAATTTAGTTATATGACCGATGTGGAATGCATGACAAACTACTTTTATAATTCTTTAAATGATATTTTGAATAAATATGTTCCTGTTTGTAATTTCAATTGTAATTTAAAATACCCAGTGTGGTATACTAAGCCCCTTGTTAAATTATCGAAGGAAAAATGTAAATACCATAAAAAATGGAAGGTATACGGCAACATGAGTGACTATCAAACATTTTCATTATTAAGAAGCAGATTTAAAAAAAATGCTGCTTGACTGTTATAAAAAGTTTATTGAACTTTCCGAAAATAAAATAAAAACACATCCTAAGTTTTTATGGTCTTTTATAAAATCGAAAAATACCACTAGCGATTTTCCTGAAAAGATGTTGTACAAAGGTAAAGTTATTTCTGGTGGTTTAGATATTTGTAATGCCTTCAATGAATATTTCCACTCCGTATTTACAACCGTCAGCAATGTTAGTCACCAAGATTACCTGAGTAATCAAAGTTCACATACAACTTTAGATATAAATTTAACTGATATAAGCTTTGACTTAGTTCTTAAAGAATTACAAAAAGTTAATATCAATAAAGGCGCGGGTTCAGATTTTATTCATCCTCTTCTTATTTCGAAATGTGCAAATGAACTCGCAGTGCCGGTAACATTAATTTTCCGCACATCTGTCAAAAGTGGAGTGTTCCCCAAAATATGGAAATACTCTTTGATAACACCTATTCCAAAAAATAATAACAAAGACATAGTAACCGAGTATAGACCTATCTCGAAATTATGTGTATTGGGGAAGGTCCTTGAGAAAATTATTACCACTTACTTATCGCTCTCTGCTCGTCAATATATATCCCAACAACAACATGGATTTTTCAAGGGCAGAAGTGTTGATACGAATATGATAACTTTCACGGAATATTTACGAAGAGCCATGGATGACAATCTACAAGTGGATGTCGTGTACACTGATTTCTCTAAAGCCTTTGACAAAATTAACCATAGTTTACTAATCGCAAAGCTCGCAAAGGCTGGTGTACATGGCAACCTTCTTAGATGGATTGAATCGTACATAAAAAATAGAAGTCAAGCTGTATGTATTAAGGGATTCACCTCAAAATTTCTACCTGTACCTTCAGGTGTTCCTCAAGGATCTCATCTTGGCCCGCTCCTGTTTTCCTTATATATTAACGACATTGGACTAACATTAAATGAGAGTCAACATCTTCTTTACGCTGATGATGCCAAAATATATAAAATTGTTAAGTCAAGAGACGACTGTCTCAAACTGCAACAAGATTTACTTGCTTTAGAAAAATATTGTGTTACTAATCAATTATATCTTAATACTAACAAATGTCATGTGCTATCTTTTTCACGTAAAGTCAACCAAATAAATTTTGAATATTGTTTGAATGGCATCATTCTAAAAAGGGTTACTACAACAAAAGATCTCGGCCTAATCGTAGACTCAAAATTATCTTTTAACTCTCATATAGACCATATTATAAGTAAAGCTTTTCAAAGTTTGAGTTTCATTTTAAGAATAACAAAACCATTTAATAAGGGTATAACTCTCAAACTGTTATACTTTTCTTTTGTACGTTCAATCCTTGATTATTGCAGCACGGTATGGAGCCCCTCTTATCAAATACATATTGAGAGGATAGAAAAAGTACAAAAAAGTTTTTGAAATCCCTTAACTATCGTTACGGTATTGAGAACGAATCATATAATGAAGCTTTGTGCAGACACAAAATGCTAAGTCTTTTTAACAGACGCAAAATGTTTGACATTATTCTTTTATACAAAATTCTAAATTCATTTATAGATTCACCGACTCTTTTGTCTATGTTTTCACTTCCAGCAAGCGTTCGTCTTCCAGTGCGCTCCTCACGTTCGTTACCACTATTCATTCCTCCACGGTTTCATAAAAACTATACACGTAACTCTTATATATGTCGTTCCACCAACATGTATAACAAACATTTTTCAGAAATAGATCTTTTTAGCACTAGTCCTAATATTCTTAAAACAAAGTTAAAAAAGTTTTTGCAGTAAAATTTGTTGCCCGACTATGTTGTCTCACAATGTAAATAATATGATTTGTTAATGTATATTTATTGGCACTACTTGGTCTTTTTTTGTAAAGTGTAAATGTAAAATGTAAATTATATATTAAGAAATATGACTGTTTGCTGCCAAAATAAATGAAAAAAAAAAAAAAAGTATGCGTGGTAGAGCCATGCTGCAGTTATATTAATAGTAGAGTTGTAGCACGACTGGGTCGGCTAGACCGGTGAAGGACCACGCTCTCACAGAATACCAGCGTGAAATAGTAGCTTAATGCTACTGTATTTCGTATGGCGAGTGTAGAGAACCGAAGACCCTTTTTACTGGAAATGAGGCATTCTATCCTAGTCCTCACGAGTGACAACGCATCTGCGTTTTGATTTGTAATCGAGGATGATAGTATATATATATATATATATATATATCTACATCTCATATATAGATATATGAGGAGATGTAGATGTCTATTGCCCTACCATTTACCATCAGGTGGACTGTGTGCTCGTTTGTCAGCCTATCCTAAACAAATAATACATTAAAGAAATAATGATTCGATTATTTGAATATTTTTACCGATTATTTGAATATTTTTGCCGATTATTCGCTTAAGAATGAATTTTAGTCATCCAAACACTACGATAAGTTACATAGCGACATATAATTTAAACGACGTCAAGTAAAAAAGTTGATACGGGTTATTTTTTTAATATTTTGCTTTTTTTGAAAGATTTAAATTTAAATTAGTGATAAAAAACTACACACGTTGTAATGAAATATAGATAACTTCATACTTCTTTGGATTTACGTAAAAGGTTATTTTAAGTCGTGTGAGTACGCTTGTGCAAAGTTATTGAGAAATGATTAATGTGAAACGTCAAAAGGTATTTTTTAGATTTGGTTGACTATAATTTACGTAACGTGTATACGAGATGGTTATACATCTATCGAAAGCTATATGATTTTTGTGACCTTTCCAATAGTCGCCTGTACGACACCCAATGGACACAATTAAGCAATAGATCCTCTTATACTGCAACTACACGGCTTGCGTTGAAATTGACACGGTACAAAATATTATCTCCTGCAGCCCATCAAGAGCACCAGGCGCTGTTGGAACGTCTGGAAGAAGCGAAACGAACCCTGAACTGCGAGCAGAACAAATTGGAGCGAGTACGTCGCGATGCGCAGGCCAAAGCCGAGCAGGACAGGACACAAATGAACCTGTTGAAGGAGGAGCTAGCTGCGCTCAAAACAAAACTCGAGGAGGCCAAGTATGTTTGTTTTATTTCTTATATCACAGAAAACAAAAAGTACTATATACAGAATGGCCACCCACTCGCTGATCCGACTTTACTTACCTCGTTCAAATAATATACACAATTCATTTGCTCTAAGCGGAGTAACATACATGCAGGTTTCATTTAATTCACTCACACAACAGCTCCATTTACGTGCACGTGTATTCATGTGCGCTTGGTAAATGATTAAGACACATTTGTTTATTTATATTTGAAACTAATATATCTTAATGTTGTATCCTCAATAAAGAATCGAAAACACAGCATATGCTCTGATCCCTTTTTTATAGAATAACGATGACGAACCAGCTCACAATCTACTGGTAAAGTGGATACTGTGACCCAAATACATCTACATTTATCCTCGAATCAAAATGCAGATGCGTTGTCACCGTGTGGACTGAGATGGAATTCTTCGTATCTAATAAAAAGGATCTCCGGTTCACTGCACTCACTATACGGAACACAGCAGCATTAACCTGTTATTTTGCGCTGGTATTCTCTGATAGTCCTTCCCCGGTCGAGTCGACCCATTCGTTCTGCAACCATAATATAGCTGCCTGTTACTTTGACCAGTTGCAAGGGTCTCAAATTCTCTTAGCGCAGCAAATGAAACAGTCATTATACTGTTATTTACTTTCGTATTCTGTGAGAGGAGAGTGCCAGTTTGAGATAACCTCTTGTTATATTAGTTACATATTGACTAATTAAGTACTATTGATCTTTTTAATTATAGGCTGATTCTATTTTAGTCCTCTTAAGAAGCAAAAGCGTCTGTAGGCTATTTTTGTTGAAGTAATCGTTTAAGATGACAGTGTCGTTAGCTCAAGTTTTTGCCAGTTACGTTGTAGTATCCTTTCATTCATTCATTTATTACGGCCTATCAAAGTTCTACTAATGGATATAAGCCTCCCTATAGATTGTCTCCTAAGGAGAATATTTGCTTTATTTGAATTTGAATTATTTGATTTTTTCCTGTACCGTGGAGGCAGTTTACATACGAGTACATAAATTGCACAAGGAGAAACATCCAGACCCGTAACAATTACTTGTAGGCCGTATAAAAATTTGTTCCGTGCGAGCACCGAATCCCCAGCCCTCAATGCCGTATCTCACTGCGCCACGGAACCGTTGTTTTGAGGGTTTGACAGCCACAATTTGCTATTTATATACTAGCTGTGAAAACCTGCTTCGCTGGGTTATTTTTCGTCGAATTCATTCATGTGTGTATATTTAATTAAATTACATAGTTATTTTTTTTTAATTAAGAACACATGATTTTCTTGTAAAATTTTTAATTGTGTGCTGTGTGTGTGTGTGTGTGTGTGTGTGTGTGTGTGTGTGTGTGCGTGCGTGCGTGCGTGCGTGCGTGCGTGCGATTTTGTTATGACGTTGAATATATAATATTGGAGTAATTTAAAAAAAAACTATTTTTTTCAAAGTTTTGTTAAGGCGATACCCCGACCAAAACCTTTCGTTTTTCAAAGACTATTATCTCATTAGTTATGAGAAATGAACTACATCTAAAAGCACATTGTTAATGTTCGATATCCTATCATCACATTCCACGTTCTAATTTGTTTTATGTGTTATAAATACATTTAAAATAAACTTTTAAAAATGATTAAAATCATTGATTACATGCATCTGTTGATAAAGGTAACGCTCTAATCATTTGAGGATTACACTAATGGATAGATATTTGAAAATCTATACTATTCACGTTCTATTTAATTCCTTAAGTTAGCTTTTCTTTTTTAATTCAAATGATTCCAAAAATTTGGGCGTATTTCTTACGCGATATATTGTAGCGAGAGCGCGTGGATGGTATAGGAGGGAACGTTCAAGGTCGTTCGCTAGGAGTAGCGCCTTAGTTTGATGAAACACTTTGGAAATCCGCTTAGTTCATTTCATTCGGTCAAGCCGTTCAAAATTTATAAGAGATTTATATACAAAACACACGCACGCATGCACGCACTAATGCACACACACACACACACACACATGCACACACGCACACACGCACTAATGCACACACGCACACACGCACGCACGCACGCACGCACTAATGCACACACGCACGCACGCACGCACTAATGAACACACACACGCACACACGCGCACGACGCGCACGCGCACACGCGCACGCGCACACTCACGCACACACACGCACGCGCACGCACACGTGTGTTTTGTGTAGAGGATATTCTTAATTCACCACAACACGGAAATTGTATGGAAGTATGAACAGCAGTAAATGGAACTGTGCTTTTCCATACAAAGTCATGATAGACCATTATACTTTAAACACTAAAATTTCTTTATTATACAGAGCTTCCGCGGAAGACGAGTGCGCTCGGTACGAAAACCGCATCAAAGAACTACAAATAGAGAAGGAGGCGGTGTGCCGCGAGGGACAAGAACTGCGCGCTCAACTTACACTTGCTGAAGACAAGCGCGATTGTACGCATGCACAACTACAGGAAACGCTGAGGAAGCTAAAGGAATGTGAGTATTACTCTTTTCAATAAGGGATTCAAACAGGATATCAAGCTGCCGGAAAGTAAGTGCTTACCGCAGCGCGAAAACTGCAGCTAATATTACCCCTAACAATGAAGCATAATGCTCATGCAACAATAATATAGCCTTTATATCTGTAAGTTGTACTTACAGGTTGTAATATTATACTGAATACGATAAAAAAACACTTAGTTAATAAGGTCGTGTTTTACGTGTTAAATGTTTATTGCATACACCAGTTATATCACACATGGTAAAGTCTCGTACAATACATAACACACAGTTTTTTTTAATTAAAAATATTGTAAATGCCGTGTGGTAAATATATATAATTGTAACTTCTAACTTGGGTGAGCGAGGCGCGAACTGCCGCAGCGAATACAACTCATTACTCACTCAATATCTATTAACTATACATAAACTTGACCAGCGAAGCGGGCACAAGTACTTTAATTTAAAAAATATTGCTAACAATTCAACAATTCAGACAGTAAAGTTGGTAAGTAGAATTTCGTGTGATTAAGTTTTACGCGAACACTACACATTGAATAAAACTATTATTTACGGATTTATTCCGCGTTTAATTACAACTTTAATTTATTTTTATTATCCCGACGTTTCGGGTGCTTTACAGCACCCATGGTCCGGGGGGGGACGTCAAACATCTCAGTCCCCCCGCGACCGCGGGTAATGTAAAGCACCCTAAACGTCGGGATAATAAAAATAAATTAAAGTTGAATTAAACGCGATAAAATCCGTAAATAATAGTTTTATTCAAAGTTTTACATTGTTTTAGCTGCTGAATCTATACAAAAATACTAATTATAATTTATATAAGTTTATTAATTTAGAATTTTGAAAATGTGATTTTGTAGATAAAATTTATTTATTTTTTATTATACAATTTTAATATTTAAATTTCTTTAAATGTGGTATGTCATTCATTCATTTCATTGTTGCACGTGCATTGCCACTTTTGTAAACTAAGACGATTTTCTTACAACTTGTAATTACACTGTTTTTATTAACTGTTCTTAATTCCAGATTCTACAGGGCAGTAGATTTTAGATACCAGTATGCACAGTACGATAAATGCAATTTCCATAGTGCCTTACTGCCAAGCGGGTGAAATAACATAATTGTTATTTTAACTTTGATTGTTGCGACATGAGTACATAATGATATAGTAACGAGATGTTCTATCTTAGTCGTCAGGGGTGACAACATATTTGTAATTCGATTCTTAATCGAAGATGGATGAAGGTGTCTATGGGCTATCGGGTGGACTGTGCTTGTTTAGTTATCTCTACTTCTATAAAAAATTGAATTAAAATTGTATATCTCGTTGGTTGCGAAAAAGTGTACAAGGAAAATTAAAATAGGAGATTGGCGGTAGCATTTTTCTGTTAACAATTTCAGTATCATAAAAAACGGTAAAAAACGACTGCCAAACTGCTAGCCAAGCGTGGCGTGGCGACTATGGAAAAAGACAAAGGTAGCAAACTCTTCAACCCACTTATGACGTCATCATTAACAAAAGTTTCAAAAGCTATTAAAAGTTATCTATATAATGCCTTTTTAAATTGGTGTTTATAATATTGTTATGCTATAAAGCAAAAATATAAAAGCGACACCTTATAAAAAGTTGATTTACCGTATTGGCGAATCTTGTCGTGTCCGTAGTGGAGAACGAGTTCGAGAGCGTGCGCAAGGAGCTCACAGAAGTTCGGCGGCAACAAAGCGCTTGTTCAGCCGAACGGGAGCAGCTGGCGAATGCGTGTCGGGAACTGCGGGAGCACGTGAAGCGCGCTGAACATGAACGGCGGGAAGCAGCAAGAGCACGGGACGACGCCTACCACAAGATCGCAGGTCACCGCTCGTTACCATCGTGCGATATTTAGAATACCCATAAGTTAGTCTTACGATTACAATGTGTGAATGTCATGTGTGTTGCTTTCAATGGGTGTCTTCAAGTTAGGGATTAAAAAACCGGTTTTACTTTTCGCTACGGTTCCAGTTTTGGTTGCTTTAAAGTTTTTAGATATGCAATACGATGTAACCAGAAGTTACATGCAACAGGAGCTTGTTATAAAATTTTATAAACAAGTGACGAACTAAGCAGATTGCGGCGAAAAAAATACTGTCTACTGAATTTGAATACCTTTTTTACTTATTATTAGGTAGTGCTTGACTACAGTACGAAGTACACTATATTGTGTAAATCATACTCAACACTTTACTTCAATATAAAGTTAGTTCCAATGCGTCCCAAGTTAGTTCACGACAGGCACGTTTGTGCGCACATAGGAATTATAAATTAATCGGTTAATATAAATATTTTTACAAAAAATTATCAATATATGAATTAAAAATATATGAAAACCAAAACGACTATAATTTAAACTAATTGTACACACATACAAAAAAAAACAAAAACCTGTACATAGTGGTCCTTCGAGCCAGATTTGATTTTTTTATAATATCTATGTGCGCACAAATCGTGTCCGTTAGAAACTAAGTTGAAACGGATTGGAACTAACTTTATATTAAAGTGTTGTGTATGATTTACCTACACAGTGCTGTGTCTTTCGTACAATAACAATCATACTAAGTGTAAGCGGTGATATAGTTGTTGATCGCACTGTAAACTTATAAAAAAACTATTCACTGTTGCCTTCAAGGGTGCTTCAACATAGATTTGTAACGAAAAGGCAGACGCTGGCAAAATATTATTATTCGTTGTTTTAAACATCACCTTTAAAGAGCACTTAAATCTAAAGAGTAATTACCCCATAGCTTTGGAAGAGTCGCGTGCGTCATTGGAGTCGGAGTTATCGCGCATGCAGGCGCAGCTGAAGGAGGCGGAGTGCGGCGGCGAAGCGCAAGCGCGCGCGCTGCGTGCCGCCGAGGCGCAGCTGAAGCGCGAGCGCGCCGCGCTGGACCAGGCGCTGCACGACATCAAGGAGCTGCAGTCTAGGTCACTCTACACGTTTATAGCTCTGTCTTACACTAGGAACTCATATCAGGTGGAGTTTTGGCGGTGTTGTATTTGATTTTTCTAGTTATTTATATTATTAGGTTATAATAATAATTTGATATGTTCATTGAAACGCGAAATTAATTAATTCACGAAATTTTATTAGTACACACATTCGCTTAACTTGTCCAGAGAGAGAGAAAGTGTTGCCCACACCACCTTTGTAAAATTTCCCATTATGTGTTACCACACTCTTCCCCACCCACAATGTTATAAAATTAGGACACATTTATCTTATTTTTATTTTATACAAAAGTGAAGGTTATTTATACAAATAAATTATAAATATTACATGACTATTCACCTTCAACTGTTACTGCACACTTCAACATTTGATTCACATGACGTCTCAACGACAAGTCTCCCCTGAACTTCAATCATAAATCAAATCCATTTTTTTTGCCTTATTTCTATAGTCCCTTACAATCACCTTTTCCCCCACACTAAATATTACCGACCTGCTTCCTCGACTACATTTTTTTTAATTTTTCATCAAGCATTTGTAATCGTGCACTAATTGGTGGTGGTCTTAAAAGTAAGAACCTAGATCTTAATTCACGACGAAATAATAACTTTGCTGGGCTATCACCGGTGATTCTATTAACACTTGTTCGGTAGTCGAAAAGAAATAAATTAATGGCATACTCTAAATTATGACCACTTTCTTCAATTTTTTTACATGGATTTTAAAAGTTTGAACAAATCTTTCTGCCGCCCCATTTGTTGCCGGATAGTAAGGTGGTGTATAACTTATCCTAACACCTGTCACATTGCAAAATTCTTTAAACTCGTTGCTTGTCCAGGTCGTACCATTATCCACCACCAAATGGAGCGGGTAACCAAATCTAGAATATAAATCTTTAAAGATTGAAATTGTTTTACATGCTGTAATATTTGAAACCATAAAAGCTTCAGGCCATTTTAATAACTGTCAACTATTACAAGGAACATTTTCCCACAAATAGGTCCAAGAAAATCTGCATGCAACCTTTCCCACACAGACTCAGATCATGGCCATGTAGACAATAATGCTTTCTCTGGGTTATCACGATTTTCTAGACAAATTAAACATGATACTGTTATATTGCTTATGTCCTTGTCAATTGTTGGCCACCAAAAATAAGAATGTGCAATTTGTTTCATTCAATTTGTTCCAAAATGACTTGAATGTAACTCATTCATGATTAAAATCTGTAGGCATTCACGAATGACCACTCTATAACCCCATAACAAACAACCTTAATCAATTGTTAATTCATTTAGGGATTTTTCTGCTATTTTTAAGAGCTTATATCTAATACCCCATAACAAACAACCTTAATCAATTGTTAATTCATTTAGGGATTTTTCTGCTATTTTTAAAAGCTTATATCTAATAGTTTCATTATGGACACCATTTAACAATCTTTCCTTTAGTTGTTCATTCACATCAGTAAAGGCACAATCTCTTGTCATTTTTCGCAGTACCAGCATGTAATCCTTTATAGATTCTGATGGTTCTTGTTTCGTACCTGTGAATTTCGCTCTAAACATAGCCACATTTGTTTTTGGGTGATAAAAGTGGTTTAACTTTTCACACAATTCTTCATATGTAAGTTTAATTGGAGACAATGGTGAACAAAGACCATTTACATTTTGATAAACATTGCTACTTAATTTTGTAAGTAACATTGGACTTTTTTCTCTGATATATCATGTAACAACATATAACAATTCAATTGTTCATAATAACTATTCCAATTACCTCCACTAAAATTATCCAGGCTTGATGGTAATATATTTGCCATGTTTATGCGTAATGATTCCTCAAGCGAATGCTTTTGTGTTGTTTTCACGTATGTCCTTAACAATTTTCGTAGTTCTTCAATATTAATGTTTTGGTTTATAGTTAGGTATACCGCAAACAGATATACCTAGGTCTCTAGCTAAAATTAACAAAGTTTCTTTATTTCCTGATTGTATCCAAGAAGTTTTGCCTTTGCTTTAGCTCTTCCATTATTATTACATTATATTACTTGCTTAATTTTAACCACCAGTCATTGCAGTTTTATGCAAACAAGATGTCCGCCGACGCCGGTAAAATGTTCGGTAATTTGCACACGTTGTTCTTAAAACCTCGTCGCCACTGTTGTATTTGATTTTTCTAGTTATTTATATTATTAGGTTATAATAATAATTTGACATGTTCATTGAAACGCGAAATTAATTAATTCACGAAATTTTATTAGTACACATTACATCGCTTACTTGTCCAAGAGAGAGAAGAGAGAGAGAGAGAGAGTTGCCCACACCACCTTTGTAAAATTTCCCATTATGTCTTACCACAGGCGGGAATTTGGCCGTCGACGGATTGTCGTCTGTTTTGTTGCTTGAATAATGATTTGAAGTGGATTTTTATTTGTAAAAGTGATGCGATTTTGTGAATTAAGTGTCTGCGCGTGCGAACTATTAAGAGAAAACGATGAAACAAGTGGCATTGATGTTGATATAAACCTCAAGTTATTTTGATCGCATGGGCGCCTTATGAACTTAAGTGGCTGTCGTCAACTGTCCGCTGGGTTGACCTGCCGTCAAAATCTCCCAAAAACTTCGCAATGTGTATCAGTATATTGTGAGGAAAAAATATATAGAAATGAAGATTCCGAAAGAAGTGATAGGCTCAGAAGGGCTAGAACCCACAGACGTAAAGCTAGTTAAATAAAAACAATGTCATTCCGAGTCAAATGCACCAACGTCTCTGGAAGCTGCAGCTTATGTACACTACATATTTTTAACGGTTCAATCATTGTTTCATTCTTTAATTATTTTAAATATTTTTAACGGTTCAATCATTGTTTCATTCTTTAATTATTTTAAATAATCATTACAGCCTATCAAAGTCCACTGCTGGATGGCCTCTTGGATATATTAGCCATAGTTACTATGCTTGGCAGGCGGATTGTATTTTATTATTTTGATTTGTTATCAGAAGAGTGCTGCTAGCCATCTATTTCATTCTCTTCTGTCGCCTCTTACGATACTCTGTGGAAGTCCAATGCTTGTTACGATATTCTGTAATTAGGGCTAGATTAGATAAATTAAACACACCGGTCACAGGTTTACATATTTTATTCATTATAATTCATATGTATTGAAAAGTGAACACACATATTATACAATAACTAACACAAACATTCCTTATACTTGTAGGAATGTCATTTTAGGAAGTTTTCGTCGCCAGGTGGGCTATCCATGGCGGATTACCGAAATAAAACAGTCTTTAGGGTTATACACACGCGTCCCAATCAAAGAAACAGCAAAACGATAATGGATTACAAAGACGTCAGTCGGTTACTTTTGGAAACGCATCAAGTTCGTTACGCGGCTGGCTACACTAGTGAACGATACGGTGGCTTGACAAGAATTGGCGGCCCGTTCTGGCCGCCGGCCGCATATCATAAACTTAATTCTGTTGGCTAAACTGTCACTTGACAAGTTGAATCAGTACCGACCTAACGACTATTTTTTTTTTTTGGAGAAGAAAGGTGACAAACGAGCACACAGTCCACCTAATGGTAAGTGGATGCTGTGACCCATAGACATCTACATTTGTCCTCGTTTCAGAATCAAAACGCAGATGTGTTGTCACTCCTAAGGACTAAGATGGTATGCCTTGTTTCCTGTCTCCGGATCTCTACACTCACCGTATGAAACACACCAGTATTACGCTGCTATTTTACGCTGGTATTCTGTGAGAGCATGGCCCTTCCCCGGTCAAGTCGACCCATTCGTGCTACAACCGTAATATAGCTGCAGCGTGGCTCTACAACGTTGCAGCTATATTATGGTTGTAGCACGACTATCGATCTAAACGTCATTTATCGAACCAGTGCGCCAACTCTGCAGCTAAACTTGACGTTTCCGATTTCTGAACGATTTGAACTTCTAAACAAGACCATCACTGCGTAAAAACTAAAGTCAATAAACGAAAGTTATCGATGGCTGCCGAACGCGGCACCGGTGTGTTTACTATCTTAGCATTACTAATACGTAGAATGTCAGCCGGGTCTACAGTGACCTTTATACTGCACACAAACGAGTGTGAGTTTCTCGATCTTTTTTACCCCGCCAGCCATGAAGGTTAAAGAACAGGAGAACGATCGCCGTAGAAAATAGTGTCCCACAAATATGGACACCATGAGTGAGGCGCTGCGATCGCTAAATTTGGTCAATAAAAGTCATTTTTGTCTATTTTTCCGATCCGACGCTAAACCACGCACAATAAAATATTTCTCCATTTTTTAATTTTTCTTTTTGGCAAAAATTACAAAATTACGGAGCATGAAAATTTTCTCACTAATGCAGCGGAGAAAATTTGTACATTATTCAACTAACTTCACCTACTTGTACTCATAAACAGCTAACTTCGCAGCCACTACTCACCGACGTCGGCGCCGCTATAAATGAACGACCAACCCTTAAAGCGGAGACCCCCCACCCCCGCGCCGATGATTTTGTTTAGTGACTAAAAACCGTTATCATTATTTATGTGCGCACATTGTCAATGTGTTTTGAACTTTATTTTAGATAAGTACGTAAAGACGGGTGAAAATTTATAGGAAGTTGGGCCTGATGTTACAGTAACCATTACTGCATTATTTTATTTATATACTAAAACCATTAAAAAAAAAACTAAAATGTTTATGACTCTTCATGGTAAAAAAAAGAAGTTATTGGTTTGTATAAACAATATTTTATGTTATGCTTACAAAGTTACTCTTACACGAAGCTTTCACGTTATAGTTTAAGAAAATAATTATCAGACTTTATTGTTAACTAGAATTTACTGTACGACATTCACACATTGAGGATCCAGACGCCGTCCAACTAAATTCTAGAGGTTAAATAATTAATAATTATAAAAAAGCAGGAGTATGAATTAAAAACACTTTCTTTTTTAATGATTTATTCATCATCCCCTTCATCATAAACAATAAAATATCGTCTAAAAACTGTGCAGGCAGTATTAAATTATTTTGATGCCTTGCCCAGATTAAGAGAACATTTAACTAAATCTTATTATGTAAAATATGTTTTTGAGCTTATACGTCTCGATTATATTCGACCTCTTTATAGTCTGCTAGAATTATTGGATATTGACAGTTCTATAAGCAGGTTGCGGTCGGTTTTTTTTTTTCTAGAAGAATAGTATTGAACTATGGTCGGTACGGTGAAAACAAGGGAAGTATTATTAAATTTAATAAGACAAAACTGCTATATTTCATTATAACTACAAAAAAAACTGAAAAAATAATTAATAAATATTTCACTTATGTAACGTTAGGCATAGATTTGCCCGTCTTGTTTATTTCGTATTTGCCTAAAAACAGTACCTGTCGTAAATGAAAATACAACTTCGTGGCATTTTACAGTGCCAGCTACGCGATCGCTACTGATTTGATCCACACATGATACATTGTTTTGTCGGTATAGTAGTGTACATAGAAGTATTACATAGAAGTGGATTTAATGGCTTCAGGCATTAAGTGCGCCCTTTATAAACACTTTTTATTCTTTTGTTTTAAGGAATGCAATCAAAGTAAAAGCACCATATCCAGTAATAATTACAATAAATAATAATTTTGAATCATTAATCTGGTAAGGCAGGTAACAGTAAGTCTCATTTTCTTTTAAATACACGTTCGGGGTCGCTAAAGATGTCGATGTCATGATTGTTTAAGCTGTTGTTAGTTCGCATACATCTGCTTAACGGGAAAAACTTACCTAAATTGGTTCTACTGATGGCAATATTGAACAAATTAGTAATTGGCTGTCTAGGAATATGTATATGTGTATAAACTTGTTGCAGTAAACTTGCCGAAATTAACTTACCGTGTAGAAGTTTATGTAGGTAGCGTCATTAAGTCTAAAACTTTTCATAAAAATAAAAATTTCTTTGCAACCTTCCGGTAAATAAATAAAATGATGTGTCTTACCTGGATTGAAGAGCACCTCCCGCCCTCCCTCAATTGCATGCACTAACTCCGTCACCACTAGTCCCAGCACCACTACTCCCAACACCACTATTCATACACTTAGCGGTCAGCCGCCGTAGAGTCAACATCACCTGAAGATGCCTCGTGTAGAGGCGAAACACGTGTCGTATTATCGTCGATGGTGTGTCTTACCTGGAATAGTGGTGTTGGGAGTAGTGGTGCTGGGACTAGTGGTGAGGGAGTTAGTGCATGCAATTGAGGGAGGGCGGGAGTAGCTCTTCAATCAAGGTAAGACACATCATTGTATTTATTTAGCGGAAGGTTGCAAAGAAATTTACATTTTTATTTTTTATTATAATGGATTTCCGCAAAGTAACGCCTGATTCTATCAATCATCTAAAAGTTTTCGTCGATCAGCCAGTGAACTCATTCCAAGATGAGAAAGCCTAGAGTTATAATCTTTATAGTATGGACAGTTTTGAACTTTATATGCAATGAACTTTATACAATATGTAATGCTTAATTGCGTAGATTATATCTCATTCTCTCGCAAGAAAATCATTACATATACAATATATAACGTAATTAACGCACACCCTCAGACACCCCAATTAGTATATTATGCTATGATCATAATACATACACTGAATTTTTAGTTAAACATTTTTATGCACTGATTATTTATCAAATTAGTTATACTAATTTCGGAAGAATGTTGTGGTCACAGTACGAATCCACGAACGCAAAGACTTTAACGTGCTTGAAATAAAGTTCATTTTTCTTTATTTTTACTGAATGACAGAATTAGTAATAATATAAATAAAACTGCACTCTTAAAAGTCTTATTGCCTTAAGTTACGGTCCATTTCAGTTTTTTTTTGACTGAACAGATTTAGTGTGACTGTAATTTACGTAGTTTTAATTATTTTTGGGATAAAAAATTACCTATATTAAAAATGATAGGAATCGATTCAGTAAACGACTCTGAACAAACTACTTTCTCAAAGTGCATTAATTATGTTACGTGTTGTATACAGTAAATAAATATATAAGTGTTTGTGTGTAATTTTTGATGATAATGGTGTAGGCTGCAGAACGAGAGCGAGGAGCGCGAGCGTTGTGCGGGTGAGGCGGCGACGGGGCGACGCCGCGCCGCGGAACTGGAGGCGCTGGCGGCGGCCGCGCGCGCCGAACTGGCCGCTTGCCGCCAGCGCTGCGCCGACCTGGAGCACGCCTGCCGCGCCCGCGACCAGGTGCTCAAGCCCCTTAACGTGGACGTACCTCGCACACACTAACAACGTACACTCACTCATCGTGTTTCATGCTGTTGGAAAAGCCGACATCGTCTAAGACTTTAGTCTTAAGTTTTAGACAATAGAAGGAAATAAAAAATAAGAATTTTATTTGAAAATTAATTAATTTATTAATTAATACGTGGTAGAGCCATACTGCGGTTATACTGGACGTTTAGTTGTGGCACGAATGGGTCGGCTCGACCGGGGAAGGACCACGCTCTCACAGAGTACCAGCGTGAAATGGTAGTTTAATGCTGCTGTATTTCGTATGGTGAGTGTAGAGAACCGGAGACCCTTTTTACTGGAAATGAGGCATTCCATCTTAGTCCTCACGGGTGACAACGCATCTGCATTTTGATTCGTAATCGAGGATAGATGTAGATGTCTATGGGCCACAGCAACCACTTACCATCGGGTAGACTGTGTGCTCGTTTGCCTCCCTATACTATATAAAAAAAGAAACTATTATATTTCACGTTAAAAAAAATAAGAATTTTATCAACTATTGGTGTTCAGAAATAACAAAAAGAGGTTATTATAAGTGCAGTTGCAACAAAAATAATTATATCGCATCATCGGTTGAACTGACGATCTGTCACGGCTTTACTTCTTCGTATTAGAATACAATATAAGCAGTTTATAACGTATCTTCGAGTAACAACAACCTACTTAAAACATTTTTTTTGAATACTTGTTATAATGTGTGTGGAAGCTTTCAAGTTGCATACGCCCAACTTCTATAGACAAAGATGGCGCGACAAAATCACGTTATTAGGGTTATCATCTAAGTAAGATCCCTAATATAAGCGATTTCTACATTTTGTGAAGAGAGGATGGCGAAAGATTTTAAAGTGTTAGGTATAACTTTAATATCGGCCATATTTTAACGGATATTGGTTTTTTTTCAACTACCATATTAATTTTAAATATTCTTTTAAGTGATGTTAAGTACTTATTCGATTTTAACCTAACTACCATACCTTTCCTGTGTATCTGGAAACGGATGAAACTTTAATTCCATATCATTAAATGAATTGTATATTTGAAACATAATATTCAAAACCGCTAATTATTTGTCCCCGAAGGAACTGGTATTACGTCTAGAAGATTGCCGTTCTAAAGAGAGGCGACTTGAAGAACTCAAACATAATCTGGAGGTGTGCCTTGCTGATGCCACACAGCAGATACAGGAACTCAAGGTATAGTCATTAATAAACACTCGTGTTCCGAGGACGAACGTATTCTCTACATTTTTGTGAAAAAGAGACACCTGGGTAGGTATATATCTATTCTTGGTGCATTACTGTTTCATATATAATATGTATTATGTACCATTTTTCATTTAAAATTATAATAACGTTGTTTTATATGTAAATACTTTACGCATATTTTAGGCCCGGAAATCTGAAACCCTTGTTGAAATAAATAATATTGGGTGCGTTTGGCAGAAAAAAGCGCTAGCAAGCGCTTACAAGCGCTAAAATAGTTTTCGGCCAGGCACCCGACGCCCCCACTTTTTTTTTTTTTTTTTTTTTAAAGAAGGTTTTTTAATATATAATAAAAAAAAAAAAAAAAAATTTAAAAAAGATGGTAAGAAAAAAAAAAATATTAATAAGTTAGGAACCGACAACAAAAACAGGAGAAAAAGCACAAACACCCATTGTAACTAAATACTTAAGATTGGGAACGGTATTCCATGTGAGGCCGAACCTGCGCCGTGTAAAGTTACAGACGTTGCAGTCGCAGTCGTCTTGCATACGGTGTGGCTGGCATGAAATACGGAGCACGCCAACCATTTTAGAGGCCAACTTGGCCTTCTCTTACTTTTATATGTCGACGCCGAGGATTTCGATACTAGCTAAGGCATCAATGTTAGTGCCTTGAAACTGTGGAGATACGACAAATGGGTTCTTTTAGCGGTAAACGCGCAAACTTGTGTCATCTGGGGATTAAACTGGACTAAATTTAGTCGCCCCCAATCTGATACTTTATTAAGCAAAGACTCGATTTCAGACACAAGTTTTGTTTCGGGACTAGGCGACGTTTTCTCGAGAAATATTGGCACGACCGGCGTACAGAGCATCACCAGTGCTGTCATCTGCATAGCAATGAATGTTACCGGTTTACAACATATATGATATGCGTTTTACAACATATATTTTTGCCGTGTGGTGTGCGGCGGAGTAGAATAGCACCACCTCATATCTACCTGTGGGTGTCGTAGAAGGTGACTAAGGACTCCCTTAGTCACATAAGTGGAAAAAGAATGACCCCCTGTACCTTTTTCTCTGATATACCTACTGTTCCATCTGTCCGAGTCCCCTTCCGGTCGTAACGATCCCCGTTTCACTGGGTCCAAGGGGACAAAGACGAGTATGTGCACCTGTGTCCGCGCGTACACTTGTGCACGTTAATATCTCCTGCGCAATTGACCTGCTTCCAAATAGGACTCCTATCTAAACCAATGTCCTACGGCGATGGCATGAGGTAGAGAGGCTTAACGTGATGCACGTTGGGTTTTGTCTGACTCCTGCACGTAGGCGGTCTTGGGGGTGTAGCGTACATCGTGGTCGTTTCTGCTTGCCTCAGAGCCTGATTATATTACCTGATTTGCCAAAATTACAAGCTTTGGTTGCTAGTAAATCAAGTTGTTAGTAATAAGAAATTAATGATATATTGCTTAAAATTTTTTTCGCTATTTGTCGTTGACGATAATATCTCAACGCGCCGTAACAGACGCAAATACATAAGGTTCACATTACCATTGAAACACGTCATTCATTGTTTCCACAAAAAGTTTACATTTAATACACAAAAGCGCACCACTTTTAGGTATTAAGACTGTAAAGTAGTATACACATAGAAATAATGCTAGTTTTTACGGATTTTATCGCGTATATTTAACTATAAATACCCGACGTTTCGAGCGCTTTACAGCACCCATGGTCACGGGAGGGGCTGAGACGTTCAACGTCCAGATGTCATAGTTAACAGCGGTTACCATAGATTAAAATTTAACTTTAATATAAGAAATCATTAGTATACAGATAATAATACAAGAGCAGCAAGCTGCTGACGGTCAATTTCTCGTCAAAACTATGGTAATGTTTATTTTTGTTTTTATCAGACGCGCCTATCGGCGTGCGAGAGTCGATCCCGCGCGGTGGAGGCGTCCCTGTCGGAGAGCGAGGTGGCGCGGCGCGAGGCGGAGTCGCGGCTGTCGTCCGTCGCGCACACGCTGCGACGTGTATGCGGCCTGCAGCCCGACGGCAGCGTGGCCGCACGCCGCCGCCTCACCAGCCCCGCGCGCCGCTACAGCCCGCACAGAGGTACGTGTGCAGTGTGCAGTGCAGCGCCACAAGTCTTTGCATACAGATGGCAGGATGCACGAAGGTTACAAATAATCGTATCAGTACATATAGGGAAAAGTAATGGAAAGAGAATTCCACCTTGCGGAAACCATACCTCCACTCACCTCCATACACGAACCTCCTGCTGGCGACCACATAGATAGGAGGATACCCAATTCCGTCATATCACGACAAAATACGCACTTAAATAATGACAGCGTTCTCATAGTCACATTAAACAAAATCCGTATTAGATTATCGAAAACAACGTTTGCGGTCTAAAAAACAAAGAACTAGTCGTCACGTCCGCTGTGGACCAAAAAAGTTACCGAGAATTAACCGTAACTACATAGTAACATTTACAGCGAGCGCTAACCATCTGAGCTACCACGACTTCGTTGCATGCAGGTTTCATGAGGAAACCTGCATGTCAGAGAAATAAGAAAAAAAATATTTCGAAGACATGTTTCGCCAACACGCATTGGGTCAGCGCGGCATACAAATCCTTGCCCTAAAACCCTCAGAAATAAGCGGAGGCCTGTGCCCAGCAGTGGAACGTATATAGGCTGTAACTTTACTTTTTTTTACGTAGTAACATAGCGCCCGTCTAGTAGTACTTATACATAAAAGTCATTGACTGCGTCCTAAAGACACTTGCAGCCAACTCCAAACAAAGAAGACTACAAGTGCATCTTCACCTCTGAGGACTAAGATGAATGCCACGTAGCCTGTAATTATATTGGCTCTGTATACTATTCAGACCAGAAAACAGCATTACCTTACCCAAACAAGCTCATAGACAAAAAAAAGGTCTAACCATCTCATACGGCCTTGTCTTTGCGTGTACATTGTGCAGCACTCAAAGTAGCGTCAAATATATTTTAACATGATGCTATGATTAACCCTCTCTAATTTGGGACAAACTTCTGTATTTACGAAAAGTTAAAGACTGCACATGTATTAGGTCCTACCGCTATTACATATATCTCCTGCGGTTAACGTCAGTCTGAAATTTTTTAATATAACATTTATATTTTGTGAGAACCCATTTTGATGCATAATTAAATTTCACTCTTGTAATAAATAAATATTTGCTGCTTTTATTGTAGATAGATCAGTTATGATTTCAATCTAAACTTTAAAAATTCATTTTTATTGAAGGTCGCGACCATTCAGAAGACCGCAACGAGATTATAGACGTCGATCCTGAGCTCATCAAGAAAGGTGTTCGCAATTTGATGCATGAAGTCTGTCAGATAGAACGGGAAAAGGTGAGAATTAATATTTTGTTTAGTTGTACCGCGCGGCTTTCTTGTTCGTGATTAATGTTTTTTTATAGGTGAATTTCTATTTTCTCCAAGTGAATTTTAATATTCTGTCAAGAAATAAATGGATGCACTATATGAATTCTACGACAATAATCATTGGTCATAATACTACATTATTTTATTTTTTATCACAAAAGTTTTGCGAATAAAATTATTATAAAACTAATGTTTTACCAAAAATTAAAAATACAACATATATAGGTGTAATGTAGATAAAATTACGACTTTTACTACAATTAAAGTACTCAAGAATTGGTGACCTTTCTATAACTTTACTATGGCCAGTCTACAGTATAAAAATAATATTTAATGTTAGAAAAATATGTTGTCAAGGTAAAAAATTGTTCCCGCAACGCAGCATAGTTTCGTCTAGTTACTGTTACTGTTAGTTATGACTGGCCCTGACGTTTTGAAGATACTTCGCCGCGTATAAAATGTTTTGTTTATTTTTTTTGTAAGATAGGGTGACAAACGAGCACACAGTCCACCTGATGGTAAGGGGTTGCTGCGGCCCATAGACATCTACATCTATCCTCAATTACAAATTAATGCAGATGCGTTATTACGTACCCGTGAGGACTAAGATGGAATGCCTCGTTTCCAGTAAAAAGGGTCTCCGGTTCCCTACACTCACCATACGAAACACAGCAGCATTAAGCTAAGTACTATTTTACGCTGGTATTCTGTGAGAGCGTGGTCCTTCCTCGGTCGAGCCAATCCATTCTTGCTACAACCATACTACTAATATAACTGCAGCATTAAGTATTACAAATAATATAAAATAAATTTTCAAAAAGTATTAAAACCAAGTCATTCAAATTGTATCGCAAAGAATTCTAGTAGTAATATGATTGCAACTGGAAAATTAGGCGTGTATTTAGATTTTTTTAAATTCAGTTCTAATTAAAATACGTTTCGAGAAAAACCACATGATTTCTCATCTCTCGTAGAAAATTATTTATTTTTTCCGATAAAATAACGTTACAGTCAACGTAAAAACTGGTTACAAAGTTAATCAGTTTTACGGTAAACAGTACAGTTACTGAGAACAAGCTTGAAACTCAGTTGTTATTTTTAATCCGTGTTAATACTTATGAAAAACGCTTCTTTGAATCAATGTGTCGCTTACTTCAGGATGATTACAAAGCTCAAGTGCAGTCGCTCAAGAAACAATTGAAAGAGGCGACGGAACAACACGGCAAAGGCGAAGGCAAGTTGCAGTCGCTTAGCAACAACTTGCGCAGTATTCAGGAGGAACGTGCGCGGCTGCACAGCACTGTCGTGCAGAAAGACGCACAGCTTAACGCACTGGTACGTAATTCGGGAGAGGGTGTATGGTTGAGGGGGGGAGGGTGTACATTTGTTTTTCATAAATTTTTAATTTTTTTAGTTTTTTTCCCCTATTTTTAATTTTTAATCAATCTATTTTGTTTTGAGGAAAAGCTTATGTGATATTATATACTTTTTGATTTCCTTATGTGAGTATCTTTTAATAGCTATTTCGATTTTACGTTTCATAATTAGTGAAATTTATCAATGTTTGCTAGTTTCCAACAAAATTAAATAAAAAAAATCATTTTTTAATTTAAAATGAAAGTTACGAAATAGAAGAAAATAAAAGAAGATATTTAAAATTATGTTAGTTTTCTGTTACAAAATAAATACAATTTTAAAAACGGTCATTAAAAACCCGACGGTGTAAAAAATTTACTGTAAAGAGAAAAGGTTTATATCTTTTGTCACTTCCACAGCTAAGATGAATATGACGAAACTTCATTTTTTAAAATCTATCATATCATTTAGGCTACAAAGCATATCAAAATATACATATATAGATACGTAATACCGCAGTACAACAAAAAACATTACCCTCCTTTTGTGGCAGGCGGGTAAAAAGAAACAGTAAAAAAGTGTATCTTAGCAACTTATTTCAATTTTTATAATTTGTGCTACTTTACAGAACGAGTCAATACAAACAAAAACAGTGGAGATAAGCAACTTGAAAGACAAAATAACCAGTCTGGAGGTGACCTTGAGCTCTGTTACTGAAGAGAAAGTTCTTAATGAGGTACATTAACTCTTATAAAAGTTAATAGTTTTAATTTTTACTGATCCGACTTAGGTTCTTGGCGAAGATGATCCTAGCGAGAGGTTATATTATGCCTTTTGTCCAAAACGAGTTATTGAACTCTATTCTAGATATTTTCTGGGTATACGTCCTACGATAGAAAATCTGCTAAATGCGCTTGTAAAGTGCTGTGGTTACTGCAAAAAACCTCCGTTGTTGATGACTCTTCAAAATAATGAACCACTGTTTTTACCAGTCAAAAACAGTGATTATTCTTCTCTTCCTAGGACTCTGTTAGATTGAAACCTATTCCCTACACCATTTATTTGTGGCATTTATCAACAAGTCCACTATTAAACAAAACTTCTCATGAAGATGGAAGACACTACTCGCCATCTCTTGTTTCAGTTTCCCTCGGTCGTCATAAAACATTATGTGAATATATATATATATATATATATATATATATATATATATATATATTTATAACTTATTATTATTTATTATTATTATTATATATATATATATCACATAATGTTTTATGACGACCGAGGGAAACTGAAACAAGAGATGGCGAGTAGTGTCTTCCATCTTCATGAGAAGTTTTGTTTAATAGTGGACTTGTTGATAAATGCCACAAATAAATCATATGTAAAAATATATCAAAAATAAATCGTGTGCATATTGAAGGGTATATATATATATATATATATATATATATATATATATATATATATATATATATATATATATATATATATATATATATAATATAGAGTGTCTGTTTTTTTTTTTATATATATATATATATATATATATATATATATTAACCCTTCAATATGCACACGATCGGATCCGACCACACCCACCCACAGCAAACTTATATTTAGAGACTACTTGTCTAAGTAGAAGTTTGGTATTATAGGCACTACCTATATTATGGCTATGGAAGAGCGGGATCTTCTGGTATTATTATTATTATAGGCTCCATGTGAAATTTTCTATCCTTTAATACAATAAAAAGTTCAGTTAGTCTATGGTATTTATTTATAATCTACGTTCATTTCGTACAACTGTTAGGTGTGGCGCGTTATTGTGTTGATTTTTGGATTTTTCTAGTGTGTTATTAGTGTTTAGTATAGTGTTTTATTATAAAATTGTTATAAAAGATTTTGTGTAAATATAATTTATCTTTTTACGTAAATAATTTTGAGTAATATATAGAAATAATTGTGATATTAACACTGCTGTCCTGCGCTGGATATGTACATTTTTTACTATGAAAATACAATTAAAATCTATTTGTAATGAAGTAAAAGCTTTAAAATAAGTAATATAACATAATAAAGAAACAGAAACAAGTATTATATAGAAATTTATTATGAATTTTATTGAAAATAAATGTACGATAAATTCCATGTAAGGTTATTTTTAGCGACGCCTACGCGTACGATGTTACTAACATTTTAGCTGGGGACTGAGAGGTTAAAAAGGTTCTTGTTTTAAATATTTTTTACATATCATTTTATGTTTATTTTTTACCTTGCGTAGCATATGTTGCAACACACATGAGTCGGCACGACAGGGTAGGCGGACTACGCTGCACATACTATGTGTACAGAACCTGGAACCTTTTACTGGTTTCGAGGCATTCTCTCTTAGTCCTCAGGGCTGACAACGTATTTGCATTTTGATCCTTAATCGAGGTTGATATATGTAATGTCCGCCTGGGACAAACTAACACTTACCGTCCGATGGACTGTGTACTCGCTTATCATCTAAATTCTATTATTAGTTCTTATTCTAAAATTCGTATTAATTGCATTACTAAATTTGCTCTACTTGATAATTGATTTCTTGTTTACTTGCAGAATAAAGCCGAAAGCTTACGGGCGCAGCTAGCTGAACGGGTTCAAGAGATAGGTCAGTTAAGAGAAGCATTAACAGCAGCTGAAGGTAAAATATTTTCTATTAGTTACCTACTAGTTCATTAACAATATCTACGTGAAATTTTCTTATTTAATTAATCTTTAGCTGAGGAAAGATGCAAATTTAAAACACTAGACAGAACGGTTAATTTAGTAATTGACACTCAAGTTAATTGAAATGCTTGGAATAAATTGTACATGGATAAGCATCCAATCCAGGAACGATTTGGCGGTCATATAAACAATTATTCCGTGTGGTTATCGAATCCGCGGCCCTCTTTGGTCGTAACCTAATGCTTGGTCGTTGGGCAACCGAACCGTCAAATCGATTAGCCCTCCAGGCTGCTCTGTAATAACCATGAAGGTTAAAGAACAGGAGAACGATCACTACGTACTGAAGCATAGCCCACCTGTCCTTGAAAATTGTAGAATACATAGCGGCGCTGACATCGGTGAGTAGTGACTGCGAAGTTAGCTGATTATAAGTACAAGTAGGTGAAGTTAGTTGAATAATGTACAAATTATCATTTCATTTTTTCGTAGAAAATTTTCATGTTCCGTAATTTTGTAATTCTCGACAAAAAGAAACATTAAAAAAAATGGAGAACTATTTTATTGTGCGTGGATGTGTAAGTAGTTTAGCATCTGATCGGAAAAATAGACTGAAAATGACTTCTATTGACTGAACTTAGTGATCGCAGCGCCTCACTGATGGTGTCCATATTTCTGGGACACTATTTTCTACGGCGATCGTTCTCCTGTTCTCTAACCTTCATGGTAATATCTGTACCACAGAATAAATAATAGTACCATACGCAGAAGTTTCACTCCTTTGATGTTTACTACATGCTGATGTTTTAATAGCCTACATAATTATTTCTAATTAGATAAATCACTCACATAAGCTAAATTAAACCTTATCGCTGCATGCGAGTGCCCGCATGGCTTGGCGTCTCTTCCCCTTTCTATGTCGCGGACCATATTTCGTGGTTACCAAGGGCTTTCAACAAAGAGTAAAAAATATCTATGTAGTATCTTTTGATTATTAGTTTAATTTACAACTGTTTAATTTAATATAATGTTTTATGTTTTTACAGTCTTTAAACTAACGGTTATTTAATTTAAGAGTGGAAAAAACTCTAAATCTCTCATAAAAGCCTGTAGTGAGTAGTCTACGGCAGTGGGTGGGGTCAAAGTGTACGTTTTATAGGTATTATGTTAACTATTTTTTTATTTATTATTTTTGAAGAAATTTATAATGTTATCAATGGTTTGTTGGAAAATGTGGGTTTTCCAAAAACGGCCGCCACGTCATAGCTTTTTTTCAAAGCTAGGCGATGCGCAGCGCGCGCTCTCTCACGGTTTTTGTGTGAATAGTTATTCTCTATACAGTTTATCTCAGAATCTTTAAATTTTAAAATTATTGAAATAATAATAAAAAAAAACTTTTTTAAATAATGTGCTGGTGGCAGCATATGAAAATTCCGTATCCCTTCTTGAATACCTAAACTATATATATATATATATATATATATATATATATATATATATATATATATATATATATATATATAATATGTTTATATTTATTTTATCTTATAAAAAATATGAAAAAAGTTCTTAGTTGTGATAGGTAGATGACGATATTTCTAACAGTTCTAAAAGTTTCTAAAAATATGTTGAGATCAAATATACGTGTTTTTCATTCACTCATTACGATATTTAAGTATAAAGTCAACTCAATTCTAGGCCTATCCAACCGATAACCTCATAAGGGGGTATTTGCCATAGTTTCCGCTCTTGTCAACCGGGTTGGCAATCGAAGTTTTTTACTTTAGATGTAGTTGTTATTCGGAAGATGCTATTGCCCATCCCCTGGTCTGCCGTCTTTTACCACACCAACGGGATGATTTGGAGTAGTGAATATTCTTTTACCGCCAACACACATTTCCACTTTATTACTAATTAGAGATCTGGGAAAATATTTGAAAACGTTATTTAACGTAACGTAATTATTTTTAAACTTGCAACTATTTGTAGGAGAAATTTTTTATGTATTTTTCATGTGAAACTTTATTCGATAACGAATATGTAACAGAAATTATTTTTAATCTAATAATTAAAACTTAAACCCGTTACCCGCTAGTTATCGTAGGACTTATAAGAAAGGAATAGGAAATACCCCAAAATACGCGGATTTCAAGTGATCGCGAAGGTAGGGTTGGATTTAGAATCGTTTGGCATGAATTTGGGAGAGTAATCAGCGTTATAATCGGGGACCAAACCTCTACCAAATAAAACACCTTACCTACCAAATTCCTGCTAAACGATTCTAAACTACGAGTAACATGTGGATGCGACTTGTCGAGTGCAGGCGAGTGCCTTTGAACTCGTCCACTTCGAAACAGTGTCGGTTTTTCTGCACGAATCAAAGGCGCTCGCCTGCACTTGACAAGTCAAGTCCACATGTTAGTCGGCCATGTCGGTTACAGCTTGGCGTCCGATTCGGTGAGATATTGTTTTAATTATAATTCTCATTATCCACCACCTTCTCTTCTGTTTACTCTTTTTAATAACTTTACTGCGGAGTACACTGACATAATAATTAAATGCACTCATTGAATAAATAGCAAAAACTGCAATAACTTCTACGTCATCCATATCGTTCCAATTCTCAATGACAACTAATTACGGCCGACATGTGGATAGCTCCACAAAAACTCTTGAAAATTGGCTTTGGCATTGGTCTTTTTCGAACCTGACAAACGTGGAGATTGTAGCATTCGCTTTGTATCAATTTGCTTACGCTCGCGTTAGCTGAGGCTTGGCCATCGTCTATTGCCGGGGTAACGTGTGGATTCAGACATTGTAATTATATGCGGTGTTACAAGTGCGTAGAGGCACAAGGAGTACGTATTGAACAATATCTTTGTGGTCGTCAAGTAGACATAGTAGAGAATTAGTGTTTGTGCACAATATGTATTGTGTCAGGGCTACAACTTTGTAATGTCAATATGGTTTTATTCAATAAATAAATTTATTATTATTATAATTATAATAAAATTGTACAAGTTGTAACAATCGATTACCGAAGTGTTAGGTCATGAGTTCACGCCGTGTTTGATATACGCCGCTGCCGTTTTTCTGTTCCGTTTTGGCTTACATCACCATTCCATGCAGAAGTCATACACATATAATTTATAAATATATTTTATTTCAATTCAATTTGATTATTTTTATCTTGAGTTTTCTGAAGTCAAGTTATTTCTATACGTTTGAATACTGATTCTTATAACACACTTAACGGGAACCAAATAATTCTTACATATTGTATTTAGCCGGCACTAATGAAAAGCCATAACATCTGAAGAAACTATATCTGACTAGATAACTTCAATTTTATCAATATTAGTTATCAATCTAAATATAACTACTGCAATAACCGTTGAGTTCCGTATGAGGTTATTATGTTTTAAAAAATAAAACATTCGAAATTCAAACAATTATGAGCGGCAACTCTCAGTGTGCATACAACATGTGTGCAGGGCGCGCGGGGCGGCTGGAAGTGCGTCGCGCGCAGCTGGAAGGCGACGTGCAGCGCGCCGCGGTGGCCGCACGCGACCGTGACCAAGCGCTCAAGGTACGAGCCCCCAGCTCTATGTAATGTGTGGAGCGGCCGGAGTGCGGCTGGAGTAGTAGTAATAGTTGCTGTATAGTAGCTGTACAGATACAGATAGCTGTATAGATGTATAGTTGTATAACTATAGCTGTGTAGCTATATAGCTTTTAGGTGATAAAACCTTGCTTCAACTATATTACGGTTGTGGCATGAATGCGACTGCTCGACTGTTGAAGGACCACGCCAAAGATTTTTAACATTGATATGGTCATTATAAGATGTTGTTAGGTTAGCTGATAACGTAATAACTTAAAACAGAAGGACCCTTAAGTAGTAACTGAATAAATTAACCGACTTGGTATTACATGAATCTCACAACTTTTTACGGTAGAGGAACTGAGTTGCGAGACTTGGTTTTTTTACAAGTTATGTTTTTGATGGCAGCTCATTTCTTTTTGTAGATAGTCTTACTTTTTTTCTTTTCGGTACCTTCTACTTCTTAAATACCAACAACGTACCTATCTACACCTATTGTGAATATACAGGTACACTGATTCATTCATGACGAAGGTTTGTAAAAGTTACTTATCAGTGGTTAAATATTGAAGAGTGAATGTTACGTAGTTTAGATGTCTATACTAATCAGACATTATTTCAAATTTCATAGCTGCATGTCCAGCCAATTTGTCTTGATTTGAACTTTCACATTGTCCAGCATACTTTTATAGACGTCATCGAGAGTCATCATGCGCGACATATTTCTAAAATTACAATTTCATCATTTTGAGCACACTAAAATTCATATCATTTAAGTAAACGAATACACAAAATATCAAATCAAAGCTTAACTTCATGTAGCATAAAAACCTTAATTGAAATTGAAAAAATCGTTCATGCCTTCATCTGACATCGAATCGAACGGCATCAATGACTTGAAATTCAGAGAGCCACATCTCGTGCAAGTAACTATGATTCTTTCCTTTTTGTTAATGTGAGCTACTTGAAGTTGCTAATGAGCGTGGTTGCACTTCAAAAAACTGCTTGATATTTTGCGTGGCTTTACAAGAACTTTCTTCTCTTAAGTCATAGACATCTCGTAAATGTTTGTTAAGATTTCTTGTGCTGACAGTTTTGACGTAAGATTTTTATTTTAGCCCTGTAAGTTTAAAAGAAAAATGCAACAATCACATGCGAAATTATATTTTGAAACAAGAACGATGTTTTTATATTTCGTGACCCAGACTAATAAAAATATACTATAGCGCACAACGACCTTTTATTAAATATGATGCCAACGCAAATGTCATTTTTATTTATCAAAGAAAAGAAACAAGGATTTTATGTTTATTTACCACTCAGAGTAATTACTAGCATAGAGAGAGTCCTAAAATAGGAACAAAATTCTTATAGCTGAAGTCTTTATACATATGGCATTTAACATGGTACAAAATAAGATAGCTATATTATTCTCACCTTCTTTATTTTACAAGGTGGTTGCGGTTTATATTCCATAGACACTTCTATACATGTGCCATTAGCGAAACAAAAAACGTTGTCGATAAATTCAGTTTACATTATATACGAACCATCATTTTATGCATCACATAACATTGTAACAATACTCAGGGTCCTCCCACTTTTCCGAAGTCTATTATTTACGGTAAAATACATTATTTATATTAACGAAAGTTTATGGAAACTTGATCTGACTTATAATTAAAAATATAGCGTGAAAGTTCACTATGAAATCTACCTCAATTAAGCTGATATATTCCTGCCAAAATATCCCTAGACTAAGTATGGGTTTTACAAAGAATAATAACTGTGTTTGTGTAATCGATACTCACTTTGTGTCACGGGACAGTACACAGATGGCACTGCTACCACAGTTTTTTTTATAGTATAAGGATGCCAAACGAGTACACAGTCCACCTAATGCAAGCGCATGTATCCTAGATTAAAAATAAAATGCAGATGCGTTGTAAGGAACTAAGATGAAATGCCTCGTTTCCAGTTAAAAGGGTCACCGGTTTTCTAAACTCAACACAACAGCTTTGAGCTGCTATTTTACGCTGGTATTTTGCGAGGGCGTGGTCCTACCCCGGTTGAGCTAACCCATTCATGCTACAACTATTACAGCTGCAGCGTGGCTTTACCACGTAAAGTAGTATAGTGATATAACAGTGGCACGATTGCGTCCTGCCTTCTCTTTTGTCGCTAGATCACAACTACCAATAAATCGATTACGAACATATTACTCGTTTTATCTATGCTCCTTCAAGATCTTATCCATTATTAATTAATTAAATATAGCCAATCAAAAGTCCACAGATGAACATAGGGGGAACATTTTCCATAGTTCCCTCACTTAGCAAGTGGTTTGGCAACCGTTTTTATAGGAGAAGGGTGACAAACGAGCACACAGTCCACCTGATAGTATGTGATTGTTGTGGCTCATAGACATCTACATCTATCCTCGATTACGAATCAAAATGCAAATACGTTGTCCCCCTGAGGACTAAGATGGAATGCCTCCTTTCCAGTAAAAAGGGTCTACGAATCTCTACATCTAGAATGTTGGAGAGACGTGTTGTTGGTACTAAAATTTAATTATACTGTCCTTAATAACTACAGTTTACATTAGTATATGAGTCATGTGAACTGCTCTACATCACAGAGTTTTGTGCGTGTCATGGTTTTCGTGTTCTAGAAACTTCAAGATCGTTGCGAAGGCTACCAGCGAACGATAACATCACTTGAAGACCGTTGCACTTCCCTCAAGGGCACTGTGGAACAACTATCGACGTCGCTGCAGAAGGCCGCCACCGCTGAAAGTGAGCTCAGGACAGAACTGAGTAAGATACAGCGAATGCTCAACGAGGCCAAGAACAACGAGCAAAATGCGTTGGAAAAACTCAGACAAATACAGAAGAATGTTGGTAAGTGTTGTAATAGCAGAGATTTTGGCGGTAAGAAAACTTCTTGGAACTTACTTGGAATTTTCGAAATACCACAGTTATGCGAATTTACACAGTTTTGAGAGTAAATAGGTTTATAAATACTTATCATAATTTGTTGATCAAATTCCGGCTCGTAGGACCAACACTGTAGATGACGGCTCTGTGGCGTAGTGGCTTAGCAATTTCCAAATTGCAGCGCTAAAGGCCGCGTGTTCGAATCTCGCATGGAACAGGTATTTGTATGGTTTACAAATAATTGTCCCGGGTTTGGATGTTTGTCCTTGTGAAATTTATGTATGTAAGTTGCTCCCACGATACAGAAGAAGAAGAAGATGTATTTCTAACACTTTTAGACGATATAGACAGCAGTGACATAGTAAATATATATTAAATAAAATAGCTCGGAAGTACTGATTTATTGTATATTTAAATTTTGTTGCACAAAAAGTACAAAGGCGGACTTAATGTCCTGAGATATTCTCTATCAGTCTCTCAATAGTTTTCTTTAGTTTGTCCACTTACTTACACCTTTCGCCTGTAAGAGGAACAAACTATTTTAAGTGTAATAATTGATTGAAAATTGATAACACTTTACCAGCCAATTGCGAAAACGAACGGCGGGTACTATCAGAAAAGCTAGAAAGTGCCAAGACCGCTTTGAGTGAACTGAAGCGGTTAAATGCAACTCTGGAGGACCAAGTGCACAGGCTGACGAATCAGCTGGCGAATGTAGAAGTTCAGAGGTATGTTGAGGACTTTAAAGCGAGTTTTATTATTGGACCAATCAGTTCTGACTTCTTGTTAAAAAAATATGTAAAAAATTAATAAAAATGATATGAATGAAAAGTGAAGTTTTAATTTACTTAAGTTTTTCATTTTCGTCACTTAAATTTTTTTGCTGTGCTGTCGGGGTTGTAGCTAGGTACTAGTTTGTCGAGATTAATGCAGAATAAGTTTATTTATTTAAACTTTGTATTTACCTGTTGTCATATTCATTAATTGAAAACAACTCTTCTAAAGCCGAAGAAAAGATAGCTGGATGATCAATATGAATAAACAAAAAACAATATTGGTGCGCTCAGATCGAGTCTGGAATCCCAGCTGCGTGTGTCGACGTGGGATGGTAAGGGGGTGGGTGCTGGCGGAGCGGGCACTGGTGCGGGGGAGGGGGAGGGCGAGCTACACGCGCTGCAGCGCGAGCGTGCCGAGCTGCGCGCGCAGAACGACGCGCTGCGCGACGCCGTGCGCCGTCTGCAGCGCGCGCACACGCAACACGTTCCACCCGTTCGCAGCAAGAGCCACGACCGCGACAAGCCCTACTACTGCGATATTGACTCAGGTGAGTGCCTCGTCGCTTCAGAATTTCATTGCCTCGTCGGTTACAACGCACGCACACCCTTCTCGTTCGCAGCAAGAGCCCGACAAGCCCTATTACTGCGATATTGACTCGAGTCTCGTCGCTTCAGAATTCCATTGCATCGTCGGTTACAACGCACGCACACCCCTCCCGTGCGCAGCAAGAGCCACGACCGCGACAAGCCCTATTACTGTGATATTGACTCGGGTGAGTGCCTCATCGCTTCAGAATTCCAATGCGTCATCGTTTGCAACGCACGCACCCTCTTCCCGTGCGCAGCAAGAGCCACGACCGCGACAAACCCGACTACTGTGAAATTGACTCGGGTGAGTGTGCCTCGTCGCTTCAGAATTCCATTGCATCGTCGGTTACAACGCACGCACACCCCTCTCGTTCGCAGCAAGAGCCACGACCGCGACAAGCCCTATTACTGTGATATTGACTCGGGTGAGTGCCTCGTCGCTTCAGAATTCCAATGCGCCCTCGTTTGCAACGCACGCGCGCTCGTCCCGTGCGCAGCAAGAGCCACGACCGCGATAAACCCTACTACTGTGATATTGACTCGGGTGAGTGCCTCGTCGCTTCAGAATTCCATTGCATCGTCGGTTACAACGCACACACACCCCTCTCGTTCGCAGCAAGAGCCACGACCGCGACAAGCCCTATTACTGCGAAATTGACTCGGGTGAGTGCCTCATCGCTTCAGAATTTCATTACATCATCGGTTACAACGCACGCACACCCCTCTCGTTCGCGGCAAGAGTCACGACGCGACAAGCCCTATTACTGCGATATTGACTCGGGTGAGTGCCTCGTCGCTTCAGAATTCCATTGCATCGTCGGTTACAACGCACGCACGCCCCTCCCGTGCGCAGCAAGAACCACGACCGCGATAAACCCTACTACTGTGATATTGACTCGGGTGAGTGCCTTGTCGCTTCCGAATTTCATTGCATTGTCGTTTGCAACGCACGCACGCCCCTCCCGTGCGCAGCAAGAACCACGACCGCGATAAACCCTACTACTGTGATATTGACTCGGGTGAGTGCCTCGTCGCTTCAGAATTACATTGCATCCTCGTTTACAACGCACGCACGCCCCTCCCGTGCGCAGCAAGAACCACGACCGCGATAAACCCTACTACTGTGATATTGACTCGGGTGAGTGCCTCGTCGCTTCAGAATTTCATTGCCTCGTCGTTTGCAACGCACGCACGCCCCTCCCGTGTGCAGCAAGAACCACGACCGCGATAAACCCTACTACTGTGATATTGACTCGGGTGAGTGCCTCGTCGCTTCAGAATTCCATTGCATCGTCGATTACAACGCACGCACGCCCCCCTCGTTCGCAGCAAGTCACGACCGCGACAAGCCCTATTACTGCAATATTGACTCGGGTGAGTGCCTCGTCGCTTCAGAATTCCATTGCATCGTCGGTTACAACGCACGCACACGCTCTTCCCGTGCGCAGCAAGAGCCACAACCGCGACAAGCCCTACTACTGTGATATTGACTCGGGTGAGTGCCTTGTCGCTTTAGAATTTCATTGCATTGTCGGTTGTAACGCACGCACGCCCCTCCCGTGTGCAGCAAGAACCACGACCGCGACAAGCCCTACTACTGCAATATTGACTCGGGTGAGTGCCTCGTCGCTTCAGAATTCCAATGCGTCCTCGTTTGCAACGCACGCACGCTCTTCCCGTGCGCAGCAAGAGCCACGACCGCGATAAACCCTACTACTGTGATATTGACTCGGGTGAGTGCCTCGTCGCTTCAGAATTCCAATGCGTCGTCGTTTGCAACACACGCACGCCCCTCCCGTGCGCAGCAAGAGCCACGACCGCGATAAACCCTACTACTGTGATATTGACTCGGGTGAGTACCTCGTCACTTCATAATTCCATTGCCTCGTCGTTTGCAACGCACGCACGCTCTTCCCGTGCTCAGCAAGAGCCACGACCGCGATAAGCCCTACTATTGCGATATTGACTCGGGTGAGTGTGCCTTGTCGCTTCAGAATTCCATTGCATCGTCGGTTACAACGCACGCACGCCCCTCTCGTTCGCAGCAAGTCACGACCGCGACAAGCCCTATTACTGCAATATTGACTCGGGTGAGTGCCTCGTCGCTTCAGAATTCCAATGCGTCCTCGTTTGCAACGCACGCACGCTCTTCCCGTGCGCAGGAAGAGCCACGACCACGATAAACCCTACTTCTGTGATATTGACTCGGGTGTGCCTCCCTAATTTCATTGCATTGTCGTTTGCAACGCACGCACGCCCCCCCTCGTTCGCAGCAAGTGCCACGACCGCGACAAGCCCTACTACTGCAATATTGACTCGGGTGAGTGCCTCGTCGCTTCAGAATTCCAATGCGTCCTCGTTTGCAACGCACGCACGCTCTTCCCGTGCGCAGGAAGAGCCACGACCACGATAAACCCTACTTCTGTGATATTGACTCGGGTGAATGCCTCGTCGCTTAAGAATTTCATTGCATTGTCGTTTGCAACGCACGCACGCCCCTCCCGTGCGCAGCAAGAGCACGACCGCGATAAACCCTACTTCTGTGATATTGACTCGGGTAGTGCCTCGTCGCTTCAGAATTTCATTGCATTGTCGTTTGCAACGCACGCACGCCCCTCCATTGCGCAGCAAGAGCTACGACCCCGATAAACCCTACTACTGTGATATTGACTCGGGTGAGTGCCTCGTCGCTTCAGAATTTCATTGCATTGTTGTTTGCAACGCACGCACGCCCCTCCCGTGCGCAGCAAGAGACACGACCGCGATAAGCCCTACTACTGCGATATTGACTCGGGTGAGTGCCTCGTCGCTTCAGAATTCCATTGCATCGTCGTTTGCAACGTACGCACGCCCCTCCCATGCGCAGCAAGACCCACGACCGCGATAAACCCTACTACTGCGATATTGACTCGGGTGTGCCCCGTCACTTCAGAATTTCATTGCATTGTCGTTTGCAACGCACGCACGCCCCTCCCGTGCGCAGCAAGAGCCACGACCGCGATAAACCCTACTACTGTGATATTGACTCGGGTGAGTGCCTCGTCGCTTCGGAATTCCATTACATCGTCGGTTACAACGCACGCACGCCCCTCTCGTTCGTAGCAAATCACGACCGCGACAAGCCCTATTACTGCAATATTGACTCGGGTGAGTGCCTCGTCGCTTCAGAATTCCAATGCGTCCTCGTTTGCAACGCATGTACGCTCTTCCCGTGCGCAGCAAGAGCCACGACCGCGATAAACCCTACTACTGTGATATTTGACTCGGGTGAGTGCCTCGTCGCTTCAGAATTCCAATGCGTCCTCGTTTGCAACATACGCACGCCCCTCCCGTGCGCAGCAAGAGCCACGACCGCGATAAGCCCTACTACTGTGATATTGACTCTGGTGAGTGCCTCGTCGCTTCAGAATTACAATGCTTCGTCGTTTGCAACGCACGCACTCTCCTCACGTGCGCAGCAAGAGCCACGACCGCGATAAACCCTACTACTGTGATATTAACTCGGGTGTGCCTCGTCACTTAAGAATTTCATTGCATTGTCGTTTGCAACGCACGCACGCCCCTCCCGTGCGCAGCAAGAGCCACGACCGCGATAAACCCTACTACTGTGATATTGACTCGGGTGAGTGCCTCGTCGCTTCAGAATTTCATTGCATCGTCGTTTGCAACGCACGCACGCCCCTCCATTGCGCAGCAAGAGCCACGACCGCGATAAACCCTACTCCTGTGATATTGACTCGGGTGAGTGCCTCGTCGCTTCAGAATTTCATTGCATTGTCGTTTGCAACGCACGCACGCCCCTCCATTGCGCAGCAAGAGCCACGACCGCGATAAACCTTACTACTGTGATATTGACTCGGGTGAGTGCCTTGTCGCTTCAGAATTTCATTGCATTGTTGTTTGCAACGCACGTACGCCCCTCCCATGCGCAGCAAGAGCCACGACCGCGACAATCCCTACTACTGCGATATTGACTCGGGTGAGTGCCTCGTCGCTTCAGAATTCCATTGCATCGTCGTTTACAACGCACGCACACCCCTACCGTTCGCAGCAAGAACCACGACCGCGATAAGCCCTACTACTGTGATATTGACTCGGGTGAGTGCCTCGTCGTTTGCAACGCACGCACGCCCCTCCCGTGCGCAGCAAGTGCCACGACCGCGATAAACCCTACTACTGTGATATTGACTCGGGTGAGTGCCTCGTCACTTCAGAATTTCATTGCATTGTCGTTTGCAACGCACGCATGCTCTTCCCGTGCGCAGCAAGTGCCACGACCGCGATAAACCCTACTACTGTGATATTGACTCGGGTGTGTGCCTCGTCGTTTGCAACGCACGCACGCCCCTCCCGTGCGCAGCAAGTGCCACGACCGCGACAAGCTCTACTACTGTGATATTGACTCGGGTGAGTGCCTCGTCGCTTCAGAATCCCAATGCGTCGTCGTTTGCAACGTGCGCACGCCCCTCCCATGCGCAGCAAGACCCACGACCGCGACAAGCCCTACTACTGTGATATTGACTCGGGTGAGTGCCTCGTCACTTCAGAATTCCATTGCATCGTCGTTTGCAACGTACGCACGCGCCACCATTGCGCAGCAAGAGCCACGACCGCGATAAACCCTACTACTGTGATATTGACTCGGGTGAGTGCCTTGTCGCTTCAGAATTCCATTGCATAGTCGTTTACAACGCACGCACGCCCCTCCCGTGCGCAGCAAGACCCACGACCGCGATAAATCCTACTACTGTGATATTGACTCGGGTGAGTGCCTCGTCGCTTCAGAATTCCATTGCATCGTCGGTTACAACGCACGCACGCCCCTCTCGTTCGCAGCAAGTCACGACCGCGACAAGCCCTATTACTGCAATATTGACTCGGGTGAGTGCCTCGTCGCTTCAGAATTTCATTGCATCGTCGGTTACAACGCACGCACGCCCCTCCCGTTCGCAGCAAGAGCCACGACCGCGACAAGCCCTACTACTGTGATATTGACTCGGGTGAGTGCCTCGTCGCTTCAGAATTCCAATGCGTCCTCGTTTGCAACGCACGCACGCTCTTCCCGTGCGCAGCAAGAGCCACGACCGCGATAAACCCTACTACTGTGATATTGGCTCGGGTGGAGTGCCTCGTCGCTTCAGAATTCCATTGCATCGTCGCTTGCAACGCACGCACGCCCTCCATTGCGCAGCAAGAGCCACGACCGCGATAAGCCCTACTACTGCGATATTGACTCGGGTGAGTGCCCCGTCGCTTCAGAATTCCATTGCATTGTCGTTTGCAACGCACGCACGCCCCTCCCGTGCGCAGCAAGAGCACGACCGCGATAAACCCTACTACTGCAATATTGACTCGGGTGAGTGCCTCGTCGCTTCAGAATTCCAATGCGTCCTCGTTTGCAACGCACGCACGCTCTTCCCGTGCGCAGCAAGAGCCACGACCGCGATAAACCCTACTACGGTGATATTGACTCGGGTGAGTGCCTCGTCGCTTCAGAATTCCAATGCGTCCTTGTTTGCAACATACGCACGCCCCTCCCGTGCGCAGCAAGAGCCACGACCGCGATAAGCCCTACTACTGTAATATTGACTCGGGTGAGTGCCTCGTCGCTTCAGAATTCCAATGCGTCCTCGTTTGCAACATACGCACGCCCCTCCCGTGCGCAGCAAGAGCCACGACCGCGATAAGCCCTACTACTGTGATATTGACTCTGGTGAGTGCCTCGTCGCTTCAGAATTACAATGCGTCCTCGTTTGCAACGCACGCACTCTCCTCACGTGCGCAGCAAGAGCCACGACCGCGATAAACCCTACTACTGTGATATTGACTCGGGTGAGTGCCTCGTCACTTCAGAATTCCATTGCCTCGTCGTTTGCAACTCACGCACACCCCTCCCGTGCTCAGCAAGAGCCACGACCGCGATAAACCCTACTACTGTGATATTGACTCTGGTGAGTGCCTTGTCGCTTCAGAATTCCATTGCATCGTCGGTTACAACGCACGCACGCCCCTCTCGTTCGCAGCAAGTCACGACCGCGACAAGCCCTATTACTGCAATATTGACTCGGGTGAGTGCCTCGTCGCTTCAGAATTTCATTGCATTGTCGTTTGCAACGCACGCACGCCCCTCCCATGCGCAGCAAGAGCCACGACCGCGATAAACCCTACTATTGTGATATTGACTCGGGTGAGTGCCCCGTCGCTTCAGAATTTCATTGCATTGTTGTTTGCAACGCACGCACGCCCCTCACGTGCGCAGCAAGAGCCACGACCGCGACAAGCCCTACTACTGCGATATTGACTCGGGTGAGTGCCTCGTCGCTTCAGAATTCCATTGCATCGGCGTTTGCAATGCACGCAAGCCCGTGCGCAGCAAGAGTTGTGACCGCGACATGCCCTATTGCTGCGATGTTGATTCGTATAGGTGCTACTTCACTTCGGAAGCTACTTGCTCCGGACCACTTTCGACGTCTTTAAATTTACTTCCATGATGCAATTCAGAAAACTGGTGATAACAAAATCAGGGGATACGTCCTACGTCCTACGATAATCTACATCCAAAATTTAATTACACCGCTCGATAGATAGGTGATTAACGAATTTGTAATATTGAGCAAGGACTGCGACGAATTGCGCGGAGCGCTGCTGTTTTGAAATCGTTTCGTAAATTTTCATAAATTTACGTTCATGTCTTCACGTAAAATACACGGCCTTATCTAGACACAGCCACACCCTGATTTTATCTGCAAAGAATTTTGTTACTGGTTTTTTTTACATTTATTTTCCGAATATCTGGAACTTCAGATGCTCAATTATATAGCACTTTGTTTCGGATGCTTAATACCTCACCACAATCTAAGTTTTAGTAATTTTACATAGTAGATTCTTTACCTCGTACATCAAAATGCATTCATATTATATAGCTCTATGTTTTGGTACGCTTTTCACTCGTGTTCAAACTCAACAACTAGTATAAATTAATCAATATACTGTTTTTATTTCTATTTTATTTTAAGAATCACTAACATGACAGCCTAGAAACAAACATATGTCTTTAAAAAAAATGTTGCCCAAATTATAAATAATCATGACATGAATTATTCTATACACTACGCAATACGGTAGTTGAAATCATATCAATTGAAATACCGAAATGTCTTTATGTGCCATTTTGAAATCTTTATTAAATGAACTATTTTTTTTTAAATAAAACCCAGGGTATATAATACTTTTTGGTTTTATGTCAAAATTAGGTGACAATACGTTTTTTTACCCTGACTCAATGAAACTTTATTTATTTCAGAACTGACTATATTAGTTATTGGATTTGTTACAAACTGCAATGAATAACATAGTTATTTAGGATTACATTAAAGAAAAGGAAACACTTTGTACAACTAGGAAATTAGTGATCACAGTACGCAAAGTAGTCTATGGTGTTCATTTTCAACATTCTCAAAATAGGAACTTATTATCAGGTAATGCAGTGAAGTTAGTAGTTTTTTTTTCTTATTTTTGTCAGCACTGGCAAAACTTAGCCTTTCGCCCAGTACAATCTTGACGTTGAGTTCGGGACATTCTATATTTTTTTAAATATCTCATAATAAATATTAAAACAGAAAAGCGACATCGTTTAGAGATATTACTAAATGTACCAAACAAAAATTATACAATGTATACATTTATAATAAAATTATTATTAACTTTATTACAAAGCCTTTTTAAGTTTATTTCATATCGTATTTATAGAACCGTATACTTACCACAGCATTAACGTTCGTACATTTTTTATGAAAGTTTCTAAATCACTAGGTCCGGATTCAACAAAGGACTCCATCCGTGAACTTAAAGAGAAGTGCACCTGTAGGGGTAGAGGTTTTAACGCGGAACTGAGTCTCATCGAGCTGGAGAACCGAGAGCTGCGGATGAAAATTAGGCGTTTAGAGAAAGAACTTGCTGATAAGGTATGATAATGAAAATGTTCACTATGAATTTCACGATTATAAATAAAATCTATACTATGATTTACCGGTAAAAAAAATTTGATGGGAATTTTCATGCTTTTATTTAACTGCGAGCTTTTCTATACTTATAAAGTAATAGACCCGTAGTAATATCTAGTTTTAAATTCAATCCCCAAAAGCACTAATAAAATTGTTGCTGCTAATTTTAAGTGTTAAACAGATAAACTTAACAGATTAGTAAGCCGAAGTGGCAATAGGCCAGCCATATAGCTCGAACAACCGACGAGCGATGGAGAAGAAAGGTTCTCAAGTGGCAGCCTCGTACCGGTAGGCTACGAGGCTATAGCTCGAAGAACCGACGAGCGATGGGGAAGAAAGGTTCTCATGTGGCAGCCTCGTACCGGTAGGCTACGAGGCTATAGCTCGAAGAACCCACGAGCGTTGGGGAAGAAAGGTTCTCATGTGGCAGCCTCGTACCGGTAGGCTACGAGGCTATAGCTCGAAGAACCCACGAGCGATGGGGAAGAAAGGTTCTCATGTGGCAGCCTCGTACCGGTAGGCTACGAGGCTATAGTTCGAAGAACCGACGAGCGATGGGGAAGAAAGGTTCTCATGTGGCAGCCTCGTACCGGTAGGCTACGAGGCTATAGCTCGAAGAACCGATGAGCGATGGGGAAGAAAGTTTCTCATGTGGCAGCCTCGTACCGGTAGGCTACGAGGCTATAGCTTGAAGAACCGACTAGCGATGGGGAAGAAAGGTTCTCATGTGGCAGCCTCGTACCGGTAGGTGAAGTGTAAAGCGACCCCCCACTATATGGAGTGACGACCTGGTAAGACATGCAGGAAGTCGATGGTGGTGGCTCAGGACCGTGCTTTGTGGTATTCTTTGGGAGAGGCTTATGTTCGGCTGTGGACTTGAACAGATAAACTCAGTTTTTAGTTTTTAAAATAAAACTAAACTCTCTATAGTAAGTGTTGCTTTATTGCAATTAAGTTTCGTTGTTTTTTTACGTGGTAGAGCCATGATCCTTTCATAAAAACGATGAATGATGTGATGTAACACTTCTCCCTATTTTATAAAAATATAGAGAATTTTAGTTTATCTTCTGCTTGAACACATTTTGTGAATAATGCATTAATTTTTACTCCAACATCTTGTATGCAGCACCCTTGCAGACCCTAGAATTTTCAAATATTAATGAAAGCTATGATATGCGGAATACATAGAATACTATAGTACACAGTAGAATGGCTGTCAACCTTATTTTGTCTATAGGCGTCGTCTCAGCTACGTCGTATTATCACTACTACAAACCAAATTCGCTGTGTTGACAGGCAGATTTTAATACATATTTATTTGTAAATAGCGTGCAATTTGGCATTTCCTTAACAATTTGCATGGGAAATTTGGAAACGATTGTAACGTCAAAACACATCTCGTGTTGACATTTATACGTGTGAATTGACGTTTTAGTGAAATTTTAGCGGCAATCAAGCTCCGCCCACTCCCCCGTTCTATTATATGTGTTCTATTATGTATGTATTATAGTATTCTATGGCGGAATATATAGCGCCACCAGTCTACGCACACACGTATAGTCAATCTATCTTTCTGTCGTTTCCAAATCTGATGTAATATTATAAAATAGACTAATGGATGTAGTGTCAAAACTGTCTGTGGGCCTGTCTGTGTGCCTACTTTGAAAAGTTTTGGACTTTTAATAGTATTTATGAATTTGTAGATTTACTACTTATAAATGAATGAAGAGGAAAGGGAAGATTTTTCAATTACACTTTGATATTTAATTCACCTTACTGCGTAGCAGAGCAAATGCAATATCTGGTCAAGTGTAAAATGACTCTATCACACGTCACCGTTCAGACGTGCCGAGAATCACTGCAGCGATTACCCTTTCTATTTTATTAAAAGCCGAGTTATATAACCTAAGATACTTTTTATACATAAAATAGTGGGTGCGTCTGGTAGTGATCGTGTTACTTCTCATCTCAAACGACTTGACCGATCAGTTAACGTTACAGACTATTAAAGTGCACTGCTGAACATTGACCACCTCCATAGATGGCCTCATAGGGGGGGATATTTTCCATAATTACCACTCTTGGTAACAGAGTTGGCAACCGCACTTTTTTTTACCTCTGTCGCCCCTTACGACTTATGGGGTAGTGGATATTCTTACACCGCCGGTATAGTGATCGATTGTATTAATATTACACAATATATTTGTTCTTGTGGATTCTTATGATTCTGATTGGTGGATTCTGTAGATGCGTTATATAATAAATATGTACTTAGTCTGCCCCGTTGGTCTAGTGGTTGTAGTAGTGCGACAGCTGATCGCGAGGTCCCGGGTTCGAATCCCGGGTCGGGCCAAAAAATATTGAGTTTTTCTGTCAAGGAATTCTCAGTAATGGCCCGGAGTCAGGAAGTTGGCGGTGTCTCACCCCCGTGCCTCGGAAAGCACGTCACAAGAGAAATTCGGTCTGGAGGACATTATTTGTTATTTATTTTCCAAAATTTGGCAGGCGAGTTGGCAACCGTAGTTTCTTATTATTTTTTATTCTCATCAGGAAGGTGCTGTTACTCATCTTCATTTTCATTTCTGCCTGTCTCCTTTTGACACACTCAGTTAGTGGATTCTTTTATGCCACACATACAAGATAAAGTGTACAAAGTAACAATGTTATTCTAAAATTTCAGGAAGCCGAGCTATCAGTAGCAAGAAGCCGATTCTTCAGTGAGTTGTCTTCGGACGGCCCGTCCCGTCGCGACGATGTGGAGCACTACAGGCAGGCGGCCATGCAGGCTGAACGACTGCTTGAAGCCAGGGAAGCCAGCCATCGCCAGCAAATTGTTCGCCTCGAGAACCAGGTATGAGATACCATATAGTATTTTTATTCTATAGCCCTGTATGTCTGGTCTGGACGGAAGATGTTTCATTAAAAAGACTGTTGATTTTTTTAGAAACAGGTGTTACTGTTGGTTTTAGCGTTAAGGTGACTACTATTCCACCTGATGGTAAGTGGTGAAGCAGCTGAAGATGGTAAAGCCTACTGACTTACCTTAACAAAGGTCTATCCACTCTTGCTTCAAAGACACCCACATGAACGATGAAAGGGCAGATGCTGGCAGCTTATTCCATATCTTTGCTGTCTGCATGATGAACGATGAAACAAACCGGGGTTTGAATACGTGGTAAGTTGACAACGAAGCGGTGGAGACTGGCCGAGCGTCTAATTTTCCGATGGTTGAAGGAAGAGGGTGTAATTAGGTTATGCAATTAGGACTAGGTTTGTGGGTATAAGAACAAATAAAACGCTTCTTAACGTTGAGATCTCAATTTTGTCTAGCACAATAAGCTTGAAAGCGATCGAGATCTTATTGAACGTTCAAAATACTCAATTATCTTTTACGGGACTAAAAATCATCGTTCATTAAATCATATTCAGATAATGTAAAACAAGTGGAAATATCCTTTTTGAAAATTAAAAACAGCCACGGACCGAGTAACGATCTCTGCGGAAAGCCAGAAACTAATTCGTAAAACATGGCTATTGAGGAATCATCATCATCATTACAGCCCTTCACAAGTCCACTGCTGAATATAGGTCTTCCCCAAGGAATGCCACAAAGCACGTCCTGAGCTACCCGCCCTGAATTTAGTTCAGTATAGTGACGACATTACCAGGTCGTCACTCTATTCAGTGGAGCGTCGCTCTACACTTCGCCTACCAGTACGTGGCTGCCACTCGAGAACCTTTTTTCCCCATCGGTTGTCGGTTCTTCAAGGTATACTAATACTATAATCCGTTGGGCTATTTCGGTCACTCTGGTTCTACTGCGGATATTCTCATCTATGTTGATCACGCAGGGAAACCCTGAGCGTAGCCCTCTCCATAGCTCACTGAGCGATCTTGAGCTTCCTCATACGGCCAGCAGTGAAAGACCACGTCTCAGATCCATAAGCCATCATTGGCAACACGCACTAGTTGTACAATCTCATTTTCAAGTATTTGAGGTATACCTGACGAGAAGTAGTGTCGTGATTTCCTGAACGCTGCACCAACCAAGTCGAATCCGTCGATTTACTTCTCGGTCGAAGTTGAACCTGCTTTGTCGGACTATTTGTCCCAGTAAAAATATATTCGTCAACAACTTTGTGCTCCCAACAACTACCGGTATAGGTGTGACATGCTGTCAATGCATACCAGTGTGAAATAGTAGTTTAACGCTGCTGTGTTTCGTATGGTGAGTGTAGAGAACCGGAGACCCTTTTTACTGAAAACGAGGAATTCCATCTTAGCCGTCAGGGGTGACAATGCATCTGTATTTTCATTGATTGAGATATTTATGGCCACAGCAACCACTTACCATCAGGTGGACTGTGTGCTCGTTTGTCTCCCTATGTTATAAAAAAGAAGCTCCATTGTCAAACAAGCCAAATATCTGTTAAAGTTGTTGACTAAAACAAGGTACATATACATCGCAGCCCACCAATAATTTCTAATGTAAGCTAAAATGTGATAATAACTGTAAGTAATTGAATAACATAATAATGAAAACATTTATTAATACTTACTTTACTACATTTAATCGTAATAGAACACGATGGACTTCGGCATGAGAGCAAATGTTATTATTGTCAATTATTTTGGCACTATCTTGACAGCCGGGATTCAGACGCTGAATTTTAGCGAGCACTGTCGAATTTAGTAGGAGTGACAGGAAGTTAAAATAAATTATTTAAATTAAATTAGTCACTTTATTGAAAATCAAAATCGGCCGATAGTTTAATTAACACGTGGCACATAATTGTGCTTATTACACTTAACATTATTTTATGGAAAACTTAGAAAGTTAGTAATTTAAGTGTTTTCAGCGGCTACTTTGCAATTAGTTTCTATTGAGTAAAATTTGTGATTTCCTGTTTTGGAAACCGCCCCCTGGTCAAAAGTACATTCAATTGTAATTACAAGTTTTGTTAATGATGTGGGCAATAGGTTTCACTTAAAACGATCTCCATGTAGCTCAATTTGGCTCTATTCAGCCTCTTAATATGGAAATACTTCACAACGTATAATATTACATTATCTGTTCCGTGTGAAATAACCGTTATTCTGATATACAAACATATTTCTATCACACATAATACATTTTTATGTTCTTTTTTTTATAGGAAAAGGGTGACAAGCAAGCACACAGTCCACCCGATGGCACGTGGCTGTGGACCATAGACATCCACATCTATCCTCGTTTGCGAATCAAAATGAAGATGCGTTGTCAGCCTTAAGGACTAAGATGGAATGCCTCCCTTCCAGTTAAAAGGGTCTCCGGTTCTCTACACTCACCATACGAAACACAGCAGCATTAAGCTGCTATTTGACGCTGGTATTCTGTGAGAGCGTGGTCCTTCCCCAGTCGAGCCGACCCATTCGTGCTACAACTATACAATTAATATAGCTGCAGCATGGCTCTACCACGTAAAAGAATGGTTGGTTAGATCATTAATATCTATTTGCAGACTTTTAGATTGTAGGTTTCTTTTTCCGTGAAGAGGCATGAAGATTGATATTAGTTGTTAGTGGTAGTTTTATATACTTGGCTTCATCACCATCGTCATCATTATAGCCCTTCACAAGGCCACTGCTGGACATAGGCCTCCTTCAAGGAGTACCACAAAACAGGGTCCAGAGCCACCTGCATCGATCGACTTCCTGCATATCTTACCGTGTCTTCCCTCCATCCCGTGGGGTATACGCTTCTCCGCCATACACTTCGGTACGAAGTTGCCACTCTAAAGCCTTTTTTTCCATTTTTATTGATTTTTCGAGCTATATAGCCAGTCCCTTGCCATTTCACTTTACTAGTACGATGAGCTATGCCGGATACTCAGGTTCTACTGCTGTTATCTTCATTTCTAAGTCTATCTCGCAAAGAAACCCCGAGTAAAGCCTTCTGCATAGCTTGCTGAGCGACCTGATTCCTTATACAGCCAGCAGCCACATTAGTCATATTTAATTATCATTTTCAAGTGGTGGTTTGTTTAATATTTAAAGAAAACATAAAACCAAAAATGTCTTTGTAGTATAGCACTTATGAAATCACCATTTTTATTTTTTTTTAAATGTTTGATTTTTTTTTTATATAAGTGTACCTACGTGCGTACCTAAATCTAAGTATCTGTAATCTCTGCCCTTAAAGGAATGGCGTCATGTTTATCCTGTAGGAAATCAGTGTGTGCGACAGAGTTCTACTAGATAGAGAGTTCTACTTCGCTAGAAGAAGCGTGTCCATAATAACGTCTTATATTTATGCGAACACTACACGTTAAATTAAACTAATTTTATGTCGGGAATTAAAAAGTTAAAATTTAAGGCGATAAAATCCGTAAGGTTAATTTCATTTAAAGCGAGTCCATATTTGAATTTAGACGAATAGGAGGCAATGGGATTTTAAATTTTTACTTAAGACCAAACTACCTTTGGGTTTTTAAGATAGCCTTTTCAATTTTTAAGATAGTGATCAAACGTATCTTGTTAGAGCACTTTCACTTAACCAAGCAAATAATTATTTCAATTATATTTGGTAGTCAGATGGACTGCCATAGTTTTACAATTTAGGTTATCCACTCTGGTAGAACCGCCCTTTGCTATTCGAAATAAATTTTTTGGTTAATATAATACTTATTCCGCACTGCATCAATAGTGTTTTATATAAATCCGGGTATGAGCTTAAAAATTGAAAATAAAAAGCGAATTGAAGATTTAAAAATTAATTAGCTAAGATCCGCGTAGTAAAATAAAAATTATGTATCGTACCTAGCGTATTATGTATCGTACTGTTGCGCGCTATAATTAGCGCCTGGTATGTGGCGGCTGATTGTTAGCGCCATCTGGTATCAAGCAGCTGAAATAGGAGCGTCAAGATCTTTCTAGAACTCTCCCACTAGCGCCATCTAGTATCGAATGGAAGAACTAAGCTTTCTAGAAAGCCCCACACTCGAACTTTCTGCACCTGGTCGGTCGGGGCCGGTATTTGCTGGAATATTCTGGATGTTTCCGTGGAAAAAGCCGCCTATATAAAGCCATTGAAAGACGCGCTCGGGGCAGTATTGAATTGGCGATACGAGTGAAATAAATTGAACTAAAGTGTTAAGTGTTATTAATTATTAGAGTGATTTAAGTTTTAATTGGTGTTGAGTAATTAAAGTGTCAATTTTGGTAATTCAATCGGCAGTTTTTATTGTCACGAACCCTAAGCGAGTTTACTCACTCAGAGGAGCACTTCGTAGGTACTGTTACAAGTAACAGTACCTACGAAGTGCTCCTCCTGCCCTCATTGCGTGTACTATCCCCGTCACCATTACTCCTAACACCATTACACTCTGAAAGGCCTCTGTCGGTAATACAAACCACCATGTTTTTTTAGGTAGTCTTTGAAGTTTATATAACCATATCAAAAACCACCATACATGCCGGCGATTGGGCGGTTTTTCGTATGGTAAAAGGCTAACTGACTAAGTAGTGCGCCTCGGGTGAGGCCTATACCCAGTAGTGGACTGCTGCGGGCTGATAAATATATGGGTACCAAAAAAAGGTTGCTTACCTCTGTAAGATGGCGTAAAGGTCACTGCCCGTTTTTCTAAATAAAATATAAACAGTCTATAGTAATACCAGTTATTCGACATCCGAAGGGTCAGTAATTCCTTTATAGGGTAATGTATATTTATTTTACAACAAACAGTGGCGAAGCTAGGGCTCCAAACTAGGGTAAGCCCAAGATATGGTTTTGTTGTTTTTAGCAGTTTAATAAAAATACACCAATCTTGAGCTGTCTCCACTCTTTAGTTTCATATTCAGTGCTGTCAAGGACGTGTTTAACAAAGCACACAGAAAGTATACTACCGCTAGATAGATTGTATGACTAATATGCAATTGCACACCTTCGGTGGTTTTGAAAAGAGCCATTTGGGTTTGCTTGAGATATTTACAAACAATACAATACATGAACAAAAGAAAAGCATGAACAAAGTACAAACACATGTACAAAGTTAAAAAAAGGGACGCCTGGCAGATGTGAAACCTCGAAATTATATTTTGTTATATTACGACAGGAATTAGATAGTTACAATGAGAAGATAAAGCTTTGCTAATTTTTTACCATAAAATAATGACTATTTATTATAATTATGATTATTCATTTTCAATTCATAATAAACCGTACAAAATGATATTTTTAAACTCATATATCACTATAAATTAGCCGATAGCTTATTTGTGCCATCTAGCGTAATCTTTAGGTACCATCGTGAGAATCAACCAATTTTCGTTCGATAAAATGACTTTACCTATAGAATTAAGTAGATGGCGCCATTAAAATTTTATATACTGAAAAGTAGACAGAGAAACCTAACTGGAAATAACTAAAGGGAGTACTATTCTTTAAAAACCTCAATACATTTTTCTGTATTCTTTTGAATTATTTAATTAAAATTTCGGCTTCACGTTAAAAAAAGATTGTAACACTTATTTCCTCTAAAATTAAACCTAGGTCTCATACTTTATGCTGCTGTCCAAATTGATATTTTTAATTCGTATGGTAATATAAATATTGAGTTATTAAACCTTTAAATACGCCTAACTTAATTAAACTTTAATACTAAAGAGTCCTGTACCTATATTTAAAGTATGTAGAAATGTTTATTGAATATTAAATTTCATTTTTAAACATTTTTAACTTTTCCTCGCCGATTAGCACTTCAACACACTTATATTCATCACAATGAACACTATTATCCTCCCATTTTCACTGAAAATCTTCGAAAAAGCATAAATTTTTAACAAACACAACAAAAACAAACAAACAGAAATGTAAGTAACTCACGAGGGGCAACCACTTCCTAGTCGCTAACGCACTCCTAAACAACTTCATGGCAAAGCCAGGCTTGTTGGCTCAATAGTAATTGCTATATAAACATTTCGTAGTTATATTTCATTATAGAATATTTTGCCATAGGTTAGAAAGAGAGCGATCGTCTTCTCGAAAGCCCCGTACAAAGCCCACGCGAGCGAGGGAGACAACGAATCGCTCTATTAAAACTCACTTTATGACAGCAGCAGTATCGCCACAAAGTACCTTTGTATAAAGGTATCGCTAAGGCAATACGAGGTTATCGGTCGACATGTGTCGCACAGTGGAGTGCGCGGGAAAATTGAAATAATTTGAAACAGTTTATGAGTTATTTTATTAGATTGATATTATTGATTGATTCAGTTTTAATAAGGCAAGCCCGGCTTTTCGGCTTTTACGGAAGCTTTGCCACTAACAACAAAGTACCCGAAATATGCCGGATCCGTTAAAGAATTTAAATTTTTACTCAGCAAAGCTTGTTTAGGAAGGGTCATTGTACTACAAAAGATTACATGACTCCTAGGAATTAGGTTAGTTTACTTTGATAAATTACTGTTTATAAATGTTTTCGTACTTAATTGTATAAAATATTATATAACAAATAAGTGTTTAAAAAATCCCGCTGGGTTTCTTGTTGGTTCTTTCCAATTTGTATTGAATAAAATGATTGTATTGTGTGATGTGTAGGCTGCCCAGTTGCGAGCACAGTTGGCGGCAGAGCTGCGGCGCAGGCAGGCGTACGTGGCGCGCAGCGGGCGCGCGGCGCGAGACGTGCAGCGCCTGCGCACCGCGCTCGGTGACTCGCTGCGTGCCGTCGCACAGGTATAGTGTAGTGTACAGAGTACACAGTACGTGGCGTGTGACGTCAGTGCCTGCGCACCGCGCTAGGCGACTCGCTGTGTGCCGTCGCACAGGTACAGTGTAGTGTACAGAGTGCACAATACATGGCGTGTGACGTCAGTGCTTGCGCACCGCACTCGGCGACACGCTGCGTGCCGTCGCACAGGTAGAGTATAGTGTGTATTGTCCAGGCCTCTGTCACTCTTGCTACCTGCGTGAAATAATTACCTAAAATCGCGACGCGCCCGGGCGAAATAACGCAGTCAGGGCTGGCGCGTTGGAGGCAATTGAATGTTAGTTTTTTTTTAACGCTGTTTACGTAAATAGTTTTATGTAAATACTTGTTGAAATAGTTTTTGTTTAGTGTTTAGTATATTTTTAATTGTAGGTAAAAATAGTTCTAAAAGATTTAATGTACCAATTTTATAAATCACATCAATCAACAATCACTACCCATTTGATAAATTATAATAGTAAAACGTCGTTCCTACTATAACTGTTGCTTAGATGGATACTAAATAAAATGACCAACAAAAGGTTTCATATCATTCTTTAAGTTACGGAAGAATTTTAGAAGGAAGTTATGAAAGGTGAATTTATTTAATTTTTTTGTTAGATAGGTATTCACAGCAAAAAAGAATTAAGTAATAATTTGGTCTACAGAAGAAATACCTAAATACTTCATTACAAAAATTAGTTAAAATTTACTTCACTATCCAAGTATTTATTTACAGTATACCTATACTTGTCTTTTCTAATTAAAATATTTTGGGTTATAATAACACAAAATACTGAAATTAAAACTTTGTACACTAACAAGATTTTTAAATAAATAGAATAGATCACATTTCTGTTAGAAATCGTATTTCAGGTTTATTTGTTGTTTACACTATCTACCTATTTCTCCCAAGCGTTACGATTCCCGACGACGATGACCTTGCAATTTGCATGCGTTAGGCATCGTAGAACTCACATATAAAGTATGGTTAGTCAATCATAGTCAGAATACTAGTTAGTACTTCACCAAAGTAACATAATTAACATTTCGCAATGTATTTTTTTACTTTCTAATGACATCCCTTAATAACCACGGAAAGTCCGCCGTGACAAAAAAGATGCAAAGTAATATGGACGCTAGCGCGCAGCGATAAAGTTTTATTTAGCTTGCGTGTGCGATTTATCTGATTAATAATAATTATTTAGGCTATTAAACGTCGGTAAGCAGTCGACATCAAAGAAGTGCAACTTCTGTACGTAGTACTATTATTTATTCTGTGGTATTGTATAGAGTGCACAGTACGTAGCGTGTGACATCAGTGCTTGCGCACCGCGCTCGGTGACTCGCTGCTGCAGTCACACAGGTAGTGTCGTGTGTAGTGTACGGAGTGCACAGTACGTGGAGTGTGAAGTGTGTTAATTTTTTAGCTCAAAAACTTCAATCTTAATTAAAACTTCTATTAAACGTGTACTTATATTCCAGGACCCTGCTCTGGACTCCTATACGCTGGAACACGAGGCGAGGAAACTGGACAACACGCTCACCCATAGCCTGCCGCCTCTCAACGACAGCTATGACTCCTCGAAATAAGTGAATAAAACGCAAAATGCGAGGTTAACAAGTGAACAGCAATACTTCATTGCTTGTTGATAGTTCTCGATTTGTAATTACGTGTGTTGGATGAGATATATCTATCTACACGGTAGTGCAGGTGTAGCGCTAATGAAGTCCGGCTCCTCTTAGTAATTGTGGTGAAGTGTTAGACAGATTTTATAACGGGAGAAGTTAATTTGTTAGGAAAGTGTAGAGATTAATATTTCTTGGTATAAAATTATCCACAATATAGGTACGCAAAGAGGGATCAATAAAATTAAACCTAAGTTTGCAAAATTCTTGTCTGTATGATATGAAAACCGAAGTAAATCTGTTAAAATTCTGAAATTATTATTACGAAAAAAAAAAAGAAGGAATCTTTGTTTTTAACTTGTCGGAGTATACTTCAAGCAAGAACTACATTTCTTTATACGTGCTTCGTATTTGGATTTTAGCGAACACGTAAAATATAATAAAACATGAAGGTATTACTAATATTATCAGTGAAATTAAGCGCTCAACATGGTACACTATTGCAAACAAACTAACGCATTGAAACCTCATCGCTGATTAGCTATCAGTTTATTATGATTTATTATCTCTATGTATAACCTTCTATTATCATGATCTTTTTGGTTTCAATTGTCATACATCATATACGTCGCTTATATAGTTTATTATATGAAGCCATTCGTCACTCTCGTTAGGGAGTTTTTATGTAAAAAGGTGCAACATAAATTATAATTCATCAGTATTATTATAGTGACTGTATTCGAACTAAACTCGTTCGCAGCGGAATTGGTAAGCAATGCTTACCGCAACTCAATTTGAGTTGGTTTATTTTTTGGAGCTAGGAATGCTTCTCTGTTTTATATGTTATCTATGAGTATAACACATTCGAGTTTATTTTAAATCTAATGAAACCTTGTACTTCAAAATCGTTTTAGCCGCAGCGAGACGCAAACATACGGGCAAACGTATAAAAGTACAATACACACATACTCCCGAAAAATATAACTCCTTCTGGGGCCAGTCCTGTAGATTAGTAGGCTTCACTCACAACTCTATCTAGCCTTAAAATAAATTATGCTTTCGGATATCAGCAAATGGTAGTTTTAGAATGATAATAACTTTTCTTACTAATAATATATTATAAAGTATATGTATTAAATAAATTTCTAAGTATATTATAAGAAGGTAGAAGAAAGATGTGTATAACTATTTCTCATGTTATGTGAATACTACACATTAAATAAAATAAATTTTAACTTAATTTTATTTAATGTATAGTACGATACGACGTATCGATTGCTTAGCATAGTCCGTATAAAGTGATGCACTAAATAACTTCAGATAAACTATGACACTATATTATATTAATTTTTTAAGATTGTTGCACCCTATAATATATAATAATCTTTTCAAAACCTGCCGGCACGTCGAGTCTGGTAACTAGTCGAAAATAAAGAGGTATTGTGTTCTTGAATGTATTATTAGTATTAAGCATGACTTTCGAATTGCTAGTCAATGTCAAACACTAGACGTACGTTTATTTATAAAATAAGAGATTTATTTATTTATTTCTTAAGAATGATCACATTTTGATAAGTTTTTATTTGTATATAAATTTATGAATCGTGCTGTAGTCGGGACTTCATTTTCGTGGATTATACATATTTTACACTGAAATCATTAGAATGTCACGAAAAAACAAGTTGAGTTCTGTTTATCATCATAATTAATACAGCCAACCAGTCCAGTCCACATCAAGCAAAGCACACTCCTAAGCCACCTGTATCTATGGAAACCTTGAATGTCGTAACTCAAATCATAACTCAGTCTTGTTTGGGCCGTCTTATACTGCGCATACCAGTGCGAGCCCGCCACTCGAGAAACTCCTATCAGTTTGCGGTGCTACGTGTTATTTGGCCGACCCTCGCTACTTCAGTTAACTGATCCGTTTGCCTGTCGTTTTCTTTGACTCAGCGAATATATTCGTTGCGAATTACGAAATGTTCACAGAAAACTGAGCAATTTTAAGCTTCCTCATGCGGTCAGTAGAGAAGACGTACGTTTTTTTATAGCATTGGGTGACAAACGAGCACACAGTCCACCTGATGGTGAGTGGAATCTGTGGTCCATAGACATCCAAATTTATCTTCAATTAAGAATCTAAATGCAGATGCGTTGTTATCCTTGAGGACTAAGATGGAATGCCTCGATTCCAGAAAAAAGGATATCCGGTTCTCTACACTCACCATACGAAAAACAGCAGCATTACACTGGTGTTTTGTGTGAGCGTGGTCCTGCCCCGGTCGAGCCGAACCAATTGTGATACAACTACATATAATACAGCTGCGGCGCGGCATGTACTATTAACTGTTTCAGTTATTTTACACAGGATTTTAGTTGCAATAATTTATAATTTTTATTGTCGGTTTTTTATTTTATTTGGAACTTTAAAAATTACACAAAATTTTAGTTGTAATGATTTTTAATGTTCGTTTTTTTTATGTTATTCGGAACTTTAAAAGTATTGATACATTTTACTTATTATAATTTTTAAAGTATAATAGAAAGTGTAAGCTATATTTTCACATTATTTTGAGAAGTTCTTAAGTTCATTCGTATAGTACAAATGGTCTCAAATACTGACGTATTGTCACAATACTTTTAGTAGTTACTTCCAATCTGATAGATGGTTATTTTTATCAGTGGGGGATATAGGTCTTTTTTTATAGAATGGGGTGATACCCTTGAGGACTAAGATGGAATGCCTAGATTCCAGTAAAAAGGATATCCGGTTCTCTACACTCACCAAACGAAACACAACCATTAAGCTGCTATTTTACTCTAGTATTTTGTGACAGCGTGGTCCCTCCCCCGATCGTGTCGACCCATTCGTGCTACAACCATTGTGCTTAGTATAGGATAGAAAAGGCAACTTAATTACTAACACCCAGGTTTGGAACAACGTTTCACATCTTATTTTTCTAACCCTTTCTTTCTAAGTCAAAATCTGCTAATGCTGATACTTATATACAGAATGGGTCCCACATATATGCAATAAATGAAACCATATACTTGTTATCGCCTTTGCTGACGATATACAAAAAATGAACGTAATCGGTCTAATTAGGTCAAAAAGTAGAGTTTTAATTTTAAGCAAATTTGAACACTATAGAATTGGGTCACTAAGTCAATGATTCAATGAACTTGAATCCTTGAACATTAAAAAGCGACGTTGCCACGCAGTGCAAACTATTGGTATTGCGACATATCGACAGCGGTGTCTTTTGTCGGCGTACCACCCGCGTGCAACGTTGTCACTCTTCCAAGGGGTCAAGGTACGTTGTCTAAACAGAGTGTTCACTTTTACTGAATTTATTTTAATATTTATTTTGTTTGAAAATTTCACTTTTTTATTTTACGGGTTTTAATTTAATATTTAATTTTTCTACACTTCTACGGACTACTATTACTTGTGGTTTCATTTATTGCATATATGTGGGACCCATGCTGATATATGTGGTACATTATTCAGAAGGCTGACGTGCGTAACAAATCGATGTACTGGTTCGAAGGAACTCGTTCCTACGAACTCCGAATATCATCGAAAGGTACCTACTTCGTAGGACATGCGCTGTCGGAGTGGCGTATATACAGGCTAGACTCGAATTTTGCCGCATCCGATGTCTACACGAAGCAGCAGTGAAGCCACATAGTGGTCGCGAAAGATATTCTTCTATACCATATCGATCGTGGGTGTCGTAATTGGGAACACAGGGATTTCAGCATCTTCAAGATAACAAAATAATTAAAAACTGCGGTTGCCAAGCCACTTGCCAAACTATGGCAAATATCCCATAGATACCCTATTAGGCAACCTATGAGAGAGGCTTGTGTTCAGCTGTGGATTTTTTTAAAAACGGTAATGTATGGATGTTTACGCTTATTTTTTTATTTAACATAAAAATTTACATAGTTGGCACATTTACATGCTCAGGAGATGTTGGTAAAAAAATGCTCTTCTTAACGTGCAAAAAATAGCCGACTACAAATATACTACCTCAAACGTAACAAACTAGTAGTATTTATATAAAATTAATCAGTAATGTAAAGGACGACGACATTTTTTATGTATTATTCATAAGTGTATGTATGTTGTATACATACCTACGCATACATAATTACTACAGATTACCTATATTGTTGGTGTTTATTGGATCATTACGATACATTAAAATTTTTACTATTTATTACTATAGTTTTTATGTAATTTATGTAATAGATTGTCCAAAGTCAGGTCCTCTACGAGTATGTGTCTCCTTACCATATTTCTCCACTTGTGTCTAAAAAAAAACTACTAAACTATACTCATATGTTGGTTTTTATTCTTAAGTTAAGAATATCTGGATTTTTCTGGAAAAAAATATCTTAACAAATTATTGGCATGGAGCAAGAAAACGATTCTTTGAAATCTATCTCCTCCGTAGCCCGTAGTCAAATAAAAAAATAAGCGTTACATAATTTTTTCAGTAATATTTGTGGTTCAAGGCAGACAATGTTTGTAAACAATAAAAATGTACAGTTTATTTTTTTTATTTAACTATCCAATCAATTGGCTAATTTACATCTGCGCAATGTCACACCATTTGATTAAATCTTTTGTTGAAATAAAGATAGTTATGATTTTAGACTTTAACTCCGCTCCGTTTATGACGCTAGCAAAGGGTTTTACCTTTGCATCTGCATCGGCCCTAGTTTTATTGTATTTGTCTTGTGTGATGCGTATATTGCTAGCCTAAAACACACTGACTAAAATCCATTTGATCGATCGATACAAACGAAGCTTACGAATCGACTTGCCGTTGTTTATCCGCAGTATGTGAAATGGTCTTACATTTTAGTTGCATTATTTGGAATTGTCATGGCCCGTAAAGTGTACTGCTGGACAAGGACCTGTCTCGTTGTAAGAAAGAATTTTCCTTAATCGC